ACAACCACCAGTGACGGCTTACTTTGTCTGCTGTCTGCTGATCGAGCCCCTGCCCGACTACGCCACTCACTGCTGGCTTCTCCGAATGCGAGGCCTCTTCACTAGACGTGCCCCATGGAGATTCATCCCCCTCGTCAAGCATGAGCACCCTGTCCAACGCATGTCCGGACGCAAGAAACGCAGGAGAGGACGGGATGCTGGGAAGCTCAGCCGACGACGTGTTATCCGCAAATCCAAAGTCGTTCAGGCACCCGATAGATCCGGTACGTGAGATGTCGGCCAGTAGCGGTTGAAGAGCATCCACCGCGTTGCCTGCCATGGTTTCTACGTGCGACATGTCTCCGCTTGCTCGCGGCTGTGCGGTCTCAAGATAGTCGACGACGTCGCCAAAGTCGGAACCGGTGGCACTGAAAATCCCAGAAATGTAGAGTCAGTTTTTTTGTCACCCGTACATTTATCACTAACCTCCTGTCAAGATAAATCTCGCCTTCACCATATGTCGGCCACCAAATGGGAAGCTCCTGGGTGGTGACAGATCCCGGTTCAAGTCCAGAGGGCGCAGCGTTTCTGAGGGCTTGATGCTCGCCCTGTAGAACACTATGAAGAGACGCATGAAAGCCACCGAAGCCCATACAGAATGGCGAAAACGTACGGTAGATTCTCCGCCATGGCGGGTGCAAAGGGGTTAACCGCAGAGTAGATCGTGCCCACGGCAGGGACGTCAGTGTCTGACAGTATGGATGGTAAGCCGTCACATCCATCGGTACCATGAAGGTACCCATAGAACGATGACGGTGGGTGCGCCACTGCCTCCGCCGTCGCGGCATGACCCAAGACGGGCCACATCGGCGCATCTGGGACGTATGAATGTTGGGGAGGTAGACCAGCATCCGGCAGCTCAAACAGGAACGAGGGCGTCGGCCGGATTCCCTCCTCAATCATGCGGAGTAGCTCGTCTTGTACCTCAGCGGGTGTTTGCGAAATCTCGAACTCGCCGGCCATATGAACCGAGTGGCTCTCATGACCTTGCCATGAGAATTCGTTGGGACTAGTATGATGCGTTCAGTCTGGTCAGCGTAGGACGGATGTGCACGCGTGCGCGGAACTCACAGAGCTGAAGGCACCTCGCTGTGGGGCGTTGTGAACGGCGCGCACACCTTGTCGGACTCATCCAGTCTCGCGCGCTTGTGGTACGACGTCTGGTTACTGCGGCTGTCGTCCATGCTGTCTCGCGCGCTGTTTCGGGCACCGCTAACGTTAACCATGGCGGACCATGGCGACGCAAGGGAGACTTACCTGGTCGGCCTGGCTCGGTGCCGGTTGGCCCTTCGGGGTCGGACGCTATAGCTACGAGCCGGGTGCATACCACCGGAGGTGCGATGGAGTGGCGGGCTGCTGTCGAGCCGAGAGTTTGCGACTCAAAAGCGCTGTGGGGGGAACCTCACATATATTCGTTGAGCACAATGCAGTCCGCACTTGAACAAGCGCCTGCGTGCCGGAGGGAGGAGCGTGTCCCATGATGACAACGGGGAACTGGTCAGATCGGCGTACGTTCATGCCACGTTGAAAATGGTACTCAGCTGGGGCATTGCTTGGTTGCATTGCCGTTTTGGAGCCCCTGGTCCTGAGTCCTGACCGAGGTGTGTAAATTTATTGGGCGGTGAAAAGCGTACTCGTATAGTCGCGGCTTGGAGCGACAATCGCGAGGAGGTCAGCCATTGCAGCCACACGGCCCGGCCCACATACGCAAGTGGCTGAAGCCGGTTAGTCTCGCTGCACGGACATGGTCGTGGAGCGGTCCGTTCGCATAAGCGATACGCATAGGCGGCCGCGGAACGTGGACGAGGGACAATAGCGAGTTTGAGGCTGTAGTCTCGAAAATGCGGTAAGATCCGGTAGGTGCGACCATGATGCCCCATTGGAGCCCAGCTCAAGCTTAACTTCTTTCCCCGCGCGGCATGCCAGGAGGCTGCCTACGCTAAATTCAGCGTCGACGGGGAAGGGATGACGGGCACGCTGAGGGCGTAGCCGTCCCGTGGCTGCGATCGCTTAGCGGCCCAGCTCTTTGCCAAGCGCGATCAGTGTGCGAAGAGTGAAGGAGGGGAGCGCGAGTGAAGCTCTTGAAGTGGCCCGCTCACCGCCGTTACGAACGCTGGACGTCGTCCGTCCCCTGCGATGGCCTCCGCGTCTGCTGGGAGCGAATGCAAACTCTCAGTAATGCATGCACGCAGGAGTCGTGAATGAGGCGTACAACTCACCGGTAAGTACTGTCGCAAGAGCGAAAGGTCTCGGGAATGCACGAGCTTCGCGGAAATCATGGAACTGGGGGAACTAATAAGCTCGTTGTGGTAATAACCATGGAACTGGCCTCGCTGCGGTGACTGCTTGTCACCATTGCGTACTGTCACAAGTGCACGTGTATCACGTGTGGAGGAATCACACCTCACACACCGACGCAGTCGAGCGCGCTGCGCGTCGCCCGCCTGGCCGCCCGCCTCCGCCTGCTATACGTGTTGAGGTCGAACACAACCCTGACCCGTCGCTGCGTAGGGCTCCTGTTCTTCCGGCTGCTGGTCGCTCGTGCCACACGTTGGTCGTCCCATGGCTTGTACGCCTGCCCCAGCCCCAGTCTGCGGTGAGTGTCCGACGCACTTCTGGTCCCGCTGGGTGGACAAGCAGAATGAGTGCATCTACGCGGAGCCAAGCCAGGCACTGGGGGATTGCAGCCACGCTGCTCGGCCTCCCAGCAGGGGCCAGACGTTCTCGACGTTGAAGAGTGGCGCTCACTGTCATTCATTGTTAGGCAGACCGCTCGCCGCTGCGGACCACTCCGGATTCTTGTTCCGCCAACTGCTGACGGCAGCCATTGCGAGTGAAGATGCGAACACTGAGATTGAAGGGGAGGACTACGAGCTCGCGCCATTGGATGTCCCCTATGCGCAGCCAGCGCCGCGTCTTGAACCGCCCTTCTCGCTTAGCAGCGCCGCACCATCGAAACCTGCGGCGTCCTCAGCAGGATACGTAGAGCACGACAACACTGCATGTGCGGCTGGAACGCAGCTCGCAGGTCTGCAGTCGATCGAACGACAGCGAAGAAAAGCCCAGGCAAAAGACAAACGGAGGCGACGACGAACGGAGAGCGCATCACCGTATGGCTCGGTACAGAGGCCGCGGCTGCCGCTCCTCAACACTCACCTGAAGGACGGCCTTTCAATTGGTACGAACCTTGCCGCTGAAGGCCTACCACACACCAGCGGTGCGTACACCGGGGGCAGGGAGTCACGCGCCTCACGGCGACAATATGAGCTGGATGACTTAGTTGGCGAAGGGTCACACTTTGGCTTTGAACTAGTCCGCTGGGATGGAAGGTACGTACAGCCTTTGCATCCGCGTACATCACCGTCGTCACGCGCCACGCTTCTAAAGGACTACTCGACCTATCACAGACGAGTCCGGACGAGTCATTGCCGTCCTCTGCGGCGCCCCTAACGACCCGGCCTGGACTGGCGTGCACAGGGATGCCGCGGCTGCTATCTCGGAGGCTCGCTTGAGGCTATCCTTTGCGTCGAAGGACGTGGTCCATCGTCGCGGAGACTTCCCAGCCCTGGCTGTGGGTGTATCATACGGAATCCGAGGGGGGCAGAGGGCGCGTCTCAAGGCATTGCGGTTGAGATTGGCGAGGGGTAAGGGCCGATAGTAATGGGTCAGCCAGCCATCTTTAACGGCGTACAGAGTCAAGGACAATCATTCGCGACGCAACATGCCGACCGATGTGTGCGACTGAATAGACGTGGGTCATCAACAGCATGTCGATCAACCGGATCACAATGGGAGCTGTGGAGACGTTGAGAACAGTGGCTGCAGAGCAGGAGGACGGGCGTCATAGCACACATCCATGCGTGATCACATACAGAGCATAGGGATGTTTTCTCCCGCAGTAGCGATTTTTGACGACAATTTTGATGAACGAGCATGAGCCGTTGCATGTTGCGTACGTATACCAGAATGCTGGTGGCGAGTAAAGCAGCGGTGCGCTGAAAGCTTGATAATGTTGAACGATTCAATCATGCCGCTGACGCCACTGTTGCAACGCAAGTCAGTATTCCAAGGAGTGTTTCGGTTAGACGACGCATGGATTCCACCGCACACACGTAAGACACCGGCACTCCACAAATACAAAGGTACAGATCGTCACGCGGTCAATCTCGAGGTCAATTCAGACAATGACTCCGACGTTCATGCACAGTTCAGCGGTTTCATACGTTCTAAATTGCGAAATGAGTCTGAGTACAAGACAAACATGATCTTAACATACCGTTCACATTGCGACCGGTGCTTGGGCAATTCGTAAGATGATTGCGATACGAAGACGCTCTAGGGACTAGATGTACACATGAGACAGTCAGAAAGCACAATATGGCACTCACAACGTCCTCCCAATAGTAGACAAGTAGACCAAGGAGTAGAACGACAATGAGTATAACCGATGTCATGATGAGACACCATACCCAAACCATAGAGGGATAGCCAGTGGCCATAGAACCAGTAAGCCTAGAGCCATCGGGACGACGGCGTTCATTCCGAAGTGATGTAGGCCTTGTCTGCCTTCGTTCTCCTTGAGGCGCCGCAGGCTCAGTCTGCCTCCGTTCCCCTCGATGCATCTGGCCGGAGTCCTGCTGGATATCACGCTCCGTCGCACATGCAGGAGCCCCAACAGTCCGCTTCGGTAAAGCGGTCGGCTTTCGGTGCCTGACGTCTTGAACCATATCGCCGGCAGAGTCTACCTCACCCCCATCGCTTGCACCAGACGATCGCATGCCGCGGCTGTCGCTGTTGTTCGAGTCTTGGAAGACGGACGCATCTACGGAACGAGACACGTAGCGCTTCGTCCCAATAGTCTCGCCTGCCCGCGAGGTCGAAGATGCCGCACGATCTGATTGTGTCAGTCGACCTGTTGACAACTTGATTAGTTGGTAGCGTGCGACAGATTTATTTTCTGTACCTGGTTTCTGTGCTAACCACAGCTTAATGTATGTTTGGTCGCCAGTCTCGGACGAGGCAGTTGCGAGAAGCCTGACCGCGCCATTGTGCTGAGCCTGGAGACAAGGAAAGAAGTTGGCATAGATAGACGATGTTGCATGAATGCCTACCAATGTCTGAATGATGTGGGGGCCTGACGAGAACGTTCAGGCCGCGTTTACGTGCCCAGTACGTATGAGCACCCACCATGTGCTAGAGCCTGCATCACCAGCGTAGTGGCACAGTCGTAAATAGAGACACACCCTGTGTCACTCCCTGTCAATACAGCTCTGCCGTCATGGATGAATAACACAGGGAGGGGAATGTTCATCAGTGCCTTGGTTTTGAAAGTGCAAAGGTGAAGTTGACCGCTGAGTCTGTACATGTCGAAACCGTCGTGAAGATTTGACACGACGAGCACTTTCTTATTCTGGGATAGCGACGACCTGCCACTGTTGGCAAGATTAGGTGGTACATCGACAACGACAGAATGTCAGCAACGCACATCCGGGCTCTTTTCAGTGGCAGTCGCCATTCTATTTTCAAACTTCTAACATTCCAGCACCTAGGGTTCATGGCAACGCGTGAGCTTCAGAATGGAGCGGCAAGTTGGGTGTACTACGTACACAACGCCATGAGACATGTAGGAAACGAGCAAGTACGTTCCGGAATCCAGCCAATGTACGGAACGTGGCGAAACACCATTTGCGCTATCCGTGGCGGAGGCGACGTCCGATTGCATCGGAAGGGGTAGCCTGCATACATACCCCCAGCAAGCTAGGTAAGTGTCAGCAAAGACGGATCTGGATGGGGGTCCATACGACGACGTACTCGCTCGATGCTCGCGCCAAAGTCTCACTTCACGAGCGGTACATACCGCCAACATGCCGTTGACGGGATCGTAATCCAGCCCTTCGATCGGGAGGTCGCCATTCATAGGGAACTGAATCCCGTCCGGAATAGCCTGGCGAGTTTGTGAGGAGCTAGCCTATGAGTGTCTCACCACATACGCACCGGTAGAATGTCCATAAACCTCAGTTTACCATTCCCATAGCCGATGAACAACTTCTCACCTCCGCCACCATTCGCGTGCCAGAGCAGAGCAGTGACAGGAGCGTCACCAACGAGCTTTTGAATCTCGATTCCCCGTTCACAATCGTGCACAAAGACCGTACAGTCGTCAGAGCCACTTGCCAAGTACGAGCCGTCGGCAGAGAAAGCAAGGCAGTTGACGGAGTCTTTGTGGCAAGTGAAGGTAAATGCAAGGTTATACGCCATCGCTGAAAGTTGAGGGTATGAACAGAGACGACGACTCACTTTTGTAGGGCAGCTGAGACGGCTCGTGTCCGACGCCTTTGATTGTCCAGGATGGGAAGAGAATAGCCAACAGGCTGTGCACGTCCAACGATGAAGCATGTATGCTTATTTCGTCGCGCGGGCTCCGGTAAGCACCGCCGACACATGCACGACGTCTTTGGTTGCCCAGGAGGGAGGTCTATACTGGATTCCGTGTTTGTCTGGGTAATGGCATGCGAGAGAACAAGGGTACAATCAAAGAGGACGGCTGCCCGTTTGGTCGGACAATGAGTACGATTACCGCTTGATGCTTTCGCGTCACCCTCAGGCTGCACGGCGCGTCTTTCGTTCCTTCGTGCTCTGGCTAAGTTGGCTCGTGAATTACTCATTTTCTGTGTTAGGTGTCGGCCAGGCGATAATGACAATTTGAATGCAAGGTAAGCGCCCGTTTGCGCTAGTGGCGACTCGGAAATGACATTAGGAGGACAGACGGCGACAGAGAATGTGCGGTCACGAAGTTTGCGCAGGTACGTGCCAGTGTGTTACAATGCATTGCTTGACTCGCTATCGGTCTGCACGTACAGTATACTTGTGTCCAATGTATTTGTCTACTCCTCCTCCAACCGGTAACGCGCGGGGAAGCAAAACGAACAACCTCTCTTGCCTTCGAACCACCGCTTTCCCCCCTTTCTCTTCTTTTCCCCTTCCCTGTACTCTAGAGTACCTGTCTCACAGATAGCATATCTGGTCTCGTTCAGTTCGGTGCCTGAGTGTTCTACGCCTGAGCCACTCAGGCGCGATTTCACTCGGATCCCTCCTCCTCCTCCTGTCATGACTATGCTCAGTGAGGATGCCGGCCTCGGAGCTGATGTTTGCGCGGGAGGACGAGAAAGAGGAGCCAGTATGGCAATGACCATCACGATCGCGCGGACCCATCTCTGTAGCACGCGACCCTCCTCTCGCACCCGCCGCACCCCTCCTCTCGCACCCGCCACATCCCTACCTCCTGCACCATCTCCACCGCCGCTCAATGTACTCCCCGAGTTGGCGCGCCGCGGACATCTCGCGCCTCTTCCACCCCGCCGACGCGAGTGGCTCCTCGTGTTCGACTCCTCGACGCGAACCCGCGCCTCGTGCTGGGTGAGCACCACGTACCGTTGTGGGGAGTGCCCCCCACATAGGCCCGGACAGTACGTATATCCCTTATTTTGAGCTACCTGGTCAGTGCCATTCCCTCCGAGCATATTGACAACCTTCGCTATTCCTTCCGATACCCCATTTCTATTGTACCTGATGGACTTCGTGCGATTTCGCATTACTTACCATATATAGCAAGTACCTACTATTAGTCAGCTTCGGCGGCATACAGTGCCACGAAGACATGTACATAGCTCAGTTCTCCCCCCTCCGAATCTAGGCAACTACGAGCACAGCTCGTCTCGCTGCTATCACATTTTCTGGAGTTGGGGGGCATCTCCCCGAGTTGGTCATTAGCGACCTAGTCGGGCCATCGAGAATCATTCGGACGGAAGCAGTGCCACGTAGTTGGAGCAACACCAGTACTACGAGATCAGGGCAAGTCGGAAGGAGTACAGGTTAGGCCAAGGACTCGCGGAACGAGCTTAGGAACCAGCGGAAGAAGAATACGAACCAGCGGAAGGAAGACAGGATCCAGCAAAACGAGGACAGCGACCTGCGGAACGAGCTTAGCGACTAAGGAACAGAGCTGGCCTACTCCGCAACGAGCCGAGCGACTACGAGAGTTCAGAATAGGACGTCGGAACGGGTACAAGGAGACAGAACGAGAACGAGAACACGGAACGAGCACGAGATTGAACGCGGTACGACTCGGAGCCGTTGACTGGAAGCGAGGTTGAGGATACGAAGCACGGAAGAGGCGAGGGAGCAGCGGAACGAGTCAGGACTCAGGATGACAGCTGTAGACGAGGCCTGGAGGACCGAGGATAGGGACAGCGAGCCAGAGGTTTGGCAACGAGGTCCGTCTTTGGCACTACTCCCCTCCGAGATGCATATTCCCCCGTTTCGACACACCCTCCCTTCATCCTGGAAGCCATGGATTGGCCCGCCCCTCGAACATCGTGCCCGGGGGTACTACACTCCCGAGCTACACAACTGGAGCCCACCGCGAGGGGTGGTACCCTATTCGTGCTTCTTCCGCTCCGCCTACAGCCTCGCGTCATCGCACTCAGAGCACAGGCAAGCGCACACAATTCACTCCATTAATTTCCCACCCACTACCGAAGTCTATACTGGGACTGTGTACAGGCGAGCTGAGGTCCATTCCCTCCATTACCAGTCTACCATTATAGTCCATGCGGAACCGACACCAATGCGCGATGCGGACGTAGTCGCGAGAACGACCTCAACGGTACGGCTCGAGTCTATCACGGACTCGGCGACTAGTCGTCTCGGAGGCGACAGCACGTACACATTCGACGAGCTCTTCACAGCCTCAACATCTGCACCTCAGACTTACGAGCAAGCTACTGGACCGGGACCCGCGACTGCGACCTACGAGCCAGGTACGGCACATGCAGGCGGCGCGGTCACTCAATCCACGGATTCGCGGAACCACAGTGCTCATGAGGGTCGACACGCTGCGCGGACGGATGTCACTGCGGAAGGCCAGAGACTCGAGACGATGATCCAGGAGCGAGCTGCCGTGCACACGAGGAGCAATTTGATCGAGGACGCCTCTCGCGCCAGGATAGCAGATGCCCACGTCGTCGTACGGTCGCACTTTCAACGAGGCACCACATGCACACTTCGTGACTTCTGGCTTGGAGTAGCGAGTCTGACGGCGGGGAAACACGAGGGAGCTACTCCGCATGAAAGCCTCACCATGACAACGAGACCCGGGACGAACACGAGCGGCAACGGTCTAAGCATTCGCGAGCAGGCACTTGGATCCGGAGACGCGCGCAGAGGTGTGACTGTCGGTTCGCGAGGGGGGCACGCGATGGATATATGGCGAATGTACATGGGTGACGCGAGCTCTACAATACGAGTACCTACGGACACGTCGGGCAGCACTCCACCTTTACTCGACGAGCTCTTCCTCGAGATATTGGGGCTCACAGCAAGGACGTTCGGGCGATTCGACGGCCCCGCGGGAAATGGGCTCGTTAGGATGAAGGCCGCGCAAATCAGCGACGCAATACCTACGGACACAAGTGTTAGTCCCACGAACGCGGAGCAAGCGATGACGCACCAGCACAACGCGTCGGAAAGGGTTGCAGCAGCGAGGAGAGGGCGGGATGAGCAATCAGCCCGGCGGACGTCACAGCACCAGTTTGGCCTGTACGAGTGCGTTATGACGGAAGACGAGCGAGCGACGTCGGGGGGCGGAGCCTGTCGAGTGAACGTTAGCCTCAGGACGCTCGAGAAGTCAGGATACGAGAGCCGGCGTGAACGTTCAACAGGCAGGCCGTGGAGTCCAGCGAGTAACCGAGCACGCGAGCAGGGGATTCAAAGAGCAGAGGCGACGAGCGAAGGTAGCATCGAATACAAGGATATGCGCGAGCGAAAGGAGCATGCGCGGGAGGCGAGCGAGCAGACGCAATGGGCTAAGGCGCAGACCACGGCGGAGACGCACACGACAGACCGCCGTGAGTACAAGGCGCACCGCCACGGTGCTGAGAAGGTCGGGAAGATGCTGGCGGCGCCGAGACGAGTCGAGATGGTCGAGGACGATCACCCGCGGCTCAAGGAGCGAACTGGAACAGAGAACCGAGCATTAGGACAGGCGCGAGATGTGATGACGGAGGTTAGACTCACCGGCAGAATCGCTACGAGGAGCGACGCAAGTCTTGCAGAGGTCGGTCACCGACACAGGACCCCGTTCGGCGAGATACTGGCGTCGATACGAGGAGATCGAGAGGGAACGGATGCGGCGTACCTAGTCGACCAAGGGCGGACCTACGAGGACCCGAGTGTAAGCGATGTCGAACGAGGAATCGACGGAAGGATAGGGATTCCTGGATGCGGCACAGGCGGGGCGTCGAGCGAGCAAGACGAGTCAGGGCCACGAGAGAGAGACTCACGGAGGGCGGGAGTTGCATGCAAGAACCTAGCGGCGACTGGTATTGCGCAAGGCCGGGGTTTCGACGGCGAGCTAGGCCGTGACGAGGAGAGAATAGCGGGTGGTGAGGCTTCAAGCGGAGCCATTAGCGCGTGTAGCGGGGAACGGCAAGAGGTCGGAGAGTTCTTGGCGGCGGCGAGACGAGTCTTCAAAGCCGGGAACGACTGGCTGAGGCTATATCAGCAAGCTGCACGGGTGTCACGGGGGATCAGGCGAGTCGCGAAAACATCGTTAGAGGATAGACATACCGGGAGATGCCATACGACAAGGCGCGGTCCATTTCCCTCGCAAGCCGAAGAGTCCACATCAACTCCACGAGGTGTACCACGCTCGCAGACAGAGGGGACGCACGCGTCAGGCATCCGGCAAGATACCTTAGGACGGGATGGCGCGACGGCGGAAGTAGCTGATACGCGCAAGCAGCAGGAGCGACAGGCGCAGGGGTTCAGACGGGTCACGATTAGAGCGACTGACATCACGCTCACCTATGGGATGTCCTCCGCCGACTACGCGTACCCCGGACATTCATCTCCCTCCGCGAGAACTGTCTTGCAGGTGCAGGGGCATGCGACGAGCGCATTCGAGCTCGGAGTTGAAGACGCGCCCCTTTTGGGCAGACAACGGAGCGATGATGGACGCGACTGCGACTGGGAGCATGCTGACCTGGCGAGGGTTCAACGAGGAAACATGCTTGCGATGGACGAGAGGCGGTACGACGAGATCCGGAGCGAGGACCACAAGCAGCCGCAGGCAGAGTCGGTGGAGAGAGGACTCAGGCGAGAGACGATCGCTCAAGCGCTCGAACCGCAGGTTGCACAGCCTACTGGCGCCTCGCTAGTCACTCAAGTCGCGGATTTGGCGCGTGCATTCCCGCAGCTCCCACATCTTCTCAATGCTAGTAGCTTGTCTGTGTATGGTTCTACCTGTCGAGGTGCGAGAAGCTCTGTAACGGCTCATGCTTGTCAGACGGTAAGGTCGGGCCCGGAGGGAACTGCACGCGAGGAGTACGTCCGAGAGCGTCACGACCGGAGGGGCCTGACCTCAATCAAAGCAGACGCTCATTGCGGCCAATCCAGCGGCGCGCAGGGTGTTAGCGTCTCCGCGCAGCAACGTACGGATGAATGGGAGTGGTCCGAGTGTGACCGGATGATTCAAAGACGGGCAATCGGATGCGCAAGTGAGTCACCGGAACACGCACGACTGAACGAACGCGACGCAGCAGGTCTTGGCCTCGATACGCAAGCACCGAGATGCCAGCTGGCGGACCCAGCAACTGCAAATCCGCCATCGGAAGGGATGGCCGCTCATGGACTTGTTTCGACGCAGGAATCGGTGAAGCAGGCGAACAGGGACCGTGATTCACAGGTCAAGTACTCCACGGATTCGAGTTCACCCAGCTCTAAGATCGTGGGGATCCCGGGTCTTGCGTCGGGACGAACGGGACAAGGGGACGGGAAGGATGGCACCGAGAGTCTAGTGGTGGACACTGAACGGGCGAGTTGCGAGTGTCGTGTGTGCCGGAGGGAACAAGACGAGCTTCAGGAAGCGGCGGGATGGAGCACTTCCAGCCGGATTGATACCTCGGAGGCTCAGCAGCAGGACACAGAGGGGACCTCAACGATCGGACGTGTTTCACTGGAGGATGGACTCACCGAGAGCGCCCCTACGATCAGCCGGACACGCGCAGGACCGTTGTTCTCTCCGGTCTGGGGTATCGCGATCGGGCGGAAGGGGACGGTATCCGGACGCGAGGCTTCGATAGGCACAGTGCCTCCTCCGGAGCAAACGGAAGGCGAGGACCGAGAGGAGTGCGCCAAGAGTCCAACAGGCACGAGCAAGGCGAAGGCAGACACCCAGGAAGCCGCGCGTCGGAGGGAACGAGGAGGGCGAGAGGAGTATTGGGGCGTTTCGGGACGATGGTTCATAGGGCGAGGCGGCAAACGGGAGCTACGGGAGGGGCGACATGCGAAACCATCAGCAGCTAGTGGCGACGACGCCGCGGAGGAAGCGGTGGGCGAACCTCAGGATCAAGAGCTTGCGGATTCGGATTGGGCGGGCGCGTGGCTAGACGAACCAAGCACTCCGCGCGTACAGAATCAAGGACCGAGGACGACCGAGGTTGCGAGCAGGAAGATTGCCAGTCGAATTGCGCGGAGCTCGCGCCTCGAGGGTGCCCACAGCCGGAGGGAACGAGGCGACGACCTGGAGCCGCGGGAGCAGGCTGCGGAGGGAATACGAGCGTGCAGAGGGGCTTCCACGGAAGAGCACGGCAGAACCAGTAAGGAGGACCGAGCGAGAGCTGAGGAAACCATGGCGAGCGTGACGGCGGGCGCGACAGTCGCACTGAACGGAGTTAGCGAGTCTCTTGCAAGCAGAGACGGAGGCGCGGTAGCGAACGCCGAGACACACAGGCAGAGGCGACTGGGAAGGACCAAGGACGAGAACGGGATCGCCAGCATGCTCCGTACCGAGAACAGCGCGGTGCGCGTACCCAGGCTTTCGGAGAAGAGGTTCAAGACCATTGAGAGCGAGCGCGGCGTGGTCTGGGACGAAGCCAACAACCGTTCAGGGTTGGGGGCAGAGCTGAACAGGCGAGGACTCGGCACAACGATCGCTCGAGCACCTGGGCTATGGTCTGGACGGCTCGTTAGGGGCTTGGTGGTCCCTCAGGTCATGGACGCAGGGCGTGTCTTCTCGCGGTTCCCCGGGGCTCGGAGGAATTCCATGGTGGACTGCTCGCTAGTATGGAGTACCGTCTGGCAATACGCGGCACGGCCGGGGGAGGGGATTCAGACTGACGGTGTTCGAGCTGTCAAGGGACTCGGTGTCGGACGTGATACACGGGAACTATCTCCATTACAAGACCACGAGGTGGTTCGACGGATCGACCGAGCTATGTACATGTGGACCAAGCAGGATCACGGAAGCGTGAGTTCGCACCGTATCGTACCCAGCAACTCGAAGCGTATCAAACCGAGTAAAGGGGCGCTGGAGCCGTTCCGCAGGGATACCAACAGTAGCAAAGCGGCGGGCTCCCCGGAAGCTCAAGTGCGACCTGAAACGCTCTTGCGAAGCGGTAAAGCGAGGTTCGGGAAGGAGCAGCTAGTCGAAGAGCAAGCCAGCGAGAAGGAGACGCATATGTCCCAGGTTGCGACGGATGTGTGCGTCGAGAGCGAGCCGAACGAGCGCACGGGAGAGGCCACGATGGCGAGGGATAGTAGTCCAGGAAACGAGCCCAGCGAGTCTGACGAGATACGGCTGGGAGTGGTCGTCTCAGAGGCGGCGGACGGTTGCGTACTGGACGAACCCGGGCCGCGGGAGGCATCCGACGAGGAGTGTCGTGAGGCGAAGGGTGGATGCAAGGAGATACAAGGGATGGAGCCGAGCAACGAGCAAGGATCCGCGAGCAATGCGGTTGGAGAGCCCGATGGCGGCGAGGGGCACTTACCGAGCGAGAGGAAGACTAGTGGCTGGGTCGATGAGGACGTGGAAGCGACAGGCAACGGCGCGCCAGGACCTGCATCGAGGGACGTCGCATTGCAGCAAGACGAAGTCGAGAGGTACGGAGGAGATGGTCCTTACAAGGAACACGAGCAGGGACAAGAGGAGAACGTCACCAGAGGGAACGCCTACGCGGGGAGTGTGCAGTGCGGGGGCGCAAGCTTGGAGCTGAGCACGGGCGAGATGACTCGCGAGCGTATCGACCATCGCAATATCCTACGTGCGAGGGGGCTCGCTAGCTCAGGAACATCGCTGCAAATGCGAGGCGAAGACGGACGGACCGGAGAAGCTGGAAGTGAGGAACCATTGGGGGCGGACGGCCCTGCGCGGGCGCACGGCGAGACAGACCAAGACGCGAGCCTGCTGCTGAGTAATGAGGAGTCCAAACCCGCGGGTGAAGGCGCTGGGCCTAGCGAGATGCAGGAGGTGGCGAGACAACAGATTCAAGTAAGGACATCGATACGCACGGCAGGAGAGAACGGACGTACCGAGTGTAGGAAGGCGGGCGAGCACACGAAGGATAGCGAAGGCGAGGTGGTTCCGCAGGAGGACTTGGTCGAGATCAGCCAGCCATACGGGCTGAAAGCGAACTTCGAAGACGTACGTGCACACGACGATACGAAACAGGGCGAGAGCTTGGAGCCGAGTAGAGGAAAGCCCGAGCCCGAGATGCAAGGCCCGGGCCCAAGCGACGAGCGACTCAAGAGTAAGCAGGAGGATCCCGTACGTCAGAGAGCGTATGGTGGACTTGCGCGCTGCGAGACGAGGCAGACCGTGATCCCGAAGCCGAGTAAGGGGGAGGTGACTGAGGAGAGGAGTGGCGAGATCGACACGAGGTACACGCTGCGGCTGGAAGCCGAACCGGGAATGTCGTCGTGCGCACAGACCCAGGATGGACAGGCCGAGCGAGAGGAAACGGGCGAGTACGCACTGGACGGTGGTCGCGAAGTCGCGATTTTACAAGTGAACCTGCTCGAGATCAGCCAGCCGACCGAACTCTGGGCGGATGTGAAGGACATACCGCAGTGGCGAGGCAGACACGCACATGCGTGTGGTGAGACGAGCCAGGGCCAGAACTTGAAGCCAAGTACGAGAGAGCTGAAGGACGGATGCGCGGGCGATAGTGGGACTCGGCGGGGGACGAAGCGGCGGGAAGGGCAGGCTTCAGCCGAGGCATCGTCAGGCACGCGGACGGAACACGGACGCACCAGACGTGAGGCAGCGAACACGTCCACGGAAGAGGGCTGTGGCGAAGCAGTCTGGCAGGTCGGGATTGCCGAGACGAGTCAGTCAACCGACCCATTCGCGGGCGTACTGGACATATCGTGGGAGCGATGTACGGAGGAAGGTTTGTCACGCCCACTGGAACGGAGGGAGTACGTACGCGCTGGGTGCGAGGAGGGCGGTGGTAGCGAATTGGTGCTACAATCGCTGTTTGTCGAGATCAGCAAGCAATACGAACGGTCCACGGACTCCGCAGACATACCAGGGCAAGGACACCGGACAGATAGGCTCGTGTGCGAAGGTAGCAAGGCAAACGAGGGCGCGAGTTTTAAGCCGAGTATGGGGGAGTGGGCTGATGAATGCACCGGCCGTGGCGAAACATGGGGGGCGACGAGGCGGACAGCCGCAGCGAAAGGGTTGTCGAGCATGCAAAAGGACATCACGCGCTCTGAGCGTGAAAGGACGAGTGGGAATGCGCAGCAGGGTAGCGAAGGCGACGCGGTACTACTGGTGGGGTTCACGGAGATCTGTCAGCTCGTGAGCCCCTCGGAGGATCCAGGCAACTCACCAGGGCGTCGACGCACGACAGGACAAGGAGCACCCATGCGGAGCAAGAGGGAACGTCCCGGGAGCTTCGAGCCGAGTAAGGGGGATCACGACAAGGACGTCCGGCAGCTTACGACATGGCAGAAGGGGAACTGCGACGATGGAGATGATCAGGTGGACACGAAACGAGGAGGCGGGGAACAGGCGAACTCTACGCACGAGGAACAGCGGGACGTGACCACCGACCAACCGAGCTACGCGCCTGAGGGTACAGGCGGCACGGAAGTCAGTAGGACCAATGACTTACCGGTTGAACCGTGGCAGGGTCCACAAACAGAACACGGCGCGGATGGTCCACAGGCTAGGACGGACAGCTACAAGCCCGAGTCTGCGAGTCAAGACGTATCTGAGGATGCCTGGCTGCTGGGAGACTTCGGCGAGTTCGACACCGATACACTGGAGCAAACATCCGAGGACGACCTCGTCGCATGCTGGCACATTGCAAAGGACGGGCGGCGGCTATGGGGATACATTCCGCGAGCCGAAGCCGAGGCGGCCCTGCGCGAAGTTGAGCAGGCAGACAAATGGATCCCAGAGGACGACACACGCACCGTTGACGAGGATACCGAGCGGAGCGAATGGCTAGCGCAGTACCTGGTACACGAGTGCGTACGACTCGGGGTAGATGTCTCGGATAGCCCAAGGAGCGCCGAGGACTCGACGCAGTGCGAGACTGGGCAAGCAGGCGGCCCAGGAAACCCGAACGCGCACGGTCCGGCGGAACGTGAGCGACCACAGAGTGCGGATCCGAGTATGGGGGAGCCTCGGAGAGGAGGTAGACCTGGTGGTCAGCCGGACAGGGTGGTCGAAGCGGAAGAACGTGGACTGCAAGAGTGCCTACTCGTTGAGTCGGCCGAGCTGAACATCCCGGACGAAGCGCACGATGACGGGCTAGTAAGCTGTTGTCACCTCGACGACCACGGGCAGTGGATCATCGAATTTCTTCCGCGCGACGAGTCGAAGAGGGCGGTTATAGAGGCAGATCAGCAGTTGCGCGGTGGGTTCATGCGCAGTTTAGGTGCGACGAGAGGACACACCGCAGACAACATCGACCGGAACAATCGACAGTACCAGGCGCACAAGCAGGCGAGGGACGACACGATGGCCTCGGGCAACGCGACCGTCGCGGACGATCATAGATTCGGACTCGCCGGAGAGTGCCTACTGGTCGAGTGCGCTGAGCTCAGGGTCCCAGAAGAGGTCTGCGATGAAAAACTAGTCAGCTGCTGGCACTTGGATGAGAACGGGCATCGGATCGTGGAGTACCTGCCGTGCGCAGACACAGAGAGGGCAATTGTCAGGACCAATCGAGACTGCGGCTGGCTTGACGAGGACGACGGTTGCACGCACGGTGTAAGCGGAGTTTGGGGACACGATATAGAAGACGGCAAAGCTAATGGACTCGCGTCATTCATGTCGCAATGGATCGCTCTTGGTTAGGCAGTGTTGCTGTCGCGGCGGGGAGTGGGTGACCGGGGACGGTCACAATTCGAGTAAGGGGGAGATGTGGGGAGTGCCCCCCACATAGGCCCGGACAGTACGTATATCCCTTATTTTGAGCTACCTGGTCAGTGCCATTCCCTCCGAGCATATTGACAACCTTCGCTATTCCTTCCGATACCCCATTTCTATTGTACCTGATGGACTTCGTGCGATTTCGCATTACTTACCATATATAGCAAGTACCTACTATTAGTCAGCTTCGGCGGCATACAGTGCCACGAAGACATGTACATAGCTCAGTTCTCCCCCCTCCGAATCTAGGCAACTACGAGCACAGCTCGTCTCGCTGCTATCACATTTTCTGGAGTTGGGGGGCATCTCCCCGAGTTGGTCATTAGCGACCTAGTCGGGCCATCGAGAATCATTCGGACGGAAGCAGTGCCACGTAGTTGGAGCAACACCAGTACTACGAGATCAGGGCAAGTCGGAAGGAGTACAGGTTAGGCCAAGGACTCGCGGAACGAGCTTAGGAACCAGCGGAAGAAGAATACGAACCAGCGGAAGGAAGACAGGATCCAGCAAAACGAGGACAGCGACCTGCGGAACGAGCTTAGCGACTAAGGAACAGAGCTGGCCTACTCCGCAACGAGCCGAGCGACTACGAGAGTTCAGAATAGGACGTCGGAACGGGTACAAGGAGACAGAACGAGAACGAGAACACGGAACGAGCACGAGATTGAACGCGGTACGACTCGGAGCCGTTGACTGGAAGCGAGGTTGAGGATACGAAGCACGGAAGAGGCGAGGGAGCAGCGGAACGAGTCAGGACTCAGGATGACAGCTGTAGACGAGGCCTGGAGGACCGAGGATAGGGACAGCGAGCCAGAGGTTTGGCAACGAGGTCCGTCTTTGGCACTACTCCCCTCCGAGATGCATATTCCCCCGTTTCGACACACCCTCCCTTCATCCTGGAAGCCATGGATTGGCCCGCCCCTCGAACATCGTGCCCGGGGGTACTACACTCCCGAGCTACACACCGTTCCGCTGGGGTGGCGGTATAAGTTGTCCAGAACGCATGCGACGAGTCGAGGTGGGGAAGAGAGGGAAGTCGTGGTAGTTGGGATCACGGAGGTCGCCTTAGTGGTCGACGTACGCGCGCGCCTGGGCGTGAGCGTGGGTGTGTTTCGCGCAAGTTTCGCGTCGAGGGGGAGTGTGGCAGCCGTGTCGCTGCACGCCGCTAGTGGGGCATGAGCCGGCCGCGCTACTCACCTTTGTACACGCCCGCTGCACCCGGAACGAATGATGAGGACGAAGTGACGGACGCCGAGTCGCAGAGCCACTATTTGCTCCTGGCGAGCGCGTCCCCTCATAGCGGCTTGTTCTTCAAGCCAACCAACGCAGTTGTAGCTATAGTACTGTGGTCCCAGACAATATATATAACGGAAGTTGATGTAAACATGGCGATGCCATCCCACTGCAACGGCGCGACACAATTAGGGCGGGCGCTATGTGTAACAAGACGAGACTACGCCTTGTACGGGAGGAGAAAAGAGGTCGGATTGTACTATACGGATACAGGTGTACAGTAGACAGTACAAGGGAGAGGCAAGAGGCGAGACGAAAGGGGAAGACGTTTGACCAGCAAAGCGTGTCGTCTGGGATCCGGGCCAGTCCTTACACTATGGCCGTGGCTAGCTATGAGGCACACGGCGGGCTATGCGGCAGACATTTGCAGGCAACGCGAGATCGGTGCGGACGGAGAGGTCATATGCAACACGGAGCTGCAGAGGACGCATCTGCATAGATGATAATGTTCCTGATGCGACTACGACCATCATTGTGCGCCGAACCGGGATGAAATGCATGATCAACGAGTAGAGCATATACGACAGCAAAAATCGACAGGGTGAAGCGGGAAGGATGGACCTTGATCAGCATTGGGAAAATTAGGAAAACGGTAGGGTGCAGCAATGGCAGAGCAAATGTGACAGCGAGGCGACGAGCGAGGGATAACAGAACGGGGTACAGCATCACGGGAACAGGAAAGAGCTAGGGACAGCCGTTTCGTCGGGAAAGGCATTGCAAGCCAATAGCAAAGCAGAGGCGGCATGAAGCGCCTGTAAATATACATCAGCACGAAACCTGTCGTAGGAATCTGGAACGACGAACGATAGCCTTATCAAACTATGTGGCAACACAAGTGTTGCTCGTGTTCATCGCATTTCGCGCGGTTTGCAGTAATGCACGTCTTCGGTCCGTGCTCGCGCTCGTACCTATTCATCCTCCTGACAAGGTCTACGAAAATGTCGCGGACGCCCCAATCGCGCTTGGCAGACGTCTCCGGGATGGCTTGCTCCCATTGTATCGCGTAATGATCGATGATTCGGCGGGGGATCATGCGTTCACCATCCTGAAAGACGCTTGTTAGACAAATAACCCGCTGCGACAATTATGAGCAACGCAGACCAGATCCCTTTTGCCAGCCGCCACGACAATTGGAACGTTCTTGAGAACATAACCGTCAATCTTAGAGTCGGCCGAATAGAGCGAGGTGAACGCACCTTATGTGGGCCTCTCAAGGCAAAGATACGATCTCTGATATTGACGACGTCAGTGAGTGTGCTACTGACGGTCAAGCTGATACAGCAGATGGGTAATGACACAAGATATTAGCAAATATAAATATGGAAGATCGTCGAGAAGGTCATACTCAAAGACGAGAAGAAAGCCGTGTGCACTCTGTTGGATCAAACGTCAAGACATCGCAGCGGAGAGACAGCTACAAACAATACCTCGATCTGTTCGTCTGTAACGTCTGTGATCTTATCTACGCCACTTGTATCAACCAGTTCTACCTGGTCATGTCGTCAGCTATCACACAGAGATGCCTGTTCAGAGACTATTGACCTGAAAAACTCCATCGTCGATTGCAAGCCGGTGTGTGTGCGAATCTAATGACTGCGGGTGTGAGCTGACATCAGACTAGCAACTACTACATACCGTGTATAGTTGGCAGATAGAGGTCGCTGAAGGCATTGTAACACAGTCGGCCAATGAGGGCGGTCTTCCCGACACCACTTCCTGAGGATGATAAATACAAGTAAGCTCACCAGCTGGAATGAACCATACCTCCAAGGAGAACTATTCGATAGCTCTGCATACCGAGACCAGGAGTGTTCGAGCCCGCGAAAGTGATAACGAAGCTGGGCCACCGCGACGTTATATCAGGACAGCGGCGCTTAGGTAAACCCAAGAAACCAAGGAAAACAAGGAAACTCATGCAACCATTGAAACCTCTCTCGAATGACGCCAATCACAAAAGCTGCTGATCCAGACCTTTCGGGAACGTTCACAGGGACAGCTTAGTCCCTATAGCGTTACGCTCAGACTACTCTTGGATTATTCCGACCTGCGACCGTGACCAACTCGCGACTGCGTCAGATCCGGACCCGCCGCGACTCTGTCACTGACCGGATCTGGTGGCAGCCTATTTGACCGTCAGAAACCGTTCAGACGAATCATGCCAGATGAAGCTCTCACCTTGAGGGCCTCTATACGATCCACAGCGGCATCCATGGGATGATGAGCTCTGTATGAACTTGAGTGCACCGGCGCCGGGCCCTGTCTATCCTGCACACGTCCAGAAGTGATGTCCGGTGCTATCCTATGCGTCGGTAAAGGGTCGTCTCTCTGGATAGATCCCAGTTGTGACCCATGTCTGCGTGGAGGGTGTACGGTTACGTACCTTCCGCGCCACAGGGTGTCGCGCGTCCTCTCCGTTCTCGGTGTCACGGTTTGCTCGGTTTTCTCAGGAAAGCCTCACTACAGTTATAATCTAGCGGCCACCTAGAACGGCGTCCACGCACGAGGACCAGACGCCCACAGGGTACTGTTTTTGGAAGGAGGAGCGGACTGGCTACTAAGTATCATACTAATTCCTGAGCGCTGGGCGCCGAGCAGCGGTGTTGAGTGTGTCGTCCTTCAGTTCCAGTCCTTCAGTTCCAGCTAGGCTCCGAAATGAAGGCTCAATGTACCTCGGTTCATTCGCTGATCACATATAGTATTCGATTGCTGAGGTTACAACACACGTAAGACAGCCGCATCGACACGCCGTAGGCAACGGCAGACGTAGTCTACGGTAAAGACGGCGGGGACAAGACTATGGACTGTAGCTGTAAAAGGTCCTTTGTGTGACAGAAAAACAGGACAACGGATACTTACTAAAGTTCGGAGATAAAAAGAACCCACTCAGGCTGTGCGCACCCGCTTTGAGGCACTCGCGCTGAGCAGGCACCTTGCGCTTTTCCGTCTGATTGTGAGGTTTGGTAGTCTCCGTAGCTGACCAAAAAGAGATACTGAGGTTTGGGGCGTTGGTTCCGCCCTGCGGTCCTCCAGCCGGATTCGTCGTGCCCGCCGCGGGCGCTAAGCCTCGGTCACCGCTCGGGGTCAACAAATCAGGCATGCGCCACCGCCTCGCGGGCGGTCACGGCCTTGCCGCGCTCTGCTCCACCCGCGGTCACAACGATTTTGGGCCTTGGCCGCTTGGCGGGCGCGGTCACCAACTCGCAGCGTGCGGGCACACAGATAGAGTAATGCCGATTATATCAACTATTTTTCGCGCCACGTCGTGTGTCTTGGGCAAAGTAAGCACGTTGAGTCAAGTTGTCAACTGTGGGTAATGCAGCTTAGTGCTCCTACATGGTGTGCATAGTGCTCGCCTCGCGCTCTCTCTCGCGTCTCTGCTCACTCGGCGCCACGGACAATAGGGCGTGATATCGAGCACACAAAGCAATGTGGAGACAACGGGAGAGCTACTAGTACAGGTGAGTTCGTAGGCAACACCTTGCAGTCCTTTCACCCGACCTCACTGCATCACCCTCCTCAGTTTGCGCCTCCGACGGGGTAAGTCCGCGATTTCGATCTAACCTAACTCGGCCCACCCGTCCCTCGTATCGCGCGACCACCCACTTCGTTCTGATGCGATCCACCGCAGCTCCCACTCGAGGTCGGAAGCCATGATCCTCGCCATCTTCCCTGCTTGCTCGCGCTTACCTGTCCCCTCTCTTCACGCGCCATCCACACCCCTCCCGCCTGCTCGTCGGTGTGCCTGTACCCACGGCGGGCTCGTCGGCTGCGCTTGTACGCGAGGCACTGGCCTTGCGCACTCGCAGTCGGCGTGTTGCGCACGCCCAAGCCCTGCCGTCGTCGCCGTCTCCCGACCTCAGCTCACCCGCGTGGTCCATTCGTCGGCCGTGCTTGCGTGCTGTACAATCGCCCAGTACGCTTGCGATCGGCGTGTGTCGTCCCCTGCTTGTGTGCCCGCCGACACGCCCGCTCGCTCGTGTACTCACCCGCCCGCCCGTCATCCCGTCTACGTGCCTGCTCATCCGCTCGCCCGCCCTCCCACTCGCGTTGCGCGCGTTCGTCGGCTGTGTCTGCGTACTGGGCATTTGCCCAGCGCGCTCGCAGTCGGCGTGTGTTATATGCGCTACCGCGCTGTGTCCCCGCCTATTCGGTTGGTCCGTGCGCGTGCGGTCCGTTTGCCAGCTGCGTTTTTGCGCGAAGCAGTCGCCCTGTGTGCTCGCAGTCGACGTGTGTTGTGTTTCCATGCCCCGGTCGCACACTTGTCCCCGTCGCTTCGCCCGCCGTCTTGCACTTGTCTTGCCCGTCCTATCTCCAAGGGTGTCGTCCGTTCGTCGGTCACGTTTGCATGCTCGGCATTTTTCCTGCACGCTCGCAGTCGCCGTGCGTCGTCGCCCGCTTGTATGCCCGCCAGCCAGTGAAGCCGCTCAACCGCCGGTCTGCTTACCCGCTCACCTGCCCATTCGCCTGCTCGTTTTCTCGTCATTTCACCCGCTCGGCGGTTGCTCACGCACTCACCCGCTTGCCCTTCCGCCCGCTCGTCCTCCTCCTCGTCCCTACGCCTGTCGTTCGTTCGTCGGCCGCGTCTGCGCGCAGGGCATTGACCCTGCGCATTCGTGGACGACGTGCAGCAGACGAGGAAACTCGCCCGCTTGCCCGCCTACTCGCTCTCCACCGCCGGAACGCACTAAGGCGGCACGCCCGCCCCGCCGTTAATCAATACAACACACGGGCACTCCCTCGAGCCCTGGCATCCCCCACCACTTCGTTTTGCTATGGCTAGGTCTTTCTGCGCCGCCAACTCTCGCGACCATAGCAGGCACCTTCATTCGCCGGAACGTCCACACAATTTCGTCCATCAAGATGCAGGACCGCCGCTCAACAAGCTTAGGGACTGTCAGCGCCCCGGTCCGTAAACATTTCACCTGGGCACGCACCTCACCGGCCGGACTCGCGCCTGAACGCGTCCGGATTTGCCCCCACCGCGTTGGCCAGGTCCCTCTGCGTGGCCGACGCTCGAGGGCATGCATCCCCACCCGCTGTCATCACCCCAACCACGCGATCCTGTCCCAGTGGAGACGCAGGGGCGTCGCTGATGATCTTAGAGGGACTGTCAGCACCCTGCCCATGAGCGCAGTGCTCGGGCACTTACCTGATCGCGTCCGCCGGATATGCCCCCACCGGCCGACGTAGCAGGCGACGCGCATGGCGCCGCAGCTCGCCCCTTGCCGCAGCTCTGCCATGGCCACTCCACCTTGCTCATCCAGGTTCCGAGCCGGACACAACGGACGGGTGCGCGCGCCAAGGGGCGCAAACAGTTCTCTGGTGAGTGATCCAGTCAGCGTCTCTGCGGTCTCAGGGTCACAGCGGAAGCGGCGAGCGACGGATAGACAAACTCACTCCCTCCAGAGTCTCCTCACTGTCCAGGTCGATGACGGCAAGCCCGGACGCTACGGCTCTGACATCCAGGGAGAATGCTCCTCGATAGGACATTTGAGCATTATAGTTCCCTGCACAGTGCTACCGTCGAGCGATTCGGGGGACGAGTTCTTGCCGTCTGCGTTTTCCTGCATAGTAGTGGTTCCTACAGCAGTGTCGTGCCCTTCAGTAGCGCCCACATCGTGGACGTTGTCTGCGATTGCACTGTGGACGGTGTCGATTTCATCGCCCTGGGCAGCGACGCCTCCGTCGGGGGAAGTGGCTGGCTCTGAATCGAAGGCGAACGGTGGCTTCGTGGACGTGTTGGTGGTAAAGAGGGCAAAGGTCAAAACACCGCCGATATCGAAGCGGCACTGAGAAAGACGAGCTTTAAACCATTAGATGCACGCAGTATAGGGTGCCACTCACAATCGTCGCTAACACATGGGCCTGCATGTGCGTGGGTGCAGTGGAGGGGTCTGGGACTTCAGTTGTCAGTACTGGCTCAACTGCGGTCCTTCCTCTCGGGATCCATCTCGAGGTAGCGCAAGACGCGCTGCAGGAAGCAGTGCGGGTGTAGAACAGACCGGCGACCGACATCGTCGTCGCGCACATGTCCGCAGGCACGATCGGTAGGTCGCCGGTCTCGAGGCTCTCCGCCGTGTTCCCGAGCATGACGACCTCAGTCGTATACGAGAACAGGAGCGTGTCCGACTACGACGCCCCCGTGATTCCGCACGCATTCTCCTCGCGCGTATTCATCGCGATCACCTTCTCCGAGTAGATCTGCTCAGGCGGGAAGTGCAGTGGCGGCGCGCAAGGAGTGGTCGCGACCAGGATGAGCGAGGCGATGTACTGTGCGAGGGTTGCGTAAGAAAACCCCAGCGGGATGGTCGAGGGCACGTACACGCTGATGTCGACAAGCTCGCCCACCGAGCGAGCCGCCACTACGAGCGTGTAAAGCGCAAAAACGGCGTGCAAACGGTACGCGGCAATGTTCGTGCGCTCGTCCTCAATGGCCGCGCAGCCGAGGCAAACGCATTGGACCGTCAACCTCAGTCGCTTCTAAGGCGAGGTATGAGCCTTAAAAAGACGACTTCACAATTTCACGACGCACCGTGTACCAGAGATCCTCTCCGTTGACCGGTGTCCCATCCAAGAGATCCCCTGGCATCGTCACATCGACCGGGTCCTACTCCAGTTCCTCTTCGACGTCGGGATGGATCTTGCCTTCCTTGGGTTGCGAAAGCAGAAAGGCCGATCGTTCCGGAGTGGCTTGGGGTAGAGGGCGAGCGGCCATCGAGACTCGATGCACGAGATGCCTCAAAGGCTGCCGTGGCGCTACTAGCTAAGTCATGGCAGAGGCTCAGCTTGAGGTTTGCGCGCGATTTGGTGTTCAGTTGGGCGATTATGATGGTTGCCCGTGTTGCAGTCATGGACGTACTGTCGAGAACGGAGAGGCGCCAGAGCCACTCGAGGCCAGTTGCGCTGGTTCCTTGTGCAAGGTAATATCGTACACAATTGATCGATTCCCGAGCATCACCACTTGTACATACAGCGCACGTATAATCTACATTCACCCAGTGACGAGCACACCGCTGCTTCAACACGAACACGTCTGATGCGAACGCCATCGGCCTCAACCCCGCCAAACCGACGGCCACGGTTTCAGAGTGGCATATGAGCCAGAACAGGGTTGACGAGGCAGCTCACATCGCGGCCCTCCACTTCCTTGCGCACATACAAGGTAATGACCCAGCTGGTTGTAGTCTGGAAGCAGGAAACAGTGATTCAGTTGTCGTCGGTCAACGCACAGTTAAACTGTACGTACCACCAGTCTGACGAGATATGCCTCCTTTGCACCCTGGAACTTCTCCGGATAATGCTGGATGTAGCCTGGTCCCAATGGTGAAGTCAGACCAGTGTGGCATGATCAAACAGAACTAGACGTACGGGCAGCTCTGTCCATTAACCCATTCCAGAACTGCCATTCGTTGGAAAACAACATTACGCCTCCGTGGACGGTCTCGAGCTCATTGGACTGGGCAAAATTGCCTCCATCGGGGGCCCGGGGATAGGCTGCCCCAGTTGAAGCAGAAGATAAACCGTCGGAATTCCGGGGAGAAGGAGGTTGTAGAGACGGACAAGAAGGTAGCACCGGTAAGACCAATGTCGATGAAGGGACGCTATGATCAATCACCAAACTATGAGGATGGAATGCATCAAACAATCAACGCCACCCACAATGGTCGCCAACACTTCTAAATTGATCCGTGCATAGCAGGGGTTGGCTGAGGGGACGAAGCCTGTCAGGGCGACGCTGTAGCTCGATATGTCGGTGTCACGGGGAGCTTCAGCTGCTTCACGGGGAGTTTCAGCCGCTTCACGGGGAGCTTCAGCCGCTTCACGGGGAGCTTCAGTCACTTGGGTCATGTTGAAGAAGAAATGGGAGCGATTGTGAAAACGACACCGCGACAAACGGCCTTGCTTTATAGCTCGACGCACCTGAAGAGGCGCACACCTTCACGTATGCATTGCCCATTGTGCGGGCCGGCTTCGACAATCGTCCGCGGCCATGTGGCCATGGTGATAACACGTATGCGTCCATTCTTGTACACATGTACACGTATGTATATACGTGCGCGGACCGTACGCATACACGTTGGCCTAGGAGAAGGGGCGCCGGTCTTGTTCTAACCGGTACAGTTGCAACTCCCGACATCCCCTCGTAGCTGAACCATGGCGGCGTACATTGCTGGCGTTTGGGCGACGCTTTCACGACTTCTTTTGCCTTCGCGGTATAATGCTGGGGCTCGTCCCGTGCACTGCACATCCGATTTCTTGGATCACCTACCCAAGTTTGCCCTTCTGTTGTCATTCGGACAGGCCGCCACATACTGAGACTACGCCTTACAGCGGCACCTCGATTCTGTTCTGGAGCAATGTGTTGGACACAAGAATCATTGAGAACGTAGACATACCGTATTGCGAGCCCGACACGCTCACGCCTGCGGTGTTGTTTTTCGTAGAACTGGCTGGAGGCGATTGTACGTCACCGCGCATTCCTCGGTTCCTCGCTGACTGTCATTTCTACATCTAGCTGTCATTGTCATCCAGCCAGTGACGGGGACAGTGCATGACACTCACCATATCGGCATGATAATCACTAAGGACTCGATTGTCTATGCGGTTGAGGTGCGTGCGTGACGGGTCTTCGGGTCGCCACAGCGGTCTGAGCGGGGTCGGCAGAAGAGAACGATAATTAGAATCGCTGTGGACAAACGGTGCTATCAAGTGCAGATGCCAACAGGAGAAGACTTCCTATCGTTGTTGTACTGGTTTTCGCGCAGTCGCCTGCGCATCGAGAAGCAATGCCGCAAATTGAACGAACAGGTGAAAGGTCTTGGCCAGGCGCTCCAGACGCATTAGCGAGTTATAACTACGTACTTAGCGGTGTAACACGATCAGCAGGACGAGTGTAACACGATTAGCAGGACGAAATTGACGAGCAAACAGTCATGTTATAGCCGACCGAGTTGGTGGGTCGGTCCATGCTTCATCGACACGACCTACAACACGCTTGACGTACCCCTCATGAGAACAACCCGGCAGCCCTGTACCAGATTCAAATCCTCAGGTGGGTGAACACAGATTTTGCAGGCGAACAGACGAACAGAACCACTGACCTGGCGCCCTCCATGGGTCCAGCAACCTGCTGTGACTCGGATGCCCTTGCTGAGCCGTAAAGCGATGATGCTGCGTATGCCGTCCATAACATTTTGCCGCATTGTTACCAGAAGACCAGGCCCGCGTTGTGACCTTAGCAATTTACACAGATATGAGAAGAGAAACGTACGGCGCATCTGCAACACTGAGCTACTTGTACCGGAGTCGTTCTCTCAGCCGTCGTCCAGGTGCATTTATAAAATAGGGATATTATGACAGTGACCTCGGCACACGCTCGTAGAGCAACGACTGAGTGTATTGCCTGAGCATACCTGTAGCAAGACAGTGACTACGACACTCATCCGTGCTCCAACAGATATACATGCAGCTCTGTAAGTCCTCGTATGGCCGCATCTGCGAGGGACTGATGAACCATTGAACGCGCTGAATATCTCCAGTGCGACGGCTACCGTTACCCGCTAGTCCGTGGATAAAGGTCTCGCGCCACACGCTTCAGCCACATCGCGTCTCGCGGTCATCGCGTTCGCTGTACCCCAATCATGCACTCAGTTCTCATCCTACGGCCTCGACGACCACATATTCGGAATCTATGCGTCAAGATGAGTTCGGAGAAGTTGTCAGCAGAGTGCTATCGCCTCCTGTTCGCGTGCAAGACACCACAGAAGTCCGGACAACTTGAAGCTCACAGTCGCGACGTGGCGCATGAAGAGGGCACTCGTCGTATTGTGTTGCGCGAGTGTATGATGTTGGGTGTGGCAGATAGAGTTGAACAGTAATGGTGTATTGAATTTCACATTCTCGGTATGTGTCACTGTGTCTTGCCGGATGCATCTACTATGCACTGTACATAGTATGCAATACAGTTCGTCATTAATCATGAAGTCTCGCTCCAGGTGTGAATTTGTTGGTACCAGTGGGGATGGTAGATTGTTGATACACTCAAGAAACATTGCGTACAGCATAGAATACATTTCGTTGACAGGTGCAGGATATGCACATAGAAATATACATAATGGTCGTGTCGTGTTGGCTGCAGTTTAACTGGACCTCCTACGGAGCAGGAGTTGGATGTATGATTGTATTAATAGTGGTCCTTATATATCTAGACTGAACATAGTATATTGCAATGTATAACGTGGTGAATGAGTAGCCTGTACACCCAGGACTGCTCATGCGAGTACAGAAGGACAGCACACTAGCATCGAAGACTCACTGTACAACCAGCTTTCCCCCTGGCTCAATAAATCGTTGAGCACTCTCTCCCCAGCCTCCTGATATGTGTTGTCTGGCACCCGTGCGCCGGTCATGCTGCCTGCGGGTGTTCGCCGAGTGGCCAACTCGTCCGGACCCAGGTCGTGAGGTCTTGTGCGCGATTATCTGTGAATGTGGCGTTTATGAGACCTTTGCCGGGCCGATTTCAATGCGTAGATTCCGATTATGAGGTCGCCAAGGCCACAAGACGCGTTTTGAGCGAGGTATTGGGCATTATGTGAAGGTGACGGCCGCGAGAAGCGAGGTGGCTGAGGCGTGTGGCGCGAGACCTTTATCCACGGACTAGCGGGTAACGGTAGACGGCATGGTTCAAGTCAGTGGCTGAGCGCTGCGGTACGCTCGTACTAAGCGCCAGCGCCGCAAGACTCAGCGCCGAAATGTATGCCAATCAGTCGCCCTACAAATCATTCAGAGCAGGTTGGAGAACCTTTCCAAGTCCTTCGCTCACGACGTCGGTCTCTTTCGTGTGTGCGTCTCGACCAGTGATGAGAATAGGTTTTGCAGACGGCAAGTCTACTTATACGATACATATGACAACAGGATGCTATTAACCCGGGAAACCGGTGCTAGTACAGGTACAAAAGCAACTTGAAAACGCGTATTTCGAGGTCAGATCACGTTATGAATTCAGGACAATGGGCAGTTCCGTGGCTTCATACATCCTGAGATGCAAAGTGAGTCGAGCTATAGGTCAAGCGCAGTTCAAACCCTACCGTTCACATTGTGACCGACGCTTGTGTAACTCGTGAGACGATTGCGATATCAAGGTGGCCTAGGAACTGAGGTATAGATGCGACAGTTAGGAAGCACAGTGAAGCACGCACGACGTCTTCCCGATAGTAGACAAGCAGACCAAGCAGGAGTAGAAGGACAAAAAGAATGGTCGATGTCATGATCAGGCACCATACCCAAACATTAGCGGGATAGTCAGAGGTCATGGACTTATGGCTATCGAGACGCCTGTATTCGCTCTGAAGCGATGCGGGCTTGGTTCGTCTTCCATCTTCCTGAAGCGGCGCAGGCTCGGTTTGCCTCCGTTGCCCTCGATGTGTCTTGCCGAAGTCCTGCCGAATAGTACGTCCCGTCGCGCATGCAGAAGCCCCAGCAATCCGCTTCGATAAAGCGTTCGGCATTCGGGGCCTGACATCTTGAACCATGTCGCCGACAGAGTCTGCTTCGCCTTCATCGCTTGTACTTGAAGATTGTATGTCGGGGCTGTTGCCGTTGTTCAGGTCCTCGTTCGGGTCCTCGAAGAAGGATGCCACGTTCACTGAACGAGACACAAAGTGCTTTAACTCAACGCTTTCGCCCATCCGCGAATTAGAGGATGCCGCACGATCTGGTTTCGTCAATCGAACTGAGCACAGAAACCGCATTAGTAGAAGTGTGTGATATATTTGAATTCAATACCTAGCTTCTCCGCCCGCCACAACTTGATAAAGGTTTGATCACCAGTCTCGGACGAGGCTGTTGCAAGAAGCCTGACAGTGCCATCGTGCTCGGCCTGGAAAAGGGAGGAAGAAAGTTAGCGCAGCTTGATGACATGACGTGAAACCCCACCAATGTCCGAACGATGTGAGGACCTGACATGCACAGCAACGTTCAGCCTGCGTCTACGCGCCCGATGCATACGACCACTGACCGTGTGCTAGAACCTGCATTACCAGTGTGGTGCCACAGTCGTAGATAGAGACACGCCCCGTGTCACTACCCGTCAAGACAGCTCTGCCGTCGTGGATGAACAACACAGGAAGGGAAATATTGATCAACGCCTTGGTTTTGAAAGTGCGAAGGGGTCGTTTGTCGCTGAGTCTGTACATGTCGAAACCGTCATGAAGGTTTGACACGACGAACACTTTCTTATCCCGGGATAGCGACGATCTGCCACTGTTGGCAAGATTAGGGAGTGCATAAGCAACGACATAATGACAGTAACGCACATCCGAACTCTCTTTAGTGGCAGTCGCCATTCCATTACCTGACTTCTTACATTCCAGCAGCTAGGGTCGAAGGCAATTCGTGAATTCCAGTATCGGCTTGCGAGTCGGGCATCGTACGTACACAACACCATGAGAATCATAGGAAACGAGTAAGCGCGTTCCGGAATCCAGCCAATGCACGGAACGTGGTGAGACACCATCTACGGCATGGGTGGCGTCCGTGACGGGGGCGACGTCCAATTGCCTCGGATGGGGTAGCCTGCATATGTACGCCCAGCAAGCTACATAGGCATCAGCAAACAGTGAAATTGATGGGGACATATCTGACGTACTTGCTCGATGCTGTTGCCAAAGTCTCACTTCACGAGTGGTGCATACTGCCAACATGCCGCTGGTAGTATCGTGGTCGAGGCCTTCAATCGGGAAGTCGCCATTCACAGGGAACTGAATCCCGTCCGGTACGGCCTGGCGAGTTTTGTGAGCGGATCGCCTACGCCTGATCGCGCGAGATACGCACCGATAGAATGTCGATAAACCTCAGTTTACCATTCCCATAGCCGATGAACAACTTCTCACCTCCTGCGCCATTTGCGTGCCAGAGCAGAGCAGTGACAGGGGCGTCACCAACAAGCTTTTGGACCTCGATACCTCGCACGCAGTCGTGCACGGAAACGGTACAGTCATCAGAGCCACTTGCCAAGTACAAGCCGTCCGCAGAAAAAGCAAGGCAATTGATGGAGTCCTTCTGGCATGAGAACGTATATGCAAGGCTATACGACATGGTTGCTGAGGGCAAGATCAGAGACGACTCGGGCGCACTTTTGTAGGATACTAGCTGAGGCAGCTCATGTGCCACTTCTTTGGTCGCCCACAATGGAAGAGAATAGCTCACAATTGTCTTAGCAGACTGTGCAAGGCGCACGGGTACGACGATGAATTGCCTGCCTGGCTCGTTGGACAATGGGGAAAGAATGCGTTGTTCGTCGCAGCGAGCACCGGTGTATATCGCTGCAACATGCACGACGTCTTTGGTTTCCCAGGTGAAAAGGAGAACGTTGACTGAACGTTATTGTCGTGGCGATAATACACGTACCTACAACCCATCTCGTCGGACAATGATGCCACGAGGGAGGAACGCAAGACATGTTCAACGTGTCTTCCGGAACCTCATTGGTCCGTGGATTCCTGAGTCATTTGACCGTCCCCTTGACCCGTCGCCCAGAGGTCTGAGTGACAGCCTTTCGCGGCAAGAGGCTGTTGCGTTCATGACTAAGTCGATGATCATCGTCGCCAGCCGTGGAACGTCAACTTCAACGTGGGCGCCATCTGGGCACGGGCTAGTAGACGAACTGCAGGAGTCGTGCCCACTGGCGCACAGCCTCTGGCGTAAGCCCCAGCGAGTTGTCCCTGTGCGCATCTTGGCACCGAATCCATGCTCCAGTACTGACCGCCGGGGTGGCGCGGACGACCACTTCAAGTTCGCCACTGGCACGGGCGTGCGCCTCGGACGGTGGGCGGACGTCTCGCAGCCGTCACCGGGCTCAGTGCCGGCGGTGATGCTGCGCATGGTCGTACGATGGGACATGAATGTTAGGTGGCGAGGAAGCTTTACGTCAAGGAGCAGCAATCATGATTGCAGTGAAGAGAATGGTGACGAGTAACTTGAAGCGAAGACAGTACAATACAATTGTATGGCCTTGAGAATCGATGCGGCTGATGAACCATAGTATTCTACAATGCTTCGTCAAGCTCTTGGAACCTATCATCTATGGTATCCGAGGACTCCTCGCCGGCATCCTCGTCAAGGGGCGGTGAGCAAAACTCGTATACAGAAAGGGCAGTAATGCTGAACCACCGTGACACAGAAGTCTGATAGATGCGGGGCGCAATGAGACATGGCGTTCGTAAATGTCCAAGTCGGCACGCACCTCTTCAGTCCGTCGCTCCACAATCCCTGTCCAATAGTAGGCAAGGGGGGGACTGGTTAAGCAAGTCATGAGAGTATCATTGACTTCCTTCTTGAAGTAGAAGCGGATGGTCCAGCGGTCCTCGATCTATGCTACGATAAGGAAGGCCACACGTAGGGTCGAAACCTTTGAGATCTTACCCAGTAAGGAACCCGCACCATGTATACCTCCTTGGCTTCAGCGAACTTCTCAGGGTGATCATACAAGTAATCTGTGCACATTGTCAGATGCCATATCTATACTCCAAGCGAAACAATACAATGATACGCACAACCAGTAGCGCGACAAATCATATCCCAAAACTCGTCGTCGTTGTCTTCGTCAATATGGGTCATTGGAGTGAAGATAGCTGCCTGGTCTTCACTCGTGACATCGTCGAGGTCCGTTAGAAGCGAGCTGGTATTGGTACTATCGTTGGCTCTCGAATTGCTCGTCTCTTGGTGACCACCTTCCTCGGCAGTGCCACTCAGGCGACCACGTCCAGTCTGCGAGCGGTCATCGAACGGCAGGCTGGGGACCTCGTCGGTTGTATCTGTTGTTGTGATATGACAGGTGGGTTCGCCATCAAGCTCAAAAAGGCGCTATGAATGCCATGAGTATTAGCTCGGAGTCGTGCGCATCAAAATGCCACTCACAACTGTGGCAATGACTTCTAGGTAGACACCATCTGCAGGTATGGCGTTGATGTTCAAAACCGCACAGGTGAGGACAACCCTCCTGTCAGACAAGTTGAGGTCGGTAAATTCGGTGGGCATAGTGAGATTCGGGAGCAAGTGCACGTAGGGAGCAAGTGCACGTAGGGAGCAAGTGCACGTACCAATACGCCGCTCCTCTGAGAGCTTAAGTTGTAAAATCTTGCATTGTTCGGTAGCCAACCAATGAACAACGTCCAAATGTCGATATGATCAGCATTGCTGCCTACGTGGCCAGAAAAGGTCGCGTGACGAGGATGAAGAGGACCATGGCCAGCAACCGGCGCAGCGTAGGGTACCCCCCGCTCTGCGTTATAGGATGTACCGGAGGACTCAGCGGGCTTCCCGGACTGGGTGACGCAGCCTTTCCGTTCCCAGTCGTTTGTGCGCGGATTCCGTTAGGGATCATCATATCGGTATAGGAGGAGGATCTCGACGCCCGTGCCTATCGCCATATCGTATTTACCACTTTGACTAGTAAGAGTTGCGTCTCCGCCACCCTCGTTATCGCCTGCTCAGTCGCCGCGTCGCTTGCCCCCCTTGACCGTCCCCCCGCTTGCTGCTATGTTATTTGCTTCGGTGTATCTTGTTCGAATTTGTCGTGAATGGGTTCCTGGCGAGCGAGATCAGGTTCCGCGAAGCTTTGGCCGGTGGACGCGGAGAGATGAGATCGGCGAGAATCCGGGGATGGGTCCGTATATGGACTGGCACGCCCGTAAGCGCGTTGCCCGGTTCGCTGTGCGGTGAATATGAATGCCGAGGCCACTCTTGCTGGCCCTCCGTGCGTCTGGCCATGGAGATCTGATGCCAATGGGAGGGGTCACCCTCCCTCTTCCCCTTCGTCCCCCATACACAGATTCGACCGCGTGATGGATATTAGGAAATTGTGCGCTCTCCTTTCACCCTCCAGCCCCTCCTGATATGCTCACAGCCTCTGCCCAGGTTACGATCGCCCAGTCCCTGTATGGATGTAACTCTGTATGAAATGAAAACCGAGATGGGTCGTGTGGCCGAGGAAGTCGCTCAACGCTCATTAACAACGCCTTCGCTCCAGAACTACACTAATACTGGCAGTGCAGATTATTCTACTATAAGGTACAGAGCGATCGCGACCACCGAAGCCCACAACAAGCTCAGCAGGCCCGCATTTCACAGTGATAAGAATGAACCGAACGCACCCTCGGCCACGAGTGAACGCCACGCGAGGTACGGCCGCCGCCTGCTGGGATACACGCGCCTGGCTGACCCCGATGTAGCAGCGACGGTGCCCGCATCACGCTCGACGTACGCGACACGCCCGCCAAGCCTGTTGTACCTGAGCAGCTCAACAACATCCTAGACTCTCCCGTTGGGCACCCCAACGACCCTTCCATCGACTCCGCTGCTCGCGAGTAAGTGTTTCCTCTCCTCTGCGCAGAACGATGCCTCGATGACTCGTATACTCCGCCTTAGGTTAACCCGCAGGCACACCCCCGCTGAGAAGGCGCGCGAGAACAAGCTGCGGGAGGACAATCTCTGCGAGATCTCCAGCCCGCAGCTGGTCCGATGTCGCCGCTGCAATTCCTGGATCAAGCTGTCCGCGAAGAGCGCATTTGATCCTGCGCACTGGAGCAAACATCGTGAGCGATGCGTACACAGATCGGAAACCGTCGTGAAGGGGCTGCGAGAGACGAATAGCCAGGTATTGATGTTTGCGCGTCGCGTCAATTCGAACTTCTCACAGAGATACTCGATAGCAGGCACCGTTTTCGTCTGACGTGAAACCGTCCAATGTTGTCAAGCGCATGGTAGCCGCGTTGGCCACACCGCCGCTGACCCCGGATCGCGACGGCGACGACACTTCGAGCGCGGGTAATGCAAACTCCCCGTCTAAGGAGGACTCACCTCTCACCCAATTCTCCGACTGTACGCAAGCTAGCCCCCCGCCGTCTCCATCGCCCGCCCCTGCTCCGCCTCCCGCGATCCGTGATCCTGACCCAACATTCGAAGAGTACCTCGCCCGCTCCCAACGCCGGCCGACACGTGACCTGGCCTCACCCCTGCTGATGAATTGGCAGGAATGGAGCTGGTCGCAGTTGAAGAAGCCCGTGTGGTACCCCGAGTACGACGACTCGGACGATGATGAGGATGACCGGCGCCGCCGCGTGCCAGTCTCGCACGAGCGGTGCACCATTCATAACAGACGCGACGGCGCCGCCGCGGGACCTATCGGCAGGGGATCCGCTGGCCCCGTATGGTTGTAATGGTAGATTGAATAACGGTGATCTTGAACGCATCTCGTGTACAATCTGTATCTTCTGTGGTCTCGTCTTCTCCCATGTTATCTGCACGCTTTGCCCTCCTTTCTCTTTTCTTGTTTTCGACTCGCAGCTTATTTCTCGCACCCTCTATTTTCTGCACCCCGTCCCATTTGCTTATCTGTGTTGCTGTCTGTGTTATCGTTGTAGCAGAAGTGCCCTTGGTCCTGCCACTTGCTTTGAGGCACTGGTGCTGGCTAGCAGCCCGGTCGAAGTGTAATGTACGACAAGATCTGTCAATCACAAATTCGGCTATTATCGTTATTGAATCCTCACATTTTGTCCACTGCGTGCGGCAGGATGGGTGCCAGTGGCCGCTTAGCCCCCCCCCCCCGCGCTGGCAACTGCAAAGCTCCTTCGGCCTTTCTCAACCGTACACTTGCAGGGTGCCGGGTCGCCGACCGGGTCGTCGGCGGGAGCGCGTCTAAGGGCGGATGTGCTGTGGCGGGGCACGCGTGCTAACAAGAACGCTATAGCAATGATGTTCAACGTTCGACTTTCAAATATTCACGTGCGAGGTTAGTGTTGAACTATAAACGTTAAACGTTTGAACCTATGTCGCATGGGCTGTCGGTTGGTCGCATGGGCTGTTGGTTGGTCGCATGGGCTGTTGGTTGGCTGCACAACGCGTATCGAGGTTCACTTCAAGTTGCGAGTCTTGTGCGATTACTTGTACATACAGAACACACGTATACGCTTCCACCTGCCAACAACTCGCTTCTGCTTCGCCTGACGCGAATGTCGGGCGCCTCAATCCCGACAGACCGACGCCTGCCTCAAAGCGGCGTATGAGCTAGTATGGGGTTAACGAGGCAGAGTGTCCGGGTATTGGGTTTGATGGACGGCAGCGCTGACGGTCCCTCTAAGGACATCCTCGAACGGCGTTTGTGCAGCTGCGGCACAGATGGACGCCGGTTTTGCGTCTTCCATCGTCCGGGCGCAGTTCGTCGTTCATGCATTCATGAGGTGCGTGCGCGAGTGTTCTCTTGGGTGGCGCGGCGTTGACAGCCGTTCTCGAGCGACTCTTCGAGCCCGTTCAGGCGCACTCAGGCTTCCTGCTCACGACGACGGCTATGGACGGCAGACCCAAGCTGGGAAAGTACCCCGGACGGCCCGCTTAACCATCGTCTGGACGGCTGCGGTTCGTCACCGTCCCGCCGTTGGTTCTCGCGACCTTCGACGGGGCGTCAGTACAACAGTGCGCATGAGGAAGCAGATTGACACACCATGGCGGTCCTCGTGCTCTTGCGCGGACACGAGCTCGTCGGCGCCGTGGGCAGGGCTCGCTGCAGGGTATCGAGGGCGGTTCGATCGTCGACATGGCCATCGCCTGGACCGCGTGTGGGTGTAGTAGACCCGCATGCGTATCGTTCGCTGTCGCGAATGTAAGTACAGTATACGGTCATATACAAATGAACAGGGACATACCGGATCCGTGCCGTCCACGCGCATGACTCGCTTGCTTCCCGGATACGCCAGCAAAGCTCGAAGGTTGCCCGTTGATTGGACGGCCCCGAGGGTGTATGGGCAGCCGCTGCACATACCCGGGCCGCGCGCGCTGGCCTTCGTGCGCCCGGACGGGAACGACGGTGGTCGGACGTGACGATTGCGTCTGGGCAGGTGTCCGGACGTGGCGACGGTGTCCGGACGCAAGCGACGTGCTCTGGACGTGAACGACGTGCTCCGGGCGTTCGATCGGTGAGTGGGACCTTGTCGCTTCCCCGTCGTCTGTGTCTGATCCGACCGCAGGGACACCGACGCGATTCGTGTTCGCCAGGCTCGTGCTGCCCGTCTTCCGCGCTTCCTGCACTCTCGGACATGACGAGGTGCCCGGACGTGAACGGCGCGGCGGACCACGCCGCTGTCCTCATCGCGGGCGGCTGCGACCGCATGCTACTGTTGCGCGCGGCGTCCATGTTGGTTCGCAGTCGTGTCCAACTCGGCCGTACGTTCGTGCGTGATTGTCAACCCAGTTGATGCGGTTTGATGAGCGAGATTCTCGTGAGCCAACGAGACCACAATCGGTACAAATTGACTCACCGGGCTGGAAACTTGCCCGCCTACTCGCTCTTCCGCCTGTGCGTGCGTTCGTCAGCGGTGCCTGCGAGCTGCCCCTTGCCCGCTGTCGACTCACCTTGTCCGCCCGCCAACCGTTCGTCAGCTGTGTCTGCGCACAGAACATTGGCCCTGCGTGCTCGTAGCTACCGTGCGCGTTGTGCTGCACGTCGCCGTTCCCTGTGTCTGCAGTCAGCTCGCCCGCCTGTGTGCCTTTGCACTCACCATTGGGTCCTTCCTTCGCTCACACGCCCGCCGTCTATTCCGTCCTTCCTTCGCGCACGCACCCGCCGCCCATTCCTCCGCCACGTCCCGAGTCGGTGTGCTTGGTCGTGTAATCACCGTCGTGCTCGGGGTAGTATGTTTGGTTTGCTGAAATGAACTGAGGCTACCCCGTGGGCGCTTACAGTTCTCCTTGCCATGGGGCACGGGTGGCTGCCAGCCCCCATCGGCGCGTTTATGAGCCGCCCGGAGCTTGCGAGGCCGCGAGGACGGGTCAGCCTGAACTCGTCCTGACCGGTTTGCGACGCGCTCATATCATTCGCGTCCGCGAGGATCGTGTGGGATGGGGGCGCCGGCTGGGTAGACAGGACCGAAGCAGTCTCCTGAACAGGTGGCGACGGATCCGTCGTCGATGGTGGCAAAGCCGGCGCCGGTATGCTCGTGGCAGGGGCTTGCGAGGGGCGGACACGGGCATCGCGTCGGTGGGAAGTGGGGCCGCGGCTGATGTTAGATCCCACACAAGAGCCGCAGGCATGCTGGATGACGTGTTCGATGCAGGGGGAAGGTTTCCGGCAGACCAAGAAGAGCGGATGAGATCGGCAAGGGCATAGGGGACGTGAGAGACAGCAGTGGCCCCAGGGGAGCCATATTTGTGAGCATCGGATCAGCGTGCAGAGCCTCGAACTCGAATGTAGGCGGCGCAGAGTGGAACTCACTGCCAAACATGCTCGGGAGTGTTATATTCCCATACGGAAGTATCGGCTCCGTACCGAATGCGCGCGAGGACGAGTTGGCCTGGTCCGACCATGCTGGGGTGCCCCAGTAAGCAGATTGATCGTTCGTGGGTAGAAAGCACCGGTGCCGAGCGATGGATCCGATATGGGGTGCCGAGGCATAAGTGGGATTAGAGTTGCCAAGCGACACGTCGGTGAAGGCGAAGGCCGGTGGAGGGGCAACAGATGGGGAGGGTAGAGGGTTGGACTGGTCAGTCATGGTGGCGCCGGCGATTTCGTCGCTATCAGCAGGCAGGGGCAGTAATGCAGAGGCAGGCTCGTGGATAGTGGGAGGTGTACTAGGGCTACGATCTGTCGCCTGACCGGGGGCGGCAAGCGCAGGGGTCGTGGCCGTGGTCGTGGTCGTCAAGGAGGACGGTTGGAATGGGCCACTAGCGCCGAGGGCCTCAGAGTTCGCGCTGCTAGTGCCTAGCAGTGTCGCAGGCGCAGGAGGCGGCGAGAAGTAGGTCGCATGCGATTCCGCGCTGTGAGCAGTGACAGGGGATGACTCGAGATCGAGATTTGCCTGGCACTCGCTAGCATCGTTGCCAGGTGAGCTGTCAGGTGTACGGGTGAGCGAGCGACGGGCTCATTCAGCAAGAGCTACACGAATCTTGAGTGAGATGGCCATGGGCCGGTATTGCAATGAACTATAGAGTGACTTACGATATTGTCTTCAGGACATTTATAACGCCTTCTTGATAGTTCATGCATGTCTGCTTGAAGTTGTGACTGGCTGCCGTCGTGTCAACATGATAGCTGAGCGCTGAGCACTAGGGAGGAGGAGCAAAGTAGCGCGGGTTCCGAGGGCGCCTTACGGATCTGGTGCGTCTGACGCAATCGGGCGTCTAGTACCGGTATGGCACATGCTGCTGACGCGCCCTCACTCGCACACGCCGAGCCGTCTCGTACCGAGACCCATAACGCCTTTCGACTCCCAGCACACTGTTCACGCGACCACCGACACTGATTCGACGGAGGATGCGATGAGAGTCTGCTTCCGAGTACTACTTGAAGACGCCCGCGAATCCGTACGGCATATAGTACTCAGTAATGGCAAGCATAGGTGAACGAAGGAAAGTGCATAGGTGAAATGAAGGGGCCATTCAATGGAGATATGATGCATAGTTTCCGAAGCATTGAGACGGGCACACCTACCATGCTCTAGTTTTCGAGGTTAGGTATGGCAACCTCTACGCGCCTCGCCTTCATTCTCCCGGTGCCGTCAGATATGACATGCAGGACCAGCTCGTCCGGTATCTTTCCGCGTAACAGTGCTCCGGAAGCGATGCGCCGAGTTTCCTCTGCAACAGTCTGCATGTTTTCAAGTGTATTCAAGATCATGCCGACGTGAGCGACCGCTGCATTCCTGTATGCCTCGACGTCCCGCAACACGTCCGCGTCGCGCTCGAACTGATGGATCTTCTGCTGGTTTCCGCCTAGGTACGTCCATAGCTGTCGGAGGACGTGCTCCCTATCTTCGCTGACAACAGCGGTCTCACTGAAGGTGACGTCGGCGATGGCTTGGAGGCGAGAATCGAGGGCATCGAGCTTGCCGAGCGCAGCTTGAGCAGATATAACGAGATTCCTGAGGACGTCTTCCACCGTCCCGAGCGCCATTTCGTAGGCACTGAGTACGACGTACGGATCCACGGGTTGAGCAACACACACGCTAGTGCGGAACGGATTGAGGATATCAACGATGGTGCATTGTTGCGAAGTCATGGACGGCGGTGGGCAGCCAGAAGAAGGCGTGATGTATGCCCTACCATGACGCTGATCCTGAATGAAAGGTGAAAAACTGTACGTCGACTTCAAAGGCACCCACATACCGGTCAGCGCCGCTGTCAATCCTCGCTGACAATTGCTGCAGGTAGCGACTAGTATCCTTGGCGTCATCAGCGAGCTTCTCCAGGAGGGAATGTAGCTCCGCTCGACGCTCAAGGTGACTGTGCTTAACAAGCGGTATCAAGTCTCCGATAGCAATGCGGGTTTCGGTGAGTTGAACGACAAGTTCGACGGAGGCCCCTGAACTGCCGATCAATGCGTCGAATCCCGACGTCTGATTGTGCAGCAAGTGGTCCAACACAATTCGCGTCGCACCGTCGTTGGTCCGACAATAGGAAGAGTACGCCACGAATGTGAGTGAACAGGGATCGTAGACCGCACTGTGAAGGTATGTGTACAGCGAGACGGCGACTGCGCCACAGGAACGGCCGAGCATGCGGGCTCGATCGACATCGGGGAGCGTGAAGGCGAGCGCGAGTAGCAGAATGATTCCGAGGGCCGTTGCGGTCTTGCGCCGGTCATTCATGATGGAGCGTAGGGATCGCAGTCAACAGTGGCAGTGTACGTTGTCTACGGACGCGTAGGAGCTTGAAGGTTGCGGAGCCAACTTACGCAGCACCTGCCCTTATCCAGTACGGGCACAATGAGGTCCTATAAGCGCTATATGAATAACGCTTCGGTGCATGGAGGGCCTCCATTGTTCACATAGGGCCGCGGCGAACGAAGCTTGATCTTGAGCGAGCCCTACCGGTAAGTTACCGGTCGCGGTACCGTACGCCGGTACCTCCTCCCGATCGGCCGTACCTCCACGTACTATCTCGTCTTGATACGTGGAAGCATACCATTTGTGACTTCAGAACAAAGGACGCAGAAAGGGCGGTCAATTGGGCCACAGAGCTCTATAACTAGAGGGTATGATGACGCTCGCCGTACGACTAGTTCGCGATTGGACTCACGACCTCAATGTCACGACCGACGTCTGCAGATGTCATCGCGACTGGTGCCTATCTGCAACCTGGCTTCGACGCCAACAGGCTTACGATGGCCCAACTTCGATCGGTTTTTCTTCAGCATGGGATAAAGTATCCTACCAATTGCTCAAAATTACAGCTGGTGCAACTGTTCGACGCAGTGTTGTTATCGAGGGTCCATCAGCCAGCGGGCCTCGACGGCTTCGCGCACCTTGAAGCCCCAAAGGTACGGCGTGGCTGGGTGCACAATTGCGCGCCACTCATTTCTTTGGTCTAGGAGCCACCGACACAGCCTGTTTTGAGTCACCCAATGCGAGTTGGAGAAGAATCTCCGAGGAGTGGCGCCCGCTCCCCTGCCGGTTATGGCCAAGCCGCCAATATGGGCCAGACCTCCACCCAATCTGGTAATAAGGTGCGTGAGGCTCCCTTCACCTTGATGTAGCAGGCACTGAGGCACTGAGGCAGTCGGCGACGGCACCGCGGTCGTCCTCCTCCCGAGAGTATCCAGGACCCATCGGCGCGAACGTGTTCCAGCGGAGTGCTCGGAGTTCACCCGGGCCAGAGGCCTCCGGTCCTCGCCTCTCAACGCCACAGGGAACCTTGTCAAGTGGCCCTCAACGCCTTGATGGCTCAGGCTGGATCAACGACAACATATTTCAGACTGGTTCCAAGCGCTCTCCTGATTCTCATCATTTGGCTCGCAGGAAGACAAACGCTTCGCTACACACTCCTAGCGGGCCCCAGGCTGTCGCTGACAGTCATCGCAAGAACTCGGGCTGGATCAACGACAACGTCTTTCAGAGCGATTCCAAGTACTCGCCTGGGCCTCGCAGGAAGACAGGCGCTTCGCCACAAGCTGTAGGCGGACTTCAGACTGTCGTTGACGGTCACAGGGGTTCAGGCAGCATGGACGGCGATGTCTTTCAGTCTGGTGCCAAACCGTCTCCGGTGCCTCACTCGCCCCCTGACCGTCCCAAGAATTCGGGCCTGACTAACGAGGCTCCTCGGACACGCATCGCACAAAGTCATCTACGTGAATCGCACACGACCAACGGGATTGGTAGTCAGACGCATATACGTGGCCTGGACACCGTTCGCGCGCGGCCGGACACGACTGTGGAGGGGCGTATCATGTTCAAGAGCCCTTTTCCAACGTTCGCCAAACCTCTGCCAATGGTTGGAGTGCCTCTGGCGACACATATGCGCACGGCGGCAAGAGTAACGATGCCCCCAACACGGTAGTTGGCGGCGATCCGCTTTCCGACCAGATACGTGCCTCGTGGGCAACGCAATCTACGCGCTCCCGTCATGTTACTACTCGCCGTGATCGTCGACCCGGTTCCACCCATCCGCCAGTATCATCGTCCCTGCCTGTCAACATCGTCATCCCGTTATTCATGATCCCGATTCTCTGTCTCCTCTATATATATCAGAGAGAGTCAATTCGCATTGGATTCTGTGACGCCGGAAGCATCAGCAATACCGCCTCAGAGAGTCTCATATGGCGCACCGGGCTGGCTTCTCTGTGTGCTGAGCATAGCGGCGTTGACTCCGCCACTGTGACGAAGAGCTGTAGAGACAATATGGCCACAGATCAAAGTGCAGATACGTTTCACCTCGAAATCTTGGACGCAGCTCTTTCGATTTTCCTCCCCGATACCTGTACGCCATGCCCCCCACATTCAACGTGCACCCGTTCCGTGATGAGATGTGATCGTGGGTTCGTCCTTGCGCCTCATCAAGCTTTGTCGCGCCTGCCTTACAGCTCTTTGGCGCGCCCCTCCACCACGTTCATTCGTGCGGAAGGTCTCCGTTTTCAAAGTGCTGCTCTTCAAAACATATACGCCTTGATGTCTGGACTACTAGACGGTCTTCCCGGAGTCGGCTCCTTCGCATTACCCCCGCAATGTGTGGAGGACACGGAACGAACGTATCGCATGCGTCTAGTCCGGGGTGAAATGGTCAGGGTTCTAGCAGAAGAACGGGGTCGTCAAGTCTGCGTCCTTCGCAGCGAGATGACTCACATCGACGCGGCAGGCGCGGACGAAGCGCAGCGATTCGGTATGCCAGTTTACGCGTTGGAGAGCGCCGTCGAGCAGCGTATACGGGCAAGTTTCTACGATCTACAGGATCCGCTTTCTCCCTCCGCTGACGTCTACGCCCAGCCCGAGTGGCTTCCCATGCTTCATGAGGTCTTGGACGAGTTGATCAAGGACCCAAGCCGTGACAAAGCTCTCATAGTCGAGAGGAATATACAGTGAGTGATTACCCATGGACCCCGAGGTGCGCTGACAAGGCCTCAGTGGAGAGCTGTACATTGCGCATCGGCAGCCGCACCTGACCTGGGCGTGCATGCTCAAGCTAAAAGTCGGGGATGCATGGACGGGTTGGAAGCGCTATATCATTAGTGAGTTTGCCTTTTGGCTGCTTGCTTGATTAGCATTGAGCTACGCGGACTCTGTAGCTGGCGGACTAGCCGTGGTTGGGCTTTCGATATTCAAGCGGCGACAGCGCGTTACGGCCGTCGAGACGGATCGCGTCACACAAGCCGTCGAGACAGTCTTCGCAGGACTAAAGAATCAGTCGCGCATCCACAATCGGGACCCGACGGCCGCACGGGCCGCGCAACGGTACCTGGTCTCATTACACATGCGCGACGATCTACTACAGGACATGCATTCAGTGGCGGCTCGTCAGCGAATTTGGACCAAAGTAGAACGAATAGTGGAGGCCAATGCGAACGTACGCACTTCTCTTGAGGAGACTGACGAGGGAGAAGAGATGCGCGTCTGGAGGTGGCTGGGCTCATTCTCTGACTAAACGAGGCCAGCGCGCACATGCAGTAGATCACTCATCCGTGCATTGCGGACGGAGGGGGGGGTTTCACCCGCGACCCCGAGGCCTCGGCGACGATTGTGCTACTGCGGGATGCGTTATGTCTTTCCATGACTGTCAACCTGATCCTATGTTCAAGTTAATGACGATAATGATGAAGTCTGCTTTATCAATCTCTACAAGCAAATAAAACTGTGCTAAGATGCGGCCACTACCTGCGCGTACAACAGTGCGCGTTACAATGCGCGACTTGCGAGCCATAATCCTTATCCTATGTGCACATGGACTGCCCGTATTGCCAAAAGGACGTCAGGTGGTTATGCGCATGCAACCTCCGCCCGCAGTTCCTCCATAGTTGAATATAGCGAGACGCCTTCAAGCCATCGAGCTGCAGCACGCTGGGGGAAAGTAGATCTCGCGTCGCCGTCTAGACTCGAGTAATATGCGGTTGAGGGCTGAAATCCCTGATCGACCCACCGAAAGATCCCACCAGCGGTGTACTGAGTGAAGGAATAGCGCGTCTCATTAGCCTTGATTCTGGTATTGGAATGGCGAAGGGTCGCAGAAGGGATGAGCGCGGTAGACCCTGGTGGATATTCAATGACCAGTCGCAGGTCCCATAATACGAGGTGGCCACCCGTTCGGGGGTCAAAATTGCCGAGTGAGGTGATCGCGCACCAGCCGAATGGCAGGTTAGCGCAATCGCGGTGTTCGAGAGTACAAGTCTGGGGCCCGAAGTTAAAAGTCGCACACGCGAAAACACTGTTAGGAAAATAGGCTTGAGGTGCGAGTGGCGACCAAGGAGATCCTTCATGTGCGAGGCGTAGTAGTTGAATAGGCGCGGCGCCCAGGTGCGAAAGACGTCTACGTCGTCATTGAAACATCAGCAAGGGCACCATGCGAGCCACAGAGATGCTCACTCGATCCGAATGAAGCGATGCGCTGGACATGTTGATTAGCTAACAGAGAACCGAGAACTGTCTCATTGGCGCTTGAATGAACGAGGTTCGCCGGCTGCTGTACGCCATGTGAACGATACCGCCAAAGAAAACACCTTGAGACTCACCTTCTGCCCCCCACCGTATGATACACCCACAGCCAGGGCTGGGAAGTCTCCGCGACGATGGACCACGTCCTTCGACGCAAAGGATAGCCTCAAGCGAGCCTCCGAGATAGCAGCCGCGGCATCCCTGTGCACGCCAGTCCAGGCCGGGTCGTTAGGGGCGCCGCAGAGGACGGCAATGACTCGTCCGGACTCGTCTGTGATAGGTCGAGTAGTCCTTTAGAAGCGTGGCGCGTGACGACGGTGATGTACGCGGATGCAAAGGCTGTACGTACCTTCCATCCCAGCGGACTAGTTCAAAGCCAAAGTGTGACCCTTCGCCAACTAAGTCATCCAGCTCATATTGTCGCCGTGAGGCGCGTGACTCCCTGCCCCCGGTGTACGCACCGCTGGTGTGTGGTAGGCCTTCAGCGGCAAGGTTCGTACCAATTGAAAGGCCGTCCTTCAGGTGAGTGTTGAGGAGCGGCAGCCGCGGCCTCTGTACCGAGCCATACGGTGATGCGCTCTCCGTTCGTCGTCGCCTCCGTTTGTCTTTTGCCTGGGCTTTTCTTCGCTGTCGTTCGATCGACTGCAGACCTGCGAGCTGCGTTCCAGCCGCACATGCAGTGTTGTCGTGCTCTACGTATCCTGCTGAGGACGCCGCAGGTTTCGATGGTGCGGCGCTGCTAAGCGAGAAGGGCGGTTCAAGACGCGGCGCTGGCTGCGCATAGGGGACATCCAATGGCGCGAGCTCGTAGTCCTCCCCTTCAATCTCAGTGTTCGCATCTTCACTCGCAATGGCTGCCGTCAGCAGTTGGCGGAACAAGAATCCGGAGTGGTCCGCAGCGGCGAGCGGTCTGCCTAACAATGAATGACAGTGAGCGCCACTCTTCAACGTCGAGAACGTCTGGCCCCTGCTGGGAGGCCGAGCAGCGTGGCTGCAATCCCCCAGTGCCTGGCTTGGCTCCGCGTAGATGCACTCATTCTGCTTGTCCACCCAGCGGGACCAGAAGTGCGTCGGACACTCACCGCAGACTGGGGCTGGGGCAGGCGTACAAGCCATGGGACGACCAACGTGTGGCACGAGCGACCAGCAGCCGGAAGAACAGGAGCCCTACGCAGCGACGGGTCAGGGTTGTGTTCGACCTCAACACGTATAGCAGGCGGAGGCGGGCGGCCAGGCGGGCGACGCGCAGCGCGCTCGACTGCGTCGGTGTGTGAGGTGTGATTCCTCCACACGTGATACACGTGCACTTGTGACAGTACGCAATGGTGACAAGCAGTCACCGCAGCGAGGCCAGTTCCATGGTTATTACCACAACGAGCTTATTAGTTCCCCCAGTTCCATGATTTCCGCGAAGCTCGTGCATTCCCGAGACCTTTCGCTCTTGCGACAGTACTTACCGGTGAGTTGTACGCCTCATTCACGACTCCTGCGTGCATGCATTACTGAGAGTTTGCATTCGCTCCCAGCAGACGCGGAGGCCATCGCAGGGGACGGACGACGTCCAGCGTTCGTAACGGCGGTGAGCGGGCCACTTCAAGAGCTTCACTCGCGCTCCCCTCCTTCACTCTTCGCACACTGATCGCGCTTGGCAAAGAGCTGGGCCGCTAAGCGATCGCAGCCACGGGACGGCTACGCCCTCAGCGTGCCCGTCATCCCTTCCCCGTCGACGCTGAATTTAGCGTAGGCAGCCTCCTGGCATGCCGCGCGGGGAAAGAAGTTAAGCTTGAGCTGGGCTCCAATGGGGCATCATGGTCGCACCTACCGGATCTTACCGCATTTTCGAGACTACAGCCTCAAACTCGCTATTGTCCCTCGTCCACGTTCCGCGGCCGCCTATGCGTATCGCTTATGCGAACGGACCGCTCCACGACCATGTCCGTGCAGCGAGACTAACCGGCTTCAGCCACTTGCGTATGTGGGCCGGGCCGTGTGGCTGCAATGGCTGACCTCCTCGCGATTGTCGCTCCAAGCCGCGACTATACGAGTACGCTTTTCACCGCCCAATAAATTTACACACCTCGGTCAGGACTCAGGACCAGGGGCTCCAAAACGGCAATGCAACCAAGCAATGCCCCAGCTGAGTACCATTTTCAACGTGGCATGAACGTACGCCGATCTGACCAGTTCCCCGTTGTCATCATGGGACACGCTCCTCCCTCCGGCACGCAGGCGCTTGTTCAAGTGCGGACTGCATTGTGCTCAACGAATATATGTGAGGTTCCCCCCACAGCGCTTTTGAGTCGCAAACTCTCGGCTCGACAGCAGCCCGCCACTCCATCGCACCTCCGGTGGTATGCACCCGGCTCGTAGCTATAGCGTCCGACCCCGAAGGGCCAACCGGCACCGAGCCAGGCCGACCAGGTAAGTCTCCCTTGCGTCGCCATGGTCCGCCATGGTTAACGTTAGCGGTGCCCGAAACAGCGCGCGAGACAGCATGGACGACAGCCGCAGTAACCAGACGTCGTACCACAAGCGCGCGAGACTGGATGAGTCCGACAAGGTGTGCGCGCCGTTCACAACGCCCCACAGCGAGGTGCCTTCAGCTCTGTGAGTTCCGCGCACGCGTGCACATCCGTCCTACGCTGACCAGACTGAACGCATCATACTAGTCCCAACGAATTCTCATGGCAAGGTCATGAGAGCCACTCGGTTCATATGGCCGGCGAGTTCGAGATTTCGCAAACACCCGCTGAGGTACAAGACGAGCTACTCCGCATGATTGAGGAGGGAATCCGGCCGACGCCCTCGTTCCTGTTTGAGCTGCCGGATGCTGGTCTACCTCCCCAACATTCATACGTCCCAGATGCGCCGATGTGGCCCGTCTTGGGTCATGCCGCGACGGCGGAGGCAGTGGCGCACCCACCGTCATCGTTCTATGGGTACCTTCATGGTACCGATGGATGTGACGGCTTACCATCCATACTGTCAGACACTGACGTCCCTGCCGTGGGCACGATCTACTCTGCGGTTAACCCCTTTGCACCCGCCATGGCGGAGAATCTACCGTACGTTTTCGCCATTCTGTATGGGCTTCGGTGGCTTTCATGCGTCTCTTCATAGTGTTCTACAGGGCGAGCATCAAGCCCTCAGAAACGCTGCGCCCTCTGGACTTGAACCGGGATCTGTCACCACCCAGGAGCTTCCCATTTGGTGGCCGACATATGGTGAAGGCGAGATTTATCTTGACAGGAGGTTAGTGATAAATGTACGGGTGACAAAAAAACTGACTCTACATTTCTGGGATTTTCAGTGCCACCGGTTCCGACTTTGGCGACGTCGTCGACTATCTTGAGACCGCACAGCCGCGAGCAAGCGGAGACATGTCGCACGTAGAAACCATGGCAGGCAACGCGGTGGATGCTCTTCAACCGCTACTGGCCGACATCTCACGTACCGGATCTATCGGGTGCCTGAACGACTTTGGATTTGCGGATAACACGTCGTCGGCTGAGCTTCCCAGCATCCCGTCCTCTCCTGCGTTTCTTGCGTCCGGACATGCGTTGGACAGGGTGCTCATGCTTGACGAGGGGGATGAATCTCCATGGGGCACGTCTAGTGAAGAGGCCTCGCATTCGGAGAAGCCAGCAGTGAGTGGCGTAGTCGGGCAGGGGCTCGATCAGCAGACAGCAGACAAAGTAAGCCGTCACTGGTGGTTGTATCTCTCTTTCTGACGGACGCCGTTATAGGAGAAATCTGCTGGCTTCACGCGAAAGCTACTCGAAATAACGCGCGACCTCGTTTACGGCGCATGCGATCGATTGCTGCCGGATACGTACGACGCCGTCCCCATCAGCACTATGACGCCTACAAGCAGGACCAGTGCTCCGATCAGCACCGACTCGAGCTTCACGACGACGACGACGACGACGACGGCGGCGGCGGCGGCGGCGGCGAGCGAGAGGACGGCACCACCCACGGTTACGAGCACGGTAACGGCTACGATCACAGTCACGATTACGAGCGCGAGCGCTGCTGCCGATGTTGTAGGACCTGGTACCACTACCACCACGAGGACGGTCGCTACGTCGGCCGTTGTCGCGGACGAAGATGCAGGGACAGCCACTCTGACGCTTTGATTCGTACGAGACCGTCATAGAATAAGAACAAACGCATTCCCTTTCCTCATTGCTCCGATCCGTCTGTATCTGTACCCCGTCTCACGTCGCTCTGCCCTGTGTTGTTTGTCGGTACCTGCCTTGCTTGTCGGTACCTGCCTTGAATGTATAGATGTTGCTCGACGGGCTGAGTGTTCAGAATGGCCAAGTTTCGGCGATCGACTATATGAATTGCTCGATATCTACGGGTCTCCCCACCCCCAAGTTCTTGACGAGCATGCGAACTAGCCTCGAGCCGGCAGCTGAATTTCGAAGCTTGAAGGGTCGGACGCTCTCGTACTGGAGCCCGAGAGCGGCCAATTCACTCGCCGCGACGCCGCCGTACAGTGGCGCTGCACCGACTCGGCGGTGGGCTCGCACTGCGCAAGCCAGCGCCTCCCATATGTAAGTGCCCGCTTCATCGCAAGCGTCCGAGTCGACAACCAGCTCCTCCTCATGACATCACCTTTCGTTCTGCACTGCTTGCCCGTTCTCCGTCCCAATGACCCTATATGTCTCCTTCCATGACTTCTGTTCACGCGCCTAGGTCCGGATCAACACGTCTGCGACGGTTCGCCGACTACTATACCAGCTCGCTCAGATGCGCACCTGTGAGGTCAGAGTCTGTTCATGCATATCCACAAGAGCCTCATGGCAGCAGGACAAACGTTGGACATGCAGTCGCTGTGCTGCCTTGGGTGGTAGCGAGGGCGCGAAGTTTCTAACAGATATACTCTGCTCGCCCCTCATGCAAATGTCCAGGTACGTACATGCACACTGAAATACCATCCACGGCGATAAACAGTTGGACGATTGGACAGACAACGATACAATGGAAACAATGCAACGGTGCAGACTACACCAATACTGGCAATTCGATGGGCAGACCTCGCGCAGTCGCAGTGGCGACAACCTCGCTGCACTTGCGGAGGTATCTATTGCACATCGGTTTGATGAGTCTAGTCTCTAGAAGGGCGATACGATGCTCACTTTTGGACAGCTCGGACGGCCAGCGCCTGTGCACCAACGTCGGTGACGAACACCCAAGTACCCGCACGCATGACGATCAAGTCACCGCGCCACTCGATGTCTGGTGAAATCTTCCTGAGCGCTTCGTTGACAGGAAGGGCGGGATCATAATGGGCAGCAACGAGGAATCGCTGTGCCCTTGCGCTGCCCACCAAGTCCACCCAAGTCTCCTGTAGATTACGCCCTGGACCAAGGACGGATTCTAGCGAAGGAAAGCGCGGGTGTGCCGAGGACTCGTTTCGTGGGGTAATAGTAGGTACGTGGACGCCGCGACCAACGCGGGCCTCTGAGCTGAATATCATCCCGCGGATGGATCTCATAGAACACTGGTGCCGGTGTCTGTCAGGTTCAAAAGGGCAGCTTCACTCAGCGCGCACTCACGTCTTTCGTCGCGCAGGCTTTCCGCAGAGTGGGCATGTTGAAAACTGGGGGAAGAAGCGCCACTTGGGGTGTGGTTTTGCGAGATTAACCTGGTGCATACGAGGTCTTTTGTCCTCATTCGCATACCCCGTCCAGGCTCTGATACTGACACGTGCGACGTGCATTGTCTACATCTGTATGACACGGGAGTGCCGTTGTATCCGTGTCTTGGACAGCATCGCCGGCAATGCGGATGACGGCGTACATGTAGAGCGAGTCATGTGCGAAAGTACGTCCAACGGTGCTAGACTCGAGCAGGGACATTACGGCCACTCCTCAAAGCGTTCGCCGTGCTCGTCTACGATCTGACCGGGAGCTGCTGGCTAAGGTGCGATATCGCATACACGTGTTAGCTGCTATACGCATCACCGTCTGTCCTAGGCCTTGCCCTCATATCTACGCTGGTACGTTCCGCCTAAAGGCTTTCCTCCAGGTAATCATGCCGACGTGTCATCCGCAATCACTCTAGCTTGTGCCACGTCTGCTCTGCGGAGATGTCCCCCCGAATTAGCAGACAATGACGGCCGAGGAAGAGGACGCCGTGATCAAACTCGTGGCATCGTAAGGTGAGCGAGCGCCCAGCCACTCCTCCGCGATCCTCGAACATTCAACGCTCAGCGCTCAACGGTCAGCAAGTGTGCACCGTCGTCGACCGCTTTCTGCATACGGTACGTACCGTAGTGCGGACGCTCCGACAGGTATGCTCACCCGGAAGGTATGCTCACCAGATCTGCGATGTAACACTCAGTATACCCGGCCAAACAATGGAACACAGCCGGCCTGCTAGTAGCGCTGCCACGATGTGCACAAAGGAGCGTAGGTGGTTATAAATGCCGCATCCTCTTCGATGAGCTACGCCAACAACTGCAACCCTCCGCCTAGCGTCGCGTCGATATGCACCCAACGTGTCCTGTGTGTGCGGTGGAGTATCCGCAGAACGCTGGAGTACTCCCTCACAGGCCAGTATCCATACTATGCGGTGAGTGCTGTTCGGACGTATGCACGTACTCATACTGATCGACGGGCCACCTTCCCGAAACTAGGCCACGTCTTCTGCCAAGAATGCGTCGAGACTCTGATCGCACGCGACCAGTGCTGTCCGTACCGAGATTCTCTTCGCCTGATCGAAGCGGAGGATACTGTGCCCATACTCTTCAGTCCCGAGGCCGCTATCGCACCGACACTGCGTGTTAGGATTGATAGGTATGTTGATCGTCAATGCCCACGAGAGACTTCACTGAGTTACAGCCTCGTAGGCGCCTCGCCGTGTTATCAATGGAACAACAGCGTGTCGACAAGACTCTCAAACGCGTGGCTGCTAGTACCGAAATCGTTTCCAAACACGTCTGCGTGCAGCGAGCAAGTATCTCCAGGCATTACGGGAGCCTCGATCGCATCACGAACGAAGTGCGTGCACTTCAGAGGAAGGTGGGCGCCGTGCGCGCTGAATGTGTTCGTGAATACGATGCAATTATCGCTCTTCGAGCGAAGGTGAGCTCCTCCGTGCCGTCTGGAAGTGTGCCAACGTCTTATTGCCCACAGTCTGCTGCGCAAGCATCTTCCTTGAGGGCTGAAGACGCCACCCCACAGCTGGGGGAGCAACGTCGTCGACAGAGGTCTCCGTCAGCAGCAAATACGGAGGATGCTCCGTCCGCGGTGAGTCCGTCCTTGAGTGAGGTATACTCTGTCACAGATTGATGACGATCCGAACACGCAGAAGCGACGCAAGACCTGACTTTTGCGTGACACTTTGTGTCGTCGTCTTCTGCGAGAGACGGCGTTCGATTATCGGCGTCTGGAGGTGTACATTACGGCATATTGAATTCTTGGCTTTCGCTGGGTGTCTTAGCGCTCTAATGCCACTATCGAAAGCTTGAGGCCTGAGGCCTGAGGCCGAGGGCCTGAGTACTCAATGGCTAGCTGCCGATGTGCACCGCTTCCCTCGAAGCCATTTCCGAGCACACTGATTCCGAGCGCGGGACTCGAGCACTTATGGACCCACATGTACCTGCACGGCAGCGCGGATCCTGTCCCCTGAAGCTGAAGGCGTCCAAGTAGCTCGGGAAATCGATAGATCTAAGGAAACCAATAGATCACATCCTCCGGCTGGACCCCGGTACCTCCAAGACGTCAGTGTGTTACTTTGTTTGGCATTGCTCGGCAAAGTCCGATCTTGCCATCGCGATGAGTGGCTGAATGTACGCCGATGATCGACCCAACTTATCTGACAGGTCCGTGCAACCATGCACATCGTCTGCGCTGTCTGTGAGGACCGACTTCGCGACAGCGACGAGTCCTCGTGGGTGTTTAGGTCGGCTTGCGGTGAGTGCGCATAACTCTTCCTGGTAAATGAGTAGCGCCACTCATGCGTCCTCATCCAGGTCATTTAATCTGTCGCTCGTGTCTGGAGTCCCTCGACAACGCCAACGGTCACCAGCAGGTATTGGTATGCGAAGACTGCAGCGCTGCAATTTCCAAGCAGGACTGCCGTAGAATCTATCTCAATCCGTGGTTGGTTGCAGACGCGTCGGACAACGAGATCAACGGCGCTATTGACAGGTGAGCCACTAAACTGCCTTCATCGTTTGCATGACATGTATGTCACTTCGTAGGGATGCCAATGTTTCCATGACATTGAAAGGCATTGTGGCCTCGCGACATCGGCTGCAGCTCTGCGAGAGCAAGCATCAGCTAGTGAAGCAAGAGCTGGACGATAACGTCGAGCTATCCACCGCGCTTCAATCCCAACTCGCGAATTTGGTCCAGACACGCTTGGCCATTGCCACAAGGCTACTAAGCCTTTCCACGAAGCGGGACGGTCTTCGTGCAGAGCGTGTTGAGCTGCAGGAACGGCAGCATGGCACGGTAAGTTCTACATGTTTAGGAGGTTGAAAGTTATTTGACTGGGTCCGTAGGCTCCGGGGTGATTAGCACTGGCAGGACCATCGCGTCTGTGCTCTTTAGAGCTGGCCATGCTCGAGCATGCTGTTGGTCGGTGTGTTCTGCCTGATCCCGCCGAATGTGTAGTTGTACGTGTACACCAATGGATCGTCTGCATTTCTGTCAACCCAAGTGTCATATACAAAAGTTTCCTCGTAGTCATGTGGTCTCTCCAACGCGGTCCCATTCTGTATACGAAACTACCTAAGCCACTGGGGAGATCTAGAAGACTTGTAAGTCGCGGTTTGTACGCCACAACCGAACTTCTCGTCACGTGGCTACCGCGTCGTCTTCGAGGCCGCCCTCCAAGTTCCCTCGCCCACGCTCTGGTCCATCACCCGCAGACAGTATATCCTAGCTCGCAGTTTCTTGTCACCATGTCTGCTTTTGGGAGAGAAGGCACGGCCATGCTCGAAACTTATGACGGCTCGACATGTGGCGGAGCCGTGCCCCCAAAGGATTGGCAGGTTAGTTGCCACGGTTCAGGCAGGCTTGATCACTGACGGGTTTTCAGCTCATATATGCCAATCGACACCGGTTCTCCGTCGACAAGCAGACGGAGACCCAGGGCCGAGACACTCGTGAGTCCCTTCAACGCGCACTGTTGTGCGAACACATCATATGTTCGCTGGTAGCTCGCACGCCCGAAGCGCTCTCATTCTCGACATTACCGAACTCCCATCGTGAATCGATATTTGGCTATCCACACGTCCACTACAGCGGCTTCGTATCACAGCGAAGGCATTTCGACGACATTTTGGAGCGTACCGAACCGGTGACGCTGCCAGTGAATACTAGTACAGCTCCCATGTTGGCAGAAGCCGGTGAGCACGGCTTCCGTGCGCTTTCCGATGGTACTGACACGGGGGACTGACGTGCTATTTGGGAAGCCGAGGGTTTCAGCCGCTCACATGCGGCCGAATGGGAGAAGGCGGCCAACAGCCAGCCCTTAGTACTTCATGGTAATATCACAATACAATGCTTTGCTTTTCATGCTTGGTGACATCTCTCGACGGTAGAGACCTTCTTGTATCCCAGTCACTCAGCATCCGCTCGCTCGGTTCGGGAGGGGAGTCTCGGGCCTGTTTTGGATCGGGAAGCGTCCGTGGCAAATCTGCCATCATCGTCCGACCGGCGGAGGGCTAGTCCGGTGAGTGATACCGCTACCAGAGAGAAGTCGATCGGTCATTCATGGTTCGCCCGATCCAGCTACGTCAACCTACTCCCTCAGCTGGGCTCCTCGAGCACCGGACTGTGCACATCCGCCCAACATCATTCGAGCGTTTGATTGAGCAACAGGGCTTATCACAGGCTCTCAGCCACTCCACCCGTCCCCAGGAGATGCGCTCTCCAGGGAATGGCGAGTCGGCGTCCTCAACGCCATCTTCCAGCAACTTGTCAACGCCATCCTCTGGAACTATCTCACTGGCATCATCAAGCGACGTCTCATCAATATCGTCCACAGATAGGCCCGTGGAAAATGCCAGCCGCGCCATATCCTCCGTCGCGGACTGGGAACCGTATCGTTTCCGCAAGGAATTCCGAACAGGAAGTGGCTGGGGCCAGACAGTTTGGTACAAGCTCTCTGGGCACGATGCCATTTCTGAGCCACCGGTGTCCCTTGACGCCGACCCCGCGGATCTCTTCTTGTACGAACACAAAGGTCAGAAGAGGGTGTACATGTGGATCTGCGAAGCTCGCGGCTCGTGGCGACGGATACGGGTGGGGGACCCTCATCCGGTGTTAGAACATCGCCGTTTCCATATTCAACAATCTGGCGAACCCAGCTGGGTGACCAAAGAGACGCTCAGTGGGTATAACAGTCGGAAAAAGAGGGAGCGTCGATAGAGTAGCAAGTCTGTATGTCCTTCACGTTTGTATGCCCGTATGCGACTCGCGTCTGTGAGCCTGTATGCCATCTGTATGCTTTATGCCACTCGCGTCTATATGCCACTCGCTTCCGTGTTGGACTATCCGAGTCGCACAAGCAGGAAGCAAGCACGCAGTACTTGGCATTTACCCACTACGCTCGTGCTGTATCGCGTGCAAGCTGTTCGGTGAGGGTCTCTGCTGTCTCCACTGTCAGGCCGATGAACTCGATTAGCTGCAGGAGTCGGGAGTCAGTTGACGATAGTACGTAGTCGGCGAATCTGTCTATTCAGCGTTTTCAATAGCAGGTGCGCCCTCAGTTCGAAACATATGATTGAATTATACTGATGTTACACTGTTCGTGCATGCGCCCCCGCTGTGAAGATGATATCGGGCGAGCTCAATCACCCCTGGAGTGCCTGGTCCAGTGCCTCCAACTGCTCGTTTAGAATGCGGCGTTCCCTCTCGAGGCGCAGGCGACTGCGCGTAAACCAGTACAGCATCGCCAGGAACTCCTCTTTCGTTGAAAACTGCACCTGATAGCACCGTTTCTCCATAATAATTCTGACCGTTGCCGTCTTCTGCTGACGAAGATTAGACTGCTGTCACAACCCATATATCTATCGCGTACGCGCACCTCAACAGCGCAGAACAATGAGTCTTTAGTGACCGTCATGCCGATATGGTGAGTGTCGAGCGTTTTCGTGACTGGTTGAATGATAATTGCAGCTAGAGGCAGGGATGTTAGTCGGCGAGGAGCTGAGGAGCCGAGGAAGGCGTTGTAACATACGATCGCCTTCCGCCAGTTCTACGAGGTGCAACATCGCAGGCGTGAGCGTGTCCGGCTCGCGGTACGGTATGTCCACGTCCTCAATGATCCTACAGTCCAACACGTTACTTGAAAACAGAATTGAGGTGCGGCTGCAAGGCATATTTTCAGGACTTCGTGGCGTATTCGTCTCTGAGGGGGCGGACAAACCTGGGTAGGTTATGCATGAGCTCGAGTGTGCAGCGCACAGAATGAGTGGCATACCGTGAAGAAAAAATGAGACGGGAAAGTGTTGCCCGGATGCTAGCAATGTATGTTGCCATGGCTAAACCACGAGTGGACGTCGGTGACGGGAGGCAAAAACTAACGCCACTTCTGCTAGGCCAACGTATATACGTCCCTATGCGCGTGCATCCGTATACGTGTGCATATACTGAGTGCATACGTGTATACAATGACGTGGCACCAACGTCTATCTTCGGCCATGGACAAAGCTTACCTACCACATGGCCAAGGATGATTGTCGTAGCTGGCCAGCTGGAACGCGCGTCCGCAGGTTCGTCGAGTTATAAAACAAGGTCATTTTGACATCTCGTTGTGGCTTCGAAACTGCTGCTTAACCGTTGCTCCCTCCTTCAACATGGTTGTCATCACCGGTGACGCAGACGTATCGAGCTACAATGTCGTCCTGACAAGCCGATTCACCTCGACCGACCCCCGCAACACACAGATTTATTTAGAAACGTTAGTGAAATTTGTGAGCGGCATTCAACATCTTATACGTCTCATCGTCTCATAGTTTGGTGGCTGATTGTAAATTTAGCGTCCTTTCATCTCTGTTTATACCCGTGCTACCTTCCTGGACGTATCTACGACCTCCTGGTCCCCGGAATACCGATCATTCACCTTCGGCTTCGACTCGACACAGCCCACTTCCCCGATGGAGGCGATGCTACCCAGGGTGATGGAATGGACACCCAGGGCGATGTAGTCGACACTATACACGGTCCAAGCACCGACGCATTCGTGTTCTCCTCCGAATCGCAGTTCTGGAATGGGATTATTGGCAGAGCTGCCCGTGCGTCCAGTCCAGTCAGATCGCGCGTTACCGGCACACTGAATTGACGGTTGGTGACAGATTACATGAAACACCACCCGGAGAAGTTTCAAGATGTAAAGGAAGCATACCTTGTCAGGATGGTGGTGCGTACAGTTCCACTGCATATTGTGTAGTGACCGATGACCAATCATTCGACTGCTGCTTGTAGACTCCGGGTAGCTGGGTCATCACCCTGTTTGTGCGCAAGGAAGTGGAGGGCCGCGATGTGAGCTGCCTCGTCAACCCTGTTCTGGCTCATATGCCACTCTGAAACCGTGGCCGTCGGTTTGGCGGGGTTGAGGCCGATGGCGTTCGCATCAGACGTGTTCGTGTTGAAGCAGCGGTGTGCTCGTCACTGGGTGAATGTAGATTATACGTGCGCTGTATGTACAAGTGGTGATGCTCGGGAATCGATCAATTGTGTACGATATTACCTTGCACAAGGAACCAGCGCAACTGGCCTCGAGTGGCTCTGGCGCCTCTCCGTTCTCGACAGTACGTCCATGACTGCAACACGGGCAACCATCATAATCGCCCAACTGAACACCAAATCGCGCGCAAACCTCAAGCTGAGCCTCTGCCATGACTTAGCTAGTAGCGCCACGGCAGCCTTTGAGGCATCTCGTGCATCGAGTCTCGATGGCCGCTCGCCCTCTACCCCGAGCCACACATTACTGAGTGGAACTTGACCGTTTCGAACGGTCCACCCGGAGTGCATTTGGCCCGTTTCGAACGGTGGACCCGGGCTCGGCCGGAGCACTCCGGGTCTACCGTTTGGAGCGGCCGCCGCCAGCAACGAACCGGCCGGAGGGAGGGTGGTGGTTTGGAATGGTCCGGCCGGAGTGTTGGGTAACGTTCCGGCCGGAGCTCTGGTGAACGTACCGGCCGGAGGCCTTGAGAAATATGGGTTTCCTACGGTCCGGCCGGACTGTTATCCAACGTCCCGGCCGGAGCTCTGGTCAACGGTCCGGCCGGAGGCCTCGAAAGATTTAGGCTTCCTACGGTCCGGCTGGACACATACCCAACGTTTCGGCCGGACCTTTGATCAGTGTATCAGTGTCCCAGCCGGAGGCCTCAAAAATTTGGGCTCTCAACGGTCCAGCCGGAGCACTCAGCAATGGTCCGGCCGGCGCACTCAGCAATGATCCGGCTGGAGGCCTCCAAAGATTTGGATTCTCAATGTTCCGGCCGGGACCGGGGGTTGGTTTCTAACCTTCCGGCCAGACCCCAGATGAAACAGTCCGGCCGGGCAAAATTCCACCTTCCAAACATCCGGCCGGAAGCCTTGCGGAATCTGGGCTGTAAACAATCCGGCCGGGCTAGTTTGTAATCATCCAGCCAGCCGGACCCCAGATGAACAGACCGGCCGGGCTTCTCCAAAACCAGCCAGACCCCTCAGAATTGATCTGCCGGTGATATAACAACAAGAATTGTTAACCCCCAAGCTCAGCTGGAAAATGACCAAGGTTGTATCAACCAAGCTCAATATTTAACCACCCACCGAGCTCAGAGTTGAACCACCGAGCCCAGAGATGAGCCACCAAGCTCGGTATCAAACCACTGAGCCCAGAGATGAGCCACCAAGCTCGGTATCAAACCACCGAGCTCAGTAGTGAGCCACTGAGCACAGTATTGAACCACCGAGGTTAAACAGCTAGGCTCGGTGGCCGAGAAAAATTGGCCGGGCTCGGCGCCGAGGATAAATGGCCGAGGCTCGGGCCGAGGTTTCGAGCGCCGAGCTCGGGCCGAGGTTTCGAGCGCCGAGCTCGGTGAAAACCGCCGAGGTCAGTATCAAAGCATTGAGCTCAGTGTTAAGGGGCCCAGTTAAAGGGCCGAGCTGAGTGTTCAATGACCGAGTTTGTTGTTGAAGCACTGAGCTCGGAAATGGCCGAGGTTAAACCACCGAGCTCGGTGAAAAACGGCCGGGCCGTCAGATTGCCATATAAGGAAATTTGGTATCATCTGGTAGCCCTTCATTCACAGAGTACAGTATATGTTCCCTAGTGTACAGAGATGCCTAGTTAGGTCAGAGAATACAAAATAAAAAATGCTCACAGGCTTCTCTGAGAACGTACTATTCAACTCCTGAGGCCAGTTTTCTTTTCCCACAATGTTTGACTATCTAGAATGTGCTATTTCAATGCACAGACTACATCCCCAACAGGAATAGTCTTATTCTTTGAAGCTGAATGCAGGACAGGAGATAAGGGGCATACATGTTGGATAATGATGTTCACTCCCTGCAGCCAACATTCTTTCCAAATAGTGTTTGACTATCTAGAATGATTCATTTCCTCACAATGAGTGAGTCCTCCAAAGGAATAGTCTTATTCACACAAGCTGAATGCAGTACAGAGTTAAGGGAATCTGGTCTCATATGAGTATCACTCAATTTGAACAATGCTGATCATCACTTCTGTATCCATGCATGATATAGCTGAAGAGTCTATACATTGGACAGATGTGTCGCATTTTGCTCTGGCTGGCCTAGGACAGTGCACCGGCCGGACCGTTTGCTACGAGCAATGGCCGGCCGGACCATTGGCAATGAGCATTGTCCGGCCGGACCATTACCAATGGAGAAATGTTTATGTGGCCAGTGCAATGCGCATGGGTGCACATCACAGTTTGATACAGACAATCATTCAAAGCAGGCCCCATCATGACACAATAATGCATGTTCCCCTTAGCTCCATGCTCAGTTCAGCTAGGAAGAATAAGACTATTCCTCTTGAGGACTTTGCTGTTCATGTTGGATTAAGCCATTCTAGTTTGTCAAACATTGTGGGCAAAGCATATTGGCTTTACAAAGTAAACATAGTTCACATGTATCCCACTCCACCCTTGACACCTTAACTCTGTACTGCATTCAGCTTGTGTGAATAAGACTGTTCCTTTGGAGCACTTACTCCATGTGAGTAAATGAACCACTCTAGATGGTGAAACCCTATTTGGAAAGAATATTGGCTGCAGGAACCAACATTCAAGTCAGACATGCATATCCCATACCTATATGCCCCTTATCTCTTGTCCTGCATTTAGCTTCAAAGAATAAGACTATTCCTGTTGGGGATGTAGTCTGTGCATTGAAATAGCACATTCTAGATAGTCAAACATTGTGGGAAAAGAAAACTGGCCTCAGGAGTTGAATAGTACGTTCTCAGAGAAGCCTGTGAGCATTTTTTATTTTGTATTCTCTGACCTAACTAGGCATCTCTGTACACTAGGGAACATATACTGTACTCTGTGAATGAAGGGCTACCAGATGATACCAAATTTCCTTATATGGCAATCTGACGGCCCGGCCGTTTTTCACCGAGCTCGGTGGTTTAACCTCGGCCATTTCCGAGCTCAGTGCTTCAACAACAAACTCGGTCATTGAACACTCAGCTCGGCCCTTTAACTGGGCCCCTTAACACTGAGCTCAATGCTTTGATACTGACCTCGGCGGTTTTCACCGAGCTCGGCGCTCGAAACCTCGGCCGAGCTCGGCGCTCGAAACCTCGGCCCGAGCCTCGGCCATTTATCCTCGGCGCCGAGCCCGGCCAATTTTTCTCGGCCACCGAGCCTAGCTGTTTAACCTCGGTGGTTCAATACTGTGCTCAGTGGCTCACTATTGAGCTCGGTGGTTTGATACCGAGCTTGGTGGCTCATCTCTGGGCTTGGTGGTTAAATATTGAGCTTGGTTGTTACAACTAACAATTCTTGTTGTTATATTACTAGTGTATCAGGGGTCTGGCTGGGAGAAGCCTGGCCGGTCGGTTCATCTGGGGTCTGGCTGGATGGTTAGAAACTAGCCCGGCCGGACCATTTACAGCCCAGATTTTGCAAGGCTTCTGGCCGGCCTGTTCACATTGGAAGTTGGGATTTTGCCCGGCCGGACCGTTTCACCTGGGGGCCGGCCAGACGTCCAAAACCAACCCCTGGCCAGGCTGAATCATTGCTGAGTGCTCCGGCCGGACCGTTAGTGATGAGCCCGGCCGGACCGTTGAGAGCCCAAATTTTTGAGGCCTCCGGCCGGGACACTGATCAAAGGTCTGGCCGGAACATTGGGTATATGTCCGGCCGGACCGTAGGAAACGTAAATTTTTCGAGGCCTCCGGCCGGACCGTTGACCAGGGGTCCGGCCGGAACGTTGGATAACAGTCCGGCCGCACCGTAGGAAACCCATATTTCTCGAGGCCTCCGGCCGGTACGTTCACCAGAGCTCCGGCCGGAACGTTACCCAACACTCCGGCCGGACCATTCCAAACCACCACCCTTCCTCCGGCCGGTTCGTTGCTGGCAGCGGCCGCTCCAAACGGTAGACCCGGAGTGCTCCGGCCGAGCCCGGGTCCACCGTTCGAAACGGGCCAAATGCACTCCGGGTGGACCGTTCGAAACGTGATTTCCCACTCATTAGGCTCCGAGCCACTCCGGAACGATCGGCCTTTCTGCTTTCGCAACCCAAGGAAGGCAAGATCCATCCCGACGTCGAAGAGGAACTGGAGTAGGACCCGGTCGATGTGACGATGCCAGGGGATCTCTTGGATGGGACACCGGTCAACGGAGAGGATCTCTGGTACACGGTGCGTCGTGAAATTGTGAAGTCGTCTTTTTAAGGCTCATACCTCGCCTTAGAAGCGACTGAGGTTGACGGTCCAATGCGTTTGCCTCGGCTGCGCGGCCATTGAGGACGAGCGCACGAACATTGCCGCGTACCGTTTGCACGCCGTTTTTGCGCTTTACACGCTCGTAGTGGCGGCTCGCTCGGTGGGCGAGCTTGTCGACATCAGCGTGTACGTGCCCTCGACCATCCCGCTGGGGTTTTCTTACGCAACCCTCGCACAGTACATCGCCTCGCTCATCCTGGTCGCGACCACTCCTTGCGCGCCGCCACTGCACTTCCCGCCTGAGCAGATCTACTCGGAGAAGGTGATCGCGATGAATACGCGCGAGGAGAATGCGTGCGGAATCACGGGGGCGTCGTAGTCGGACACGCTCCTGTTCTCGTATACGACTGAGGTCGTCATGCTCGGGAACACGGCGGAGAGCCTCGAGACCGGCGACCTACCGATCGTGCCTGCGGACATGTGCGCGACGACGATGTCGGTCGCCGGTCTGTTCTACACCCGCACTGCTTCCTGCAGCGCGTCTTGCGCTACCTCGAGATGGATCCCGAGAGGAAGGACCGCAGTTGGGCCAGTACTGAGTGGGCGATGGACGTTAGCTTCAAGGTTTAGCTGAGCCTCGAGCTCATCGCGCGCCCAGTCTATCAACTACCCCCTTCGGTTCCAGCTCCAGGCACCGCCATCGAATGACCGTGTCTCGGCTGTACGACTAGGCTGCTCACTCGGGCGCGTTGATCCTTCGCGGCCGCAGCGCTGGCTGGGCGTGTGTGGATGTAGGACTGGGTGTAAAGTATGAGTATACGACGTTTTCAGTGCCCTAAGGGCGACACCCAGTCGCGCCTCTTGTGCGCTCTCCCGCTGTGGTGTCTACGGTACATCCTGCTTGTCGACGTCCTCCCGCCCACTTCAATCCTTCCACATCGCGCTGCCGCGCCGAGGTTGCAGGCAAGCTCTGAGGTCTTGCACGTGTTCTCGACGCGCAGATCTGTCGCTTGCGTCGGTAGAAACGCAACAGACGAGTAAGTGAGTACACGCAACTCTCCCACAAACAGTACATTACTTATCTGCGGTGGCTAGTCGACCAACGTCAGGATCAGGTACCAGATGGTAAAGCGACAGATGAGTACTGTCGCAGTATTCACTGACCTGCAAAATCATCGGTTGCAATGGATTGATAATTCTCATGAATTGTGTTGAATTCAGTACATAGGCTAGATGTACTGAATTTGAATGATTGTGCTGAATAGGCCACATACTAGGTTGGTTGCACAGGTTTTGTTGGTTGTACTGGTTTTGTTGAATATGGTATACAGGCTGAAGAGACTACATAGGCTGGTTTTGTTGAATAGGGTATACAGGCTGAAGTGACTACATAGGCTGGTTGTATTGATTGTACTGACTTTGTTGAATAGGTTGTTTGTGCTGAATAGGTCTCATATTTTGGTTGTACAGGTTTTGTTGAACAGGGTATACAGGCTGAAAAGAAAGAGTACATTATTGAGAGTGTAGGCTGGTCTCCAGAGCCCAGAGTGTATATTTTGTGATTACTATGAGTCCATCTGATTGAGTTTTCAAAGTATATTCATCATGCTACTACTATATACATGTGGGCTATCATATAGTCATTCAATCTGAGGCCCAAGTAATGATCACATAGGAGTGGCTACCTTATCCATACTATACTTTTGTGCCCATTTTGATTTTCATACATAGATACATGTGAGCCTCAGTCTGAGGTTACTCAGGGGTCATTTTGAATATTACCCCAGTAAGACTTGGGTGGCCTCTGAATGACTCCTAGGGTTACATTGCAATTTCATACTGGAGACATTCAGAATGAAATCAAGATGATCCTCATATGCAAGTGGCTGCCTCATGCCAGCTATACTTGGGGTTCATTTTGATTGTGTTCAGCATGAGGCTTGTGTGGTACTCTTGGACATATGGTAAGTCTATATAGAATGTGTTCATAATGTTGACCTCGTTTTGCGGCCATGATGTGGCGTGATTCATTGTAAATTAACCCAACGTATTATCGGCTTACTTAATGTAGATAATATGCCGACTCTTTCACCCATATAATGCGCATGCTGCGCCTTGCTTCATTGGGTCACGTCTCCGGTGAATCATGATGCGGAGTTGGCGGGCGGTATGCGAGAAAGGTCGCCCACGGCGACGCGACGAAACAGGAAGGTGTCTTTCCGCATGGGGAAGGCGTCGTGCGTCAAGCCCGCATGGAGCACTCCGCCGGCGGGAGCACTTCTCCACCGAGGAACGCCTGCGGCATGTCCGTCAAGTTCCTGAGATCGATCGTCCGCGTCAACTACGATCGCTCCAGCATGCTCTCCGTTCAGATCTCATTACTGCAGAACTCTATTTGAAGGGTCTTCCATACGATGATCGTCCGCTGTCATGATGAGTAGAACTGAACTGAAAGTGCTTGTTATTGACGATGCGGAGCGCACCCAGAAGCGTGATAGCAGTACTAGCGTATATTAGGCGTCGAATCACTATATACTTTACTCAGTCGAATGGCGGCAGGGACAGCACTTTCCGACGCCGTGGACAGGTTCACTGCTAAACTGCTAGAATTCAAATTGAGAGCTCTTCCGAGTCGCTCTATCAAGTCTCTGAGCTTGTCTGCCGTATTTCCTGCAGACAGAGTGGTACGATGTCGGGGCTAAGGACACCCGTGTCTCCATTACTGATTCGGACGTCAACTGACCGCCAATTTATATTTCAAAATGCTGAGAAAGGATTAATGCCAATACTTTTTTTTTGTGGAGCATTGCGCCTTGTGGCGCAGCCCCGAGGCAGTCGACAAAGTCGCCTCTCCGGGGCCCGCTGGTGGTGGCGGGGAAATAGGATTGCCAATACTCGGGCCTATATTTGCTTACATGACGGGACGAACGACCAGCCGACCAGCGAGGATATTTGGAGGCCGAGAGCAGGAAAAATGACGTGTCATTTGTGGTCGTACCACCTCGAGAGCATGGAAGCGATACTCAAGTAGCCTCATCTACACTCACATAGTTAGATAGACGATACACATGCATGTGCAGCGTTGCCTGACAGGTCCAGGAATTGCGTGGCTCAGCGCACGACAAGCTTTGACTTTCGAGGGCGGGTGCAACCAATTCTGCCTGATACAATCGGTCAAACGCTGGGGCCATGCTGCGCACTTTTCGCATGAAAGGCGCGAGCGATCCATGCTGTCTCGTGCCACGGATGTACCTACCCCAAGGCCCTGAAGTGTCACTCCGTTCACCGCAGCGAGGTCAAATCAAACGACAGCAATATAATAATGCACGACACGTAATGCGACACGACCAATGAATGGTCTTATTTTCTGCCGAGCCTCCACTCGCTCGTCTTCGCGAGCGCCTGCCTGCCCGCGAGGGCCGTCGGCACGGCGAGGATCCCTCCGTAGAGCAGCACCTGCCCGAGGTGGAGATCCACCCAGTACCAGAACAGGAGCACCTCGAACGCCGCGAGGGACGCGGTGAACGGCAGGATGTGCGGCGAGAAGAGGTGCGGGACGCGAGGCCCGATCTCGAACCACTGCGCGCGCAAGGCGGGGTCAGCTACAGCGTGAAAGCGGAGGAGGAGAGGACGCACGAAGCCGACGAGGACGAGCCACGGCCAGAAGACGAACGCGGCGAAGAAGGCGGAGACGGCTTTGGCGGGGATACGCTGCTCGGGGCGGAACGTGTGCGTGATCTCGGGGCGCGGTGCGAAGGCGGCCGCGTCGGCGTGGGTCGGGGGCGGCTGCGAGGCGGGCACGAGGAGGTCGAAGAGGTCGTACTGCGCGGGCGAATGTATGTAGGAACCGAGGATGAGGGAGACCTTCAGCGGGTTGGTCGTCGTGGGTGGGAGCGAGGCAGGTGGACGCGCCATGTTCTGTGAGACCACAACCGAGCAGCCTTCAGAACGCGCCCAGGTCACGAATGGCAATCGAGAGTACGCACCAGTTCGAACTTGGCCTTCCCGCCGGGCGTGACGCGCACCGGCTGCACGCCCTCCTCGCCCGACACTTCATCGTAGAAACGCAGGAACGTCTGGTGCGGCTGCACGCCCTTGCCGCCCTCCGACTCCGCAACCTGGAACGTGAGCTTCAGCACGTCCGAGGTCCCCAGGCTCAGCGCGTCCGGCTTTTCGGTGAGGGAGAGCCTAGCGAGGATGTCAGCACGGGGCGACTGCGCGCGCGAGGGACGGTGGCTACTGACGACTCTGAGCGCAGTTGGGAGGCGTCGGGCCCTGTGATGGTGAAACGAGGGGCATTTATTGATAGTGAGGCGGCTTGCGCGGCTGCCACGGCCAGCAACGCAAGAACGAGCCTAAGTGCGAGGCTCATGGTCGGGAAGTAATGGCGTTTGAACGTGGATGGCAGACACGAGAGCGCCGAGGACGTGTCTTGCCACATGAGCGCTGAGGAATCGTACATAATATGGTCTTGATATGGTCTCAAGAGTGTAGCGGTAAGTTAAGTTGATCCATAATGTCATACAAAAGACATCTAGAGAGTCACTACAAGGAAGAAAGAAAAGATCTTGACCTTCACAGGTACATGAGGCGTCGAAACGCCTCAGGCTTCGTATCAAGCCAGTATGTAGAGCACTACATACTATGTGATTCAAAAAGAGGCCTCACCGTGACTCGAACACGGGACCACACGATAATCAATCTATGGTGCCATAACTGCAATCGTATGCTCTAAACCACTGAGCTATGAAGCCAACATATAACTACCGCCCTTCATAGCCATAATGAGGTCGTGCAATATGGACGCACACTGTGAATCGCTTTTCCATATTTCTCGACTACGCATCGCCAAAAGTGCAGGTCGCAGATCTCACATTATCAAGCGTTGTATGTCTCATCTTTCTTATCTTGCACGTCTTTCTAAGTTGCACTCTTTCTGGTACAACTTTCGTCCTGGGTTGCCATAGCTTTCTTTCTATTTGACATCTTCACTTCCCTCGCCACGTCATGCAGCGGTGCTATTGGCCGAAAAGACATGCATCAGCGAAGGAAAGATAATGCGTAGGCAATACAAGAAGTACGTACTGTCTCGACCAGACAGTTGGACCGCATGTCTATTTCGGTCACTATCTTCACCCTTCAACGTATTTGGCTTTACTACATACATTGTACATCACTGACGGATATTCGTGCCCGCATATGCAGGTACATAAAATATAATACACTGTTTACCCACCGCAGAATAGCGTACACACTCGCTTTGCTACCGACGTGCTGACGAGACGAGACCGCGAGGTCAAAGCCGAGAGAGAGAGAAACTGAGTAGACGGAAATGGGATGAAACGAGTCGAGCGCCAGACGTGAAGAGCCAACACCGGTGCGAGGCAGACGAGCAGAGGATTGGGGTTGGAATAACGGACGGAGTCAAGGGGACAGAATGAGTCCGAGTCGAGGGACACTGAGTCGAGAGAACGAATGAACTGCAAATAGAAGGCTTGAGCAATGGAGACGCGCAACAATGTGCATCGGACAGCTGAACAACATGGCATAAGCACGACTACTAGATGATAACATGAGCAGAAGAAGGTACTATATACACTCACCGAGATTCAAGCAGAGGAGGCGGCAGAGTTCTGGCGTTGAAGTTGAAGGCGGGCTGCGTGCTGTTCCTGCAGCTTGGTGACTGTCGAGGGGCTATTCCGTGAGATCGCGGCAGTCGAATTCTAGACGCCTGGCCGCTTGATACTGAAGACGTTCCTGTCGCAGACATCAGTATGAACCACACAGTATACATGGCACTTATTCCACCATGCGTGATATTATCTCGCCACGCCTTGTCTCGAAGAGACTTTATGTTCGCCCAGAATGCGGCACCGATGAAGTTCTCATCGTCTCGGGCCTTGTACAGAACATTAAGCGGCGGGTGAATGCTGTTCAGTCGACGCTCACCAGAAGGTCAGTGTAGGGCGCGGTCGCGGTCAGCGGAGGGAAGCGTCGTCATCGCGGCAACCTCGACTGACTGGGACTCGAAGGTGATCCTCCAGGGAGGGAAGCGTAGTGACGGACACAATCCGCTATGGACAGTTTGAGGTTGAAAGGTGGCGAGCATGCGTGCGTGCCGGGAGAAGAGGAATCACGGGAGCGCGAGTCCACGAGTCACGGATCTTGACGATAGTCACTGAAGCTGGGGCCTGGGCATCAGGAAAATCCAGATTCCATAAGTTTGACTATCTGAGCTCTAATTAGTTTCATTGTCCTAATGACAATCTCACTGAGTATGATTAGTACTAATCAGAATAATATGGATATTTTAGTTCATACTCTGAAGGTCTTATTCATGTTAGCCATACTTGTTGGCTAATAGTTCATAATCCTCCATAATCCTCAGCACATTGAAACATAAGTATGACTACTGTTACTGAACAGCTATGTCTGTCAAGATGTTGATCAACATGCAAAGCGGAGCTTCTTCTAAAACATCACTGGTGGTCCATTCACAGGGCACAACTGGCCCAGGTCATAGACATCACAAGTGGAATGAGGAGAGTATGATATCAATGTCTCGTACACGAGCTCTATTTAGTATACAGGTATGCAACAGAGGCGAACATCGAGTGAGGGGCTGGTGGAAACAATATATTTGCATGTGGCTAGCTGTCCTTTGAGCAGTGTTCAATCGGCAAGCAGGCAAATGAGCAAACAAATGAATGGGTACGTGAACAAACGGGCAGAACAGCGGGACAACGAGTGAGCCAATGAATGAGTCGGCGGGCAAACAAACGAGGGAGTGTCAGGCCAGTGTGAGCAGGGGAATGTGATGCTAGGATGCGAGAGAGGGAGAGTATTCGACGCACCCACTGATCATACTCTTGGCGCGGCCTGCACGGTGCACGCAGCACATACGCCTCGGCACTCGATGGGATCCGGAGCTGGATAACGCGCGTGAGGGTAGTCGACGCCGCGCGCAGACACGTCATCTCGGATCTGAGCTGTGCGCCGAGTTGTTCTTCGTCTCGGGTCTCAGCTGTGCGCCGAGGTCTCCACGTATCCCGGTCCTTGCCCTCACCCGCGATCGCGTCGACGAGCTGGAAGGCGGCTTGGATCAGGGTTAGCATAGCAGCGCATCAGACAGTGGGGGAAGTGTCTGCTCGATGATGAGATGCTGTCGCGCTGGCTCTGGGGGAGGGCCCGGTGTGGGGCTGGTCAGTGATCGACAGCAGGCGGAAGTACTTCAAGGGAGATGGGTTCGAGAGCACCGCAGGGAGGTCGAGCGCGCCGAGGGGCTTGAGGTTCGTGGCGACGTCCGCGAACTCTAACATGGCCGTGAGCTAGGGCGGGAGGGACGGCTGGTCGGTCGTCTTGGTGAAGGAGAGGTACGCGCGCGGACGCTCTTCAGCTCGTCCTTCGCAATGACGGCGAAGGCGCAGTCGGGGACGGCACTGGCGGAGGCATGCACGCTGAAGGTGAAGTCGAGCTCGGCATTGTCAGCGGCTTGTTAGTCGAGCTCCATGAGGCCGCGCCCGAATTGGTCGGCGAGTTGGAGGGGGTCGTGTCGAGGGCGAAGGGTGACGGTCGTGTGCAGGGACTTGACCGCGCGATGGTCGCTGGAGAAGTTGAATCAGTCAGAGTTGCCGTCGCGGACAAGGCTTTCAGTAATGACGAGTGTGCATCGAACCTCAGCTCCGAGTAGATTTCGAAAGTCTTCGTCATTATACGGCCTTCGAACCGTGTGGAACAACTGGTCGTGTGCGAGGGACGGAGGAGATGAGGGAGTTGACGCGGTCGATCCGCGCGCAGAGCTCGACAGTCAGAGAGCATGGTGACGAGCGCTGAAGTCAATAACAGAGACGTGGGCGCGGACGTCGTCGAGGCGGGCGTGCATGTCGGTAAACTCGAGGTCCGGAAGGCGCGAGCGTACATCTAGCATGTCAGGGATGCGCGCATGAATCTCGTCGGACCCAGGTACGTCCGGTATGTGGGGACGTGGTGGCGTACCGAGGCGGGACAGATGTTCAGAGAGGGGCGCAAGGATTGGCAGACAGTGGTCGTCCGGGGAGCACGGCGAGCACGTCGGTCAGCAGCCCCTGGAAGACGAAGCGGCTATACAATGCGATGTGCTCACAGGGCGCGTGCGCGCACGGTCTTTTCCGCGGATCAAGGCAGAAGTGGGCGAGCGAGCGAAGACCCGAATGAGCGGGCAGACCAGATGGATGAACAGGCGGGCGGATGAGAGAGTGAGGGCGCGAACGAGTGGGCATGCAAGCGATTGAACGGGCAGGCGAGACCAAGATACATCGAACGGGGGCGCACCTGTGGTTTCGAGCCTTTGCGCTCGCTGTAATCTCCCTCTTCCCCGAGTCGCCCTTCAAGCTTCATGCTCTACCCATGCGCTATCTCCTCCTTCCGTGTTCGTTTCTGTATGACCAGGAGATGGCGGGGGGGCTTTGATGCGTGGGGTTCGGCCAAAATGGTTGGTAGTAGCAGTCGTGGGTGAGTCGCGAGTTGAATACGACGGTCCGGTAAGTGAGTGGTCAGATAACCACGCGCATGGCGCGGAGACGTGCAGACGAGCGAGTGTTCATGGATGTCAAGACAGCGTGCGAGTAGGCAGATGGGTCGACGCGTGCGGCGAGTAGTAGGCGGGCGAGATAGGACTTGGGAGTCAGGTCAGGACTCTGGCGCGGGCAGTCGTCGACAGTTCGAGCGCTAAAGACTTGGCGAGTGCCACGTCGCGACGCCAGCGCATCCGCCCTCTCGAGGATTTGCCCATTCGCCCTCCTGTGCACGTCCATCCTCTCGCGCTCGCTCACCCTCTCGTTTACGCCCGCTCTCACCCACCCGCCCGCTGTGGCCTACTGCTCCCGCCGCCCGCTTACCCGTTCTCGCTGCCTGCTCACCAGCCCTCGCCGCCTGCTCGTGTAGTTTCGTCGCTCGTCTCGCCCACTGGGACCCGCCTGTCTAGCGCTCTCGCCGTTCTCGGCCACTCACCGTTCTCGACCGCCAGCTTTCCTGTAGGCTGTCTACTGCTCGTTCTCCCACTCGTCTCCTCCTCTTGCCCACCCGCCTGCTCGCTCGCCGACTCGGTAGCACGCTCTCTCCCTAGCTCACCCGTCTGCTCGCGCACACTCCGTATCACTCTACAATAAGGTATTTTACTTGGGTAGGTGTGTCGACGAACCATCGAGTCTACCAGCAGTCCGCGCAGTGTCCGTCCTGCTCTCTCGCGCCCGTTCGCCCGCCTGCCCTCTCGCGCCCGCTCTCACTGCCCGCTCTCACGCGTCTCGTCTGCGGCCCTATCCCCACCCTCGGTAGCTGCCCACTCTCACCTCCGCTGGCTTGCCCACCCTCCCGCTCTTGCTCGCCCGCTCTTTCTTGTCCTCTCGCTCCTCTTGTTAGCTCACGCGCTTGGTTTCTCACTAGCTCGCTCGTCCACCCGCTCTTTCCCGTCGCCTGTCTTGCCCGTCGCCTGTCTTGCCCGTCGCCTGTCTTGCCCGCTTGCACCCTCACCCTCCTGCCAGCTCACTTGCCCGCCCGTTCGCTCTCGCCTCTCCCGCCCGCTTGCCCTGTCTGGTCTGTACGCCCTCGCGGTTGCCTGCGAGGTCGATGGCGACAACTTCGCATCTGATGACAACGGTTCCGAGCTCATGAACCTTCTTAAGGCCTTCGATTCGGCCACCAAGTATACTATGCACGACGCGCAGGCCCTCGGCGTGCAGATGCTGCTGCGCGACCACCGGGATCTCTTTCCCGGCGATGTCGAGGTATGTATGTAAGAGTTGCCCTGTATTGATATTGACCTACCCATCCAGCACATTTCTGCAACGGTGCACGCGTTCGAGCGTGCACTACCACGAGCACACTGATAGCTCTAGTCGGAACACGGACTGTAGTCAACGAATGGGCGGCGGTGAGTACAGACATAGACAGATGAACGAGCTGACTTGACGACCGCGATTCGGAGCACGCAGGACCAATGCGGCGCTGCGTGTAGACGCAGCGAGCCGTCAGATAATGGATGAGCAGGTGGAGGAGCGGGCACTCCGGCAAGTGGGCCAGCGGGTGTGTGTGCGGACATGCAGGTGAGTAGGCAATCAGACGGGCGGGTACAGGGCGCGGAGCAGCACTACACAGGCCGACCGCGAGCACGCTGGGTGAACGTCCAGCACGCAGACACGGCTGACGAACAGGCGCACAACCGAGCGGGCAGACGGACGAGCAAGCGGACTCGCGGATGGGAGCACTCGCGGACGGGAGAACTCACAGAGGGGCAGGCAAACGAGTGTGGCAACCGTGAGTGTACTGGGCAAATGCCCAGCGCGCAGACAGGGCTAATACCGAACGCACACACAGGCGGGGCGGGCACACAGGCGGGTGAGCAGGTAAACGAGAGGGAGCACGTGTGTAGGTGAGCCAGCGGGCGCACGTACAGGTAAGCGGGCAGGCAGACGACACGTCTTAGGCTGAGGGTAGGATAGAATACTATGTGCACTGTTGTTTCTCAGTAGATATGCATGTGGAATACAGTCTTTGATTCATATGTTGTTGTTGTTGTTGTTGTGTGAGATGGCCAGGCATGTGCTCACTCTCCCCTACTCAATGTATTGAGGACTCATGGTGGAGGATCATGGCTAATGTATACAGGATTGTCGGAGGATTACACCTCATGTAGCTCACATTAGAGCTCATTAGGACATCATTAGGGACTAATTAGTACTAATTATGTTGGGGGTAAAGGAATTCTGAATAATGCCTAATGCTTCTAATTTGTTCTAATTGTATGAAAATATGTCTCATATACCCAAATTTAATCTCATTAGGGAATTCAGGTTTTCCTGATGGGGATGTCAGTGACAGTGACTCGTGAGCTTGCTGTTGTTGCCTGCCCGCGCTCACCCTCATGCTGGCTCGCCCGCCTCCTCGTCCGCCCAGCCGCCTCCTCGCCTGCCTTCTCGTCCGCTCTCCCCCGACCTATCGCCTGTTCACCTGCTCGCCCGCTCATTGCCCGGCCGCTTGTTCTTATTTGCCCATCCACACTCGCATTCTCGCCAGCTCGTCCGTGGCCTTCTCACCCGCTCGTCAGTAGCCTTCAAGTTCTCGCCCGTTCCTACCTGCCCGCTCGTCCTTGTCCTTCTGCTAGCGAGCCGACTTGCATGCTTGCTTACCCACTTGCCTATGCCACCCATGCAACGCTGTAAGCCGCGCAGACCCGTGCCACACCCATACCCGTTGCGGCGGGTTTGTGCCTCAGCAGGTATAAGTACGGGTAGAGCACAGGACTCGGATACTCACGAATATTCCCGTATCGACTTCATTGAAAACTAGCACGATGTGTATATGCGCCAGGAGCAGCAACCCCAGCGCAAGTGAGCAAGCAAGAAGGGCAAGAAGAGTGACAAGAGCGGGCGAGAGAACGGGCAGGCAAGACCCGCGGGGGCGCGAGAGTGGCGATGATGGAGGAGATATTAGAAGGGATGGCAAGGACGAGGTACTTCGAGAAGAGGAGATTGTCAGAGTGTGTAAGTGAGACGATGGTGGTTATGGAAGAAGAAGTCGAGAGACGACGCAGCTCAAGATTGGCTATATGCGCACACGTGACCGCGTACAGTCGAGCACTGCGGCTGAGGCCCAGGACGCGGACTTCGATTTGCTGCTAAGTTACACCGTGCCATGAGGGTACCTCCCCATCCTTTACGCTGTTTTCATGCCCTCGTTCGCAACTGTCTGCATATTAGGCCCCAAGAGCGACTTTTGTGCCCGAAGGATGGCCTGAGTCTCGGAACAGCCTGTAGTATGTGCCTCGTCGCCGCTCTGAGCCTGCCTGCGCTGCCGCATAGGCCCGTACATGCCTGCAACTTCCCCGTTTCCGACCAAAATCTATTTTGGTAGGTCGGCAGATACCTCAGGAATGGTGTCGTACATGACTGGTACACGCCGCGCTGCCTGAAACGAATTCCTAATTGAATTTAGTTCGGAGATCGCGCTGACATGCTGACCTCAGTCACCACTAACTAGTCACACCTCGCCCGAGTCTGTACGAAAGGATCCTCTTAGTCTCTAGACAGATCACGCAGCTGCTCTCGTTGTCTGCGCTCATCTTAAAAGCGGCACCAAGCGGCACCAATTCTCTGCGCATATCTTCGCAATTCTGGTAAGTTGTCGAATTACAATGGCATCTCGGAAAGCTGCTTATATCCAATCTCACCTCTTGTAGTCTTCGCGTTCTCTCCAGTTATCTCTGGAGCGAATACTAAATCTTACGAGGTGAGCAATACAACTCACCGCTTGTGAGATCATCATCCGGCACTTTTGCTGATGACGTAGTACAAAGCACAGGGACGCAGGCTCAGTCACACACGTCGTACATACGTACAGCGTTCTACTGGTCGTCCGCTCCTCATTGCCTGCTGATTGCCTGCGAGGGTGTGGTATAAAAAAGACAGTGACTCCGAAGGAATTGACAGGCCCATAATCCTAGAGGTAACCACAAAAGACAGACAAAATACGCAAATATTGTTCAATGTCCAAGCTGCACCCTTTTGAGACACTACTCGATTCAGAGGCCGGTCGCACTGGGAACCGTGATGGACACAACCACGGAAGGCACGGGGCTGACCACGGGGCCGTGTTGGGAGATAATCTTGAACGCAGACGGGTCGCTTTCCAGAATCTGGCCACTGCCGTACACCGGCTTGGCGGGCGGCGCCTTGAAGGGGTGTGCCTCGGTGTTAAACACGTCTGCGCCAGCACTTGTCAGTGACTTCTTTCAGCTTGACAGCACCCTATACTTACACTCATCGAGGCTGACCAGGTTCGGGTCTGCAAGGTCAGGTACCTGCACAAAGTCGGTATCAGGCTTCGAGTAAAGGCAGATAGTCCACACGACTCACAAGTACTTCAGGACCTCCCCGAACCAGAAGCTCTGCATATCGTCGATGAACCCCGAGTCGGTCGCGTCGACGTCGTTGATACCCGCGTACGCGACAGTCGTGGGGAGATACTTCAGGAACGAGTCCACCGCGTCCGCCGCGCGCTGGACGTACTTCCAGTCGCCCGTGATGCGCCATGCGTAGAAGTTGGACTCGAGCACCTCAGGACGGAGGTAGTAGTCCTGGTAACCCGGGTAGATGAAGAACCCGTACTTCTCGTAGAAGGCGAGGTCCCCAGAGGAGGGAGAAGCGCCGGTGTAGTTGCCGTCGGACGAGAAGTAGCCGAAGACCTCAGGGCCGATGCCCGTGCTGTCATGAAATGAGCATACTAGAGCAGACGGAGATGTGTATGAGATAACGCACGTAGTGCTGGCGTACGTGTTCCAGCAAGCCTCCATGAGAGCAAGACCGTAGTTGACAATGGTCTCGTTATTGAGGAGCTTACCACCTACGCCATGCATGAGCGACATTCAGACTTGCACCCTACACAGAGAGATAGCATACCGAGCATCCAATTCCCTGCATGGAAGCACTCCAAATGAGAACCAATGTGGATGATGGTGCCGTTGTCCCAGTCGGCCAAGTACTGCCAGTCATCCACCGTCGACGACTGGAATACTCATTTGAGCTACCTTGACCGCTCGATTTTGCCTTCATGCTTACCCTCGCCAAGTTCCAGATCGATGAATCCACGGCAGACGCCCACGCATCCGCGAACAAATTGTTGTCCGTGTTCGTGAGGCGCGCGTATTTGATCAGGTACTCGAAGTAGCTGTCAGAGCCACCGCCCCATGTCTATCGGCAACCATGAGCACAGATCTAGATGAGCGCGGCTCCGTAGTACACACGACGTAGGCATCAGCGAATTGGCCAGAGGTGGGGTCGATCACTTGTGCAGGGAGGTTCGAAAGTGGCGGAGGCTACTCGAAATGTTAGCCCTACTACGCGCAAAGTTGAGCTGAGCGTGACACTGACAAGGTTGGCGATGTAGATAACAGGCTTCTCTGCGAGCTCGCGGTAGGTGTCGTTTCCGGTGTATTTCCTAAAGACGCTCAGAATGTTGGTCAACGGAATAGCATGGGGTAACTTACGCAAGAGTACCCCACTCCATCGTCAACTATGCTGATACGTTAGTAACCAGCCTCATCTAAATATAATAATCGTGCAATTCACTTACAGTTCCGGCCTCAGCGATGTTCGTCGTTCCCGTCACGGGAGTGGCATTGTTCCAATTCAGATAGCCATACGGAATTTGGTTATCCTGAAATATACCGCATCATCAGTGGACATGTCTCAGATATGAACAAGTACAAGTACCAACCCCGACAAACGCGTTCACCATCTTGTCCACAAGCACTTTTGACTGGTTGACGAGGGCAGGATATTTCTGTCCACTGAGCTCGTACGTGCAGAGCGAAGAGGCGACATATCGGATAGTCGTCTCGAACAAGCTTATAACCTCCCCAGTCAAGCGTCGGTTGTTACATCGTTGGACGGAATACGCACTCGATCTGATCGCCTGTGGGTGTCGTGCTGTAGTCGACCGTGGACGAAAAGTTCAAAGCTTCCTCGAAGATGTCCTGGGTCCCTCATTTCACGTCAGGAACAAAACGCAAGTCGTAGGACGTACAGTGAGCCCCATCAAATACTATTTCCGGATGAGGAATATTCACGACGATTTAGCATGAGCGACGCACAATGGTATCCAACGCATCTACAATGGAAGCACCCCAACCACCGTAGCTGTCAGAGTAGCTCTCACTGACTGGGCTCAGGTCGTCGTGTCCCCAGGCATATTCCCTGTGCAAACGTTGCTGAGACTCCCACTATGTTGGCAATTACTACTACTCACTTGTACGCAGCCCAGCTCGTCTCGAGAAGCTGGACCGTCTTCTGCGCATATTCAGCCGCATAAGGAGGTGGGACAATAATGGGAGCTTGCACAGGGCCCGCATTCACGCCAGTGCAGACGAGAGCGAGCGCGACGACACCAAGGCGACGACCGACTCCAGACATAGTGGGAGTAGTGGGCAGCGAGCAGGAGCAGCGCGAAGCCCACGGCGGCCCACATCATCGGCTTTATATTTCGTTGTCGATGCGCGTCTGCCGGCGGCGGGCCCTATCTCGTCGCCTGGCTTCCAGGGCCCACGTCCCACGGCTGGCTGCCCTGAGATGCTGAGTAGGAAGCTAGTACTGCCCTTCCGTGTCAGAGACATGCACAAGGGCGCCGGCGAAACACTTTTTTTAGAATATTAGAGCGCGAAGGGAAGGGAGAAAAGTACGGAATGCATCCATACCGGACCCGTTACGACACCGCATGATAACGGCTGTAGCAAGCATGCTACGACGAGTGGTGTCGTTTTGATCCTCAGCCGCATCAAAAGTGCGGGACCATACTTCAGCAGCCCGGCCAAGGGAGTAAGGATGAGGTGGATGATGACAGAAAGAGCGACGCCCCCAGCAGCGACAGAGCAAGATAAACGGCCTTCGCACAGCCTGATAAAGTGCGCACGAGAGCGAAGACGGAACACCGAACAGGACGCGTAGAAGTGTCTGCCGGCGGCACTAGCGTTCATCTCAGCCACACGGGAAGACTTCCTTGATGAACCCGCCACCCGCGTGACAACCTGGTTCGCATGGCCCAGCTCACCCAAAGCACACCCGTGTGTCAACCGTGTGCCCATCTGTTGTCGACGTCCATTCGCATTATCGTCGTGCAACAGACTGCTGATCGGATGGCGAAGCATCGTGCGGCGTACCTGAGCACGGTGCTGAGGGCTCGGCATTTGGACGTGTCCAAATAAATGAGGATGTATTGAGTCTAGACAGCTACAGTCTGAGAAGCGTGAGCCATAGTGGATCAGGGAGGACGATATAATTGGCGATTGAGGCCGTACGAAGGCGAACCAAGACACAAGATGAAGTTGCGGACAGTTCTAGAGTGCTTACGCCGAGCTCGGCGCGGCGTAGACGTCTTCATCTCGAACGTTTACGACACCATGTCTTTGCCAAGGAAACATTCAGCAACACTTGAAAACGACCTTGGAATGGACACTCACTTCTGTTTCAAATGCGACCTCAATCCGTCGAAACTGTATAGCTTCTCCTTTGCCAGTTTCCTTGCCAGCCTCTCGATCTTGTTCGAGTCTGTCGCAGGAACGCCTGCAGGAGGAGCGGTTTGTGGCTGATTACCAGCAACCGCTGTAGAGGAGCCTGCACTGCCATCAACACCCTCCGCCCTCAAAATTTGGGACTCAGGTTTCCGAGCCGATGCCTCGGACGAACGCTCGACTCCATCCATGGGACGGCATCGGGGGCTACGCTTGTGGCAGCAGTTGGTTCACGTTCTTCCGTTGGCGAGATGGCTTGCCTGGCAGTCTGTTGACAATGCCGACAGCCATACACCTTCTGACTACGCTCCTCTCGAGCGTCATCGCCTTGGCCCATTAGCCGTGCTGTTAGGCCCGTCGGAATTGGAAACGATTTATATACGTCCAGTCTTGAGTCGCCTTCGCCGGTGAAAGTCAACGTGAAGCTTTCGTGTCGCTTGCTGTGGCGAATCTGTTCGAAAGTATGAGTAATGTCTACTGCCTTTGGGAAACTCTGGAAGGGAAACTCACAGCGCTATCCAGAGTCATGGCTATCGGAACGGGGCATGCCGTGCACAAAAACTTCGGCCCGATCATTTCTGCTCTGGTCTTTGACTCTGGATCTTCGCCTGCAGTCTGCAGGAGTGCCAGCACCTTATTTGCGGCATCGATGGCCTGATATAAATCAGTTACAGACTCGCATGCATATGTACATGCACCACGCACCTTTGTATCTGGTTCGAAGAGATTGGCATTCCAGGTCTCCCTAGCCCTCTGCCTCTTGTTGAGACCGGCACATCGATGTTCGCATGCGGCCGCAAAGTCGAGATCTTCGCCGCCCTTGCCCCTGGACACACATTTCTTGCACATAAACCTCGCCGTCAGCCTATCGACTGGATGTAGCTTGTTCTTGCTCGCGGACTTCCAACCAGCGAATCCTAGGACGCCCGCGAGAGCGCTCCGTGCATCCTCGCGCCATTGCCGCAGACTATCCGAAAGCAGCTCGTTCAGCAGCTTGCTGTTCTTGAGATCCTTGGCCACTCCCTCATCAGGATCCGTCGGCTTGCCCTGCAGGACTTTCATGACCGAAAGCCTTCTGAACTCCGGCAGCGTCGGAAGCGTCTCCTTGGCTTCTGGCGCAGACTTGAGTCGGCTGTAATGCTCCGCTACATCTCCTCGCCGTTTCTCGTAGGCACCTTCTGCCTTGCGTCGTATCGCGCGTTCTCTGCGTTCAGCCACCTCCTTGTCAACCTGATCGCGGATCAAATTGAAATCTTGAGATGCGTTCGTCAGGATGAAGAGGGTATAACATAGAGTGCCGGCTTGCCTGCTGCGATGATCATTTCAAGTGATGCGGTCTTCGAGCGATGCAGTAGACCGTATGTGGGCGTTCCAATCAGCTCGAACGCCGTCCATCCCTCGTCGATGGCGCAGATATTTGCCCTGGTTCATACATCAATGCCTGCATACGACAGTTGACAATCATCCATACCTCGCTTCGTTGGCTTCCTTCACAGTCCTTGCTTGGAGTTCCCACGCATGCTTGAAACCAGTCAGCTCTCCCGCCCACTAATGCCCTTGCTTGTCAGTACCGCACATCTACTGTGCTCCGAGTACATACCTTTGACGTGGTCGCGAGTCTGTCTGAGAGTGCCCGCTTCTTGGCCAAAAATTGTTCCATCGTATCAGGCTCAAGAAGCGCCCTGTTGAGCTCGTCCACTGCCGCATCCCAGTCGCGCCTACGCACACGGATACGCGCTTCTGCAAGACCTTGTGTCTCCATTCGAGGAATCCAGGACACGAGGTCCTTGTAGCGCGGGTGGTCCGCTCTCCCGACCTCAATAAGATTGTCCTGGCTGCGTAGCAAGCAACATGAGAAATCAATATGACTGGCGACCTGCGTTATGCCCACCTCCAATTTGACTTGCATGTTGGCTATCATATCGTGAGCACTATGTCCGTCAAATAACATACCTGCGACTTACCTTGTCACATACTCTCGCGCGCAAACAGAACGACTCGTACATCCGACGGGTGTGCTTCCCGCAGACCTCGCACTTTCCGCCGTCGAACACAAATGCAGCGTACGAGGACTCCGTGAAATTGTGCAACGGTTCAGGTAGTTCGCGGATAACATATCTGTCCAACCGACATCTCGCCCGAGCGTTGCGCCAGATGAACGTGGTCGAAGGATTGTTGACGAGGGTGTGGCAAAAGTACTTTGAGCACCGTGCCAGAGCAAGGACAGTAGCAGGGGTCGAAGCATACGACAATATTTCCGCCAGAATTTCGAGCGGCATCCCCGCGAGGCGACATGGGGGTCGCTCGATCGTCGCTCTCTTAGCGAAAGCATGGTGGCGAGCTTTCTTTGTGGGCGGTGCTGCCTGAGGGGCCTCAGCTTCAGCAGCCAGTAGAGCAAGCGACGAGCCCTCCGGGTCGCTGGCGGTAGACTTCTCAACTGCTTGGCCCTCCATGTTGTGTATATCGTTCGGCCGTGGATGACTTCGTCGATTTAGCGTCGGTATGAAATCCCTGCAACAGCCCCTGAATCGCTTCTCCGAGGTCGGCAAAGCGACGAGTAGCTCTCAGCCCAATCAGAAGTCAATGAACTGATCGGCTGGCGATTTGCGCTCGAGACGAGCGAGTACGAATAGAGTACCAGAAACGGATGACGGTAAGTTAGAAGAGAGGAGAGATCGGGAGTTGGTGGCAGTGGCAGACCATTATTCACCGTTAATGATAGACTACATCGCCAACTGATCATGAAACAAATGTAATTTAATCTATTATAATTAGTGACTTACGTACTTACACACGAATGTAAGATAAGCAGGGCATAACATGAAAAAAATCAGTAAGTACGTGCCCAAGACACGCCCGAGACACGCCTCAAGCTTTCAAGAGTGACAACAATCAACTTTCCCCGTACACTGACAGCAAGCGACCATGCCCCCGCTGCCCAGTACACTCGACGGAGAAATAGTGTCTGTCATTGAAACGCTACGCAGACGGCGTAAGGACCTTTCGGACTTCCAGATCCAACGTTTGCGGACGTGTACAGGACCGCTAGCTGTTCAACAGCAGTATGCAGCGGAGTTACGCGAAGACCTTGACATATTCGCTCGACAAGTCGAGGTAGGCCTTTGTCTGGATCATCCTGCACACTTGTGAGAGCCTCTGAGTAGAACCTAGAACTCTCAGTGGATGACCAGCGGATAGAGCGGGACCGGAGAGAGTTGAGGCAAGTGGTGGACGAGTTCCGGGCGGATCTAGCGAGGTGAGTGTGTACTCGTCTACACGCATCTCCAAGCTGCTGACAATGACAAGCTTGAAGAAGGACACGCGAGCTGCGCTGCTGGCTTCCAAGCGGGCAATTGACACGAATCAGGTGTCGAACCGGGATGAGCTCTTGCGATCGTCGGCAGTGAGGGAGAAGCAAGACTTGAATGAGAAAGTCGCGTACGTTTTGCCCTTCATTTCAGTCACTGCCACCCTTAGTGTGCTTCTAGCGAGGATGCGTTGATGAAGGCGAATAACGATGTGACGGAAGCCTTACATCGGACGATATCACTAATGCAGGGCGAACTAGAGAAGTCAGTCCTCTCAACACAGCTGCTCGGTAAGTTCTCCCCTTTAGCCACTATCTATCGCTCCTACAGCCCTATTCCATAGATGCGTCTAGTTCATCTTTGCGCTCTACCTCCTCCACTCACGACGTGCTCGATGGCCTGCTCGTCACCTCGAAGCACCTAATCACTGCACTCGAGAAATCCGACTGGCTGGACCGCATGCTCGTCTTCGCAGGGCTTGCCTTTTTCGTTCTCGTCGTCGTATTCATCCTCAAACAGCGTCTCGTCGACCGTGGACTCCGTATCGCGTTCTGGTGGACGCGCTTCATCCCAGATTTCGGCGGCGATGAACGGCTATTGGACATGGAAGAAGCGAAGGCAGCGAGCGCTGTGACGGGGTCGATCGCAAGCGTAGTAGCGAGTGTGTCGGCAGCGGCGGCATCGATATCGGCGTCAGCAGGGATGTCAAGCTCATCCTTTGCGTCCACAATCACATCTGCCGCGAGCGAACCACATCCATCGCATCCGGAGGGCGAAGCGCCTACGGGCCTGGAGACTCTGAGCGATACTCTTCTCGCATCGCCGGCTCCGGTGGATGGTGCTCTGGAGACTGGATTGCACGACGAGCTGTAGGTTATGTACGTTCTCTATGTCTATGTATATACTTGTTGCCACAGGACTTTGTTGCACATCGCGGTCGCCGAGCTGCGAGTGTATGCCGAGGCCCAACACGAAGTAAGTTGTGTGTGCAGCCTCGTCCATTGCAGGTATGGTGCAGTAAGCCTCCCCGTTATTGTCTTGGTTCGTGACTATTACTCACATAGGCGTGCTTTCGGCGGACCTCCATCCCGGGGTGGAGGGATCTCGATCCGGCCATACACGGCATCACTGTGTCTATCCACCAGTAAGGTGCGTAGGCGGCGGCGCGGATCTGATGTGTGGGTAGGTGTTTCAGAGACAGATCATAGACCAGTCATAGATTACCGTAGTCTGCGAAGCCATCGGTCGGGCACTATGGTGACGTATGGTATAAAGGTCAAACCGCGCTGCGACCCGCTACAGCCTCGCTCAACAACTCTCATCGTCCGTAACTCAGTAGCCGTCACGCCGTCTTCGCTATGGGTTTCTTTGAGGAGCTGGGTTACCTCACACAGGTGGTCCGCCAGCTGTTCCCCGGGAAGTCTCACTTTAGTCCGGACGATATCCCTGACTTGACAGGCCAGGTTATAATTGTTACGGGTGCGCAGGCTCCGATCATTAACAGCCGTTTGCTGACAAAAGCATATGCTGTTCCTCGACGGTAGGAGGTAATATTGGGATCGGCCTGGAGACGATCAAGGTGTGTGGTGTTCCGTGCTACATGACATGTACACCGGTGGCGTCAACGCTCGATAAATGTCGAAGAGACTTACTGGTCGTCTGCTATGCTAGGTGTTGTTGCAGCACAACGCTAAGGTGTACATGGCCTCGCGCAACAAGGATAAGGCGACTGCGGCTATCCAGCAGCTCAAGGAGGAGACGAGCAAAGAGGCTATCTTCCTGGAGCTCGATCTCAGTGTGCTCTCGTCTGTCAAGAAGGCTGCAGAAGAGTTCCTTAGGTACGTGCTAGCCACGTTGGTTCTGTAGCCCCTCTGACCTGAGTTTGGCATGACCTTAGCAAGGAACAAGAACTGCATGTGCTATTCAACAATGCGTGAGTCTTTAGTCCAGTATTCGTTGTATACGGGCTACCCTGAGACGTTCTCTCCAGGGGCGTGATGTGGTGCCCCATTGAGTGGGTCACGGAAAACGGCTTTGACATGCAGTTCGGTACAAACGTCGTTGGTCAGCTACCGTTTCTCGCATGCACATCTCCGGGTAGCTGAACTATATACGCACTGTCCCAAAGGACACTTCCTGTTCGCCGAGCTTCTCTTGCCGGCTCTCTTTGCGGGCGTCAATAGCTCCCCTGACCATCATGCGCGCGTCGTTACGACGTCCTCAAGCGGAGCATACTTGAACACGCTCGACTGGGACACCTTCCAAGAGTCCCCCAAGCGAAAGAAGACGTCTTCAGCGGTACTCTACAATCAGAGCAAACTGGTGCGTACAAACGAAAGTGAGATCGAGCGGGATATGGACATGAAGACTGTATTTAGGCAAACGCCATAGTGGCGCGTCAGATTGCGAAGCGGTACGCCGACAAGGGGATCATCTCTTTATCCCTGGACCCAGGTTAGTGGCTTGCCAGTCGGATTCTACATTTGCTCATGTATTCCCAGGTGGCATCGATACTGAATTGCAGCGTCACTCGCGGATAAGACGCAGCATCATGGTACGGACCAGTTGCTGACTTCTCCCGGTGATGGAAGGTTCACTGCACATTGTAGAGAGCAGTTATCCTCCATCCTGCGCCGATGGGGGCACTTACGCAACTGTGGGCAGGGACCATGCCTGAAGCCCTTAACCACAATGGCGAGGTAAGCCTCTGGTGCCAGTAATTCGGTTCGCAATTTGCTGACTTACCCTGGTGGTCAGTTTTTGATCCCTTGGGCAAGGGTTGGGAAGTGCAGAAAGGAGGCATATGATGATGAACTCGGCCAGCGGCTTTGGGCATGGCTAAAGGAGCAAGTGAAGCTTTAGTGAATGGCTTGATTACCAATTGCATTGCGGTTGCCTCCCAAACTTCAAAAGACGCGGAGCCCGCCTTGTCCCGCTACGGCGTTATAATTCGTTGCGTATTCTATGTAATTTCGTCAGTTTGAAGGAATACTGTAATCTTGAGGCCAATCGGACTGCTTGCTGGAACGCGCGATGGGTCATTGGCGGCACTCTCCCGTAGGCAGTCCCTAAAACGACCTTGTTGAGTGAGGGAGGGCGGTCGTGTATGACATTTGATTGCGGGGGCGCTGTTCCGCGCGCTTGGCGGCGAACACGTGTCACGTGGGCGCGTCGCCGCCAGTGCCGGAATGTGCTCGAAGGCTGACCACGAGCGCGCCGGTCTGCGCTTGTCGATTGTGTCAAATATCTGACAGAGACACGGTTGCTGACACGCATTGCCCGCAACGAGAACAGAGTTTGCTTCATCAAACCTCACGAATAGTTTCATCCTATCAAGGCTCTCAGGCTCTTGCGCCTTGCTACCAACTCTCATCTCACCCAACTCTCATCTCGTCCAACTCATCTCGTTCTCCTCGTCTGCCCGCCGTGAACATCTTGCTGGCGACATTGGCGATGTCTATGGGAGGGATGCCGCTGCTGAGCGGCCCCCCGCACCCGCATGAATACCCGGACAACGAGTCGTCGTGCCGGAAGTGCGACAAGGAGTTCAATCTATTCTTCACGCGGTCGAGGAAATGCAACCATTGCGGTGCGTACAAGCACAATGTCGGGCCCACCAGGTTGCGATGCTCACGTATTTCTCCGCTGATCCCTCGCAGGCTATCTCTATTGCCACTCGTGTACCGACTTCCAGGCGCTGATGCCGCGGAGTGGCTCGGAAACAGGATACGATCCTGTCCCCGTGTGTGCATTCTGCGTTGATAACCTCACAAGTGAGTCACGGTGCGCTTCTCCTTCATCTGAAGAGTGGAGCCTTCCCGCAGAGGTTTACAGCGCATTCTATCCTAAATTCGCGCTCTAAATCTCCCCAGTATGCCGTCCCCTCGCCCTTCGGCAATTCAGTTCTATACCTGGACTGGAAAGGGGCTCAGACCCTCCCTTCCAGGCTGAGAGGCATGGACATCAGTGTTCGAATTCTCGTTCACTAGTTCACTCTCACCTGTCCCATCCCTACGGGCGCCTCCGACGCATTTGCGTCGCATAGTACAGATTGTCGCGGCGGTTGAGCAGCCCTCGTATTCATCGCGCCTGAGACGGTGTCTGACGCCCACTCCAGCTTTATCAGTGCCCGAAAATCCTGCGGAAAAGCATCTGATATCACTGAGAAAGCTATGCGGGGATCTTGAATGTAGTTCAATAGTGCTACTCGATTGTGGATGCTTTCCCGCAGAGGTTACAGCGCGTTCTATCCAAAATCCGCGTTCTAAACATCCTATGCTCGTCTTCTGGCTCTCATGACCCGATGCGGTGTTGTACATTTACGTCACGCATCACATCGCTGCGGTTCAGGAGCCCTCGCTATCCTAGTGTCACAGGCAATGTTCGACGTCCGCTCTGATTTTTGCGGGGCCCAGAAAGCTAGACGCTGACTTTGGCAACGACCAGTTACAGCAGGTGGCAAGAACTACCTGCGGGCCTTGCCGCTCGGTCGGCTGAAGCAATACGCCAGTGCATATAATATCAGGGTGGTCGGTGTGTTAGAGAAAGATGACCTAGTCAACGCGCTCATCGTGGTCAGGGTAGGTGTCGCCTACACTTGTCCTGGACACAGATACTGAGTGTGAGTCCTAGGAGCGGAATGGCTGCTTGCCCCGAGCACATGAGGTGAGTCGCCGTCCATCTCGCACCCAATCGTTCTGAACACACTCGCGACAGGATTACTACCGCAAAAACTCCGTGCCAAAGCATCGCAGTAGCCGCTCTCGCGGGATCTTCACACGCGCAATGGACGCGATGGGCTCTGATCGCTCGTCTCAGTCAAACCCGCCGCCACGTGCTCAGCAGCAGCAGCGGCAACAACGCCAGCAGCAGCCTTCGACCCACCAGCCGCGCCAGCGCACGACCTCTGGTCCCAGCACGTTCCCGCGTCCAGACCTTGACCCAGGACGACAGCCGCAGGGTACATACGCGTATGGCCATCACCCACCACCACCACCACCCCGTGGGCCGACGTCCCGCCCTCCTCCGGCTCCGCGCCCGCAGACAACCTCCGGCCGCTCGCACCTCAATGTCCCGGGCAGCAGCAACAATACAGGCGGAGGTACGCAACCCCGAGGACGCACGCGCGCAGCCTCCGCGTCTTCGCCCTCTTCGCCCCGTACCCACTCTCCCGCGCCGCCCGTTCCGACGCTCGACGAGCTGCTCGAAATGCCGGAGGAGGCTATCGCGCGTCTCAGTATTGGCACGCTGAAGGCGGTGCTCTTCCAGAATCACGTAAACGCGAGGCTGGTGGTGGAGAAGGCGGAGCTGGTCGCGAAGGTGCGCACGCTGGTGGAGGACGAGCGGAGGGAGAGGGAGAGGCATGCGGCGATCGAGGTGGCAGAGAGAGCGGCGGAGGAGGAGGCGAGGAGAGAGAGGGAGGACGAAGCAAGAAGGGCGGAAGAACAAAGAAGGCGTAGGGAGGAAGGGCAGGCAGATGCGGCTGCGGAGGACGTACGACGCGATAGGGAGAGCGCGATGGATGTGGACGTTTTGGAGGAACAACCGGAAGCGCATGTGCACGCAGAGGGCGCATCGGACGAAGCGGCGCCTCCACCACCACCCAAGTCTGCTCCGCCAACACCGCCCAAGCCCTCGGCTTCGCCTCCCGCACGAGGACTCTCGCCGAAAGCACAGGCCAAGGCAGCGCAACTCGAACGCACGGGCCTCTGCGTGATTTGTCAAGACGAGGAAGCTAACATCGCTATCGTCGACTGCGGGTGAGTACTATCTCATGTGCCAGCTGCTCTGCATAGTGATGTCCCCTGATCACGCACGAAACTTAGCCATCTATGCTTATGCCGCGCCTGCTCGGAGCTGATCATGAAAGGCTCGCGCGAGTGCCCTCTCTGCCGCACACGCATCGTCACGGAGCAGCGCCTGCTCAGAATATTCAGGTCGTGAGATCCCGAACGCTATGCGCTCTGGTGGGCTAAGTACATACATGATATGCAGTCCCTCAGTGCCCTTTCTTGATCCCTCATCGTCGCTACTTTCAGTCAATGCTTTGTGTAGTACTTCCAGTCACGTTCTGTAACTATTGCTCATATCACACTAGTGTTGTATGGATACCTATTTATCTGACTGGTATATCATCGCCGTTGCTTTTTGGCCATTCTCGCATCTGGCACTGGCAGTGTCCCATCGTGGGCACTTGTATAGATAGTTACTAAATCTGTAAAGCTGCTTTGTAGTAGCTACGCAGGCGTCTGAGGCGCCCTCAGAACGCGTCGGTGGCGTGGTGAGATTCCCGATGCTCTTCGACCACGACCACGACCACGACCTGGTCTGGGTCGCAGATAACCTCTCTCTGACCTCTCTCGCTCTGTTCACTGAAGGGGTGCGTCACTGTCTACCTATGTGATCTGTTTCAGAATTGTGACAGCGACAAGCAGAACGCGCTCAGAACTAGACGCGCCGCACAAAGCCCGTGGACGCGGTATGCAGCGCGCGCAGAATCCGAGCAGCGTCCCACCGCCTCCATCGTCGCACAACATGCAAAACCTGCACAACGAAGGACCCAGCGTACTGTTTCCGCCGCCGTCGGGAATTCCTCCAGGTCAGATCGCTACGGGTGGCGTGCCGAACATCCTCTCGGTGCTTGCGGTCGCTCTCGGCGGTCTGCACGACAGCACGACGGACAAGTTCGCGCATCTCGACGCGGTAGTTCGCGATCTCACAGCCTCGGTCACGGCCGTGCGCGAAGCCGGACGTGTGGACTCGCTGAAGTTGGCGGAGTGGCTTGATAAGGCACACGATCGCCAGATGAAGGCGACGATGCTCGTGCTGGAGAGGGTGAGGGCATTGGAGCGCACGGTGGGCGAGGTCAAGAGCTTGCACGGAGACGAGACGATCACGGCGAGAATGCAACGGATCGACTGTGCGTTGACGGAGTTGCTCGAACAAGTCCAGGACCCAGATGCTGGATGTGAGATGTCATGGCTCACTGTGAGGACGCATATACTCACTGTTTGCGCTCAGTCACGGCGTTCGGGCCCAGCACAGGTGGCGACAGTACTACACCACTACCGACCCGCCATTTCATGAACAGGAGCGTAAGCCCGATTGCACCTCCTGTGTACGTAGACGCAAGTGCCGGTGGGCACCCGACAGAGCATGTCGATGCATCTGTGGCCGCGTCCCAGCCCTTACCCGTGCATGTGGACGCAAACGTCAATACTACCGAGCGCAAGATGATGGACACGGGCTCAGCCACGGCCTCCCTTGAACTGGTCGACATCGGCGTAGGCACCGCTTCAATCGTGCTCGCAGATGCATCCGTCGGCAACTCACCCCAACAATACGCTGATGCGGGTGTCGATGCACCCGGACCAGAAGACTCTGAATGTATGCGCACTCCAACGCGTATGCCACGGTCTCTGCACGTCTTCGGACCAGGTGGGGTGGCTATGGGTGCAAGAGCAACCTCAGAATCGGAACTGACACATAAGCCTTCGTCGCAAGCAGATGTGCGATTGCATGCACGTTTCCCGACCTCGCCCTTCAACTCGGATCCCATGGTTCCTGCACAATGGTCTCCGAACCGCTCTGGTGAGTGCAATGGCGTGGGGTTGCATTGGTTTGTTCACAGCAGATTCGAGACTCATCATTATCTGATGTGCCAGATTCTCCTCGGTCCGGTACGCGGAACTTTCAACGTATTGAGCAAGTTACTGACCTACAGTCCAACAGAGCTAAGTTACGTCAGTCGGGATGGAGGCCCCGATGCATCCTCTGCATGGCCAGCAGCGGCCAGTCTACCCGTCGCAGAAGTTGATGTGGATAATCTTGAGTCAACCTTGCAAGACCGCCGTTCCCTTCCAGGCGATGACAGCGTGGAGACTGGTGGTCGTGAGCCTACTCCCAGAGCAGGCGTCAACTCCGTGTCTATACACGACGATGTGTCGGCTGTCCCTGTACAACTTCAGACTGGTACGCGTCCGGCGGATCTGGCCTCTACATCCTCCGCAATTCGCAGCTCTGAGCATCTAGCATCTGCCGAGGTGACACATCCTCCGCGTGCTGCCTCCACGTCAGGCATCAGCATTGGACAGTCTGTGTCTTCTATCACAGCAGTAAACTCCCCAGGGGACAGTGCTATGTCTCCCACGATTACAAAGCCCTCGTCGTCGTCAACGACTGACACCAAGACGTTGCCACTCCCCCGAAAGCCGTCACAGCGAGCGAGGTCTCACTCACTCTCCACTTTATCGTCCCTCTCGCCACCCCCATCTCCGCAGGTTACGCGCACTCGTCCCGGAGCACGGATATTTAGTTTGAGTCCCTCGCCGCCACCACCGCCACCGCCGCCACTGCCACGGCGCAAGATGCGAGACACGCTCCGTACGCAACCTCCGGCCGCGTCATCGGCCGTTAAGAACGAGACCCGAATTGCTGAACCCGCAAGGGGGCGCAAACGCGACGCACGCCAATCGTCTAGCCCGGAGATTCAGATCATCGAGAAACCAGCAGCGTTCGTTGACAAGAACAAGAGCCGCGATCACGACAGGAGCAAATCGAAGGGGAAGCACGAGAAGAGCTCGAAGACGCGAGAACGGGACCGGCGACTGGACTTGGATGAAGAGCGGCCGCGGAAGAGACGCAAGACGGATGGCGATGCGCTCGCGCGAACAGGGAAGAAGCCTGGGAGTAAACCTCGCAAGTCATTAGGCGCACAAGGGACCCAGACCCAGACCCAAAGTCGGAAGGGCAAGCAAGTGGCGAGGGTGTATCCGGACAGCTCACCGCAGCCCGAGGATGGACCACCTGTGGATGACGCGGACTGCCAGTGGCCGGACATCATCGAAGGGGATGAAACGTACCAGCGGGAGGTCAGTCGTTGGTGCCACGATGTTCTTCATCTACACCTGGTACTTATTGACCATCGCCTCAGTACATTAACTGCGACAAGTAAGGATCTTGCGAGCCTTTCACTCCGGTCCCTCGCCTCATGTGCTTGTGTAGCTGTGACGCATGGTACCATTACGGTTGTGCTGGCTTGCCGCCCGATGACCCGCGTTTGACCGAGCAAGATTCTGTGTTTTTCTGCCCTCCATGTGAGGTCGCCGGGTGAGCCTCGTTCGATCTGTGTCCTGTCTTCAAAGCTCATATTTCCCCTGTGACAGGGATGAGCGTACGTTCTGGAATTGTCTCACTCAATATTACTGATCGAACATGTCTACATACTGCAGGCAAAGGTCGGTATACAGGGAAAACCGCCGATACGGCGAAGTGCGCCCGCCCCAATTGTGGGGCATCTGATACGAATCAATGGTTCATCGAATGTATTATCGGCCGCAGGCCTTCGCAGACACAACCTGGTAGTGGTGGCATGCCCAAATTTCTCTGGCTCGTGAAGTGGGATGGGTATGCTGTGATTCCACAATCGCCTTACTACAGCTGACAAGTTGCAACAGGTGGAACGCAGGGGCGGCCACATGGGAGTTCCCAGAGAACCTCGGCGAGCACTCACAGCTCATTGCTGAGTTCGAAGTTGCGATAGGGCTGGAGGGCAAGGATCTGAACGACCCGTACGTCCCCGCTCTGCTGAACGAGGCTGCAGCTGCGGGTTGGTGAAGGCCGATTATCGAGCTAGGCTGTGAGCACCTGTGTTGGTGGTGCAAGCGGCCGAGAGTGCGTAACTTTTCAATTTTTCTGGAATGTTGTCATCTTGCAAGCTTGGATATACTGTGCATCTCTGTCTCGTGCTGGTCGTCGCTTTGCTGTGCTATGTTTTCGTGTTTTTTTGCTAGGTCTGAGACCCGGATTCGGTATGTAGTCCCTGGGCTCTGGATATATTCGTCTGTATCGGCTACGCACTATTCATGTACCTACTAAGTTCTTATTCGAACGCGTAAGTTACAAGTACAGTAAGTACTGTAACATACTTGGCTGGACGCGTATTACAACCTCTGTCACGATGTGTGACGTGTCGCGTCCACTGCCGTCACGCGCGCCGTGCAAATCAACAAGTTACGACTGCCCTCAGCCTCTTCCTCGTTACAGATCTAGAAGTTGTATACAGCAAGTGTTCAGGCCATTCAAGGCCTTCTTTGAGTGATCTACCCACTAGGAAGGTCTTCCGATAGCTTTGTGCTACTGTAGCCTGACCGTCCGCGTAAGTCACCTTTCAATTTATCCTCGCAACACTATGGGAGGATCTGGGCCATTCAGTTTACTGAATTAGTGTACAAAGGTACAGGCAAGGATCGCGTTCAATGCGCTTTTTGGCAGACACACGGAACAGTGTGTCTTGCACGTTGGACGCCCGATTACTAGAAGACTAAGACAGGGTACGCGTGCAACGTTCTCAACAATGTAGGGTCGTTCACCTGCTGCACGACCTAGCCTAACTCGCTGCCTCCGGGACTTTGTGTAGTCGATTAAATGGCGAACAAATCGATTCCCGAAGATACGCCGCCTGTTAGCGCAGCGTCAGACGACGACTGTGCGCATTTACGCGGGCGCTCTAGGCAGGAGGTTCAACACTGGGTCTCCGTCGAAAAACAAGCGTTACAGCGCCGTATATTGGACCTCGAGTTCCTGCATAACTCCACCATCCTTATGAACACGTTGCCAAACGAGATCTTCGTCCCCATCATCCGCCTTGCCGGCGGGGACTGCACTATGGCGTGGATAATCAAGGCTACGGGTGTGTGCCGTCATTGGAGACAGACGATTATCCATACACCTCTCTTATGGACGGACATCCACTTGACGAGGAATATCCAGTTCTCGGCGCTCTGTTTGACACGTTCCAGTGGCGCCGCCATCAACTAGCGTGTTTTCGAAGCTCGAGCAAGACGACCACCTCCTATCGACTGGTGCTCTGCGACTGGTTCTCTCCTTGCGTTACATCATGAAAGGATCAAACACATGCGCATCTATTTCGAGGAAGCCATCACACCGCTTGTTCAGCCGCACTGGCAGTTATCGACGGTCGCTTTGCCCGTGCTCGTTTCGATGGACTTGACGGCTGTCTCTGGGCTTTCTTCACAGTGGATACCCAGCTATTTCCCAAGTCTCCGACGCCTTTCGCTCTATCGTCTCTCAATTGATGACACCAATTTATCCCTGTCACAACTGACGTCCTTGGAGCTGAACGAGATCCACTTTCGCGCAAGGAGCCTCGCGTCACTTCTGGATGTGCTGAAGACATGCACTTCCTTGCGACATTTCGTATACGGGGATACCGATGATACGCCATTCAAGAAATCCTCCGTCGCCGCAGGTTACAGAGTGTCACTACCACGCATTCGACACTTCCTGATAATTGCAACTTCGGCAAATATATCAAGCTTGCTCGCACACGTCCTACTAGCCAAGCAAACTCGTATTTTGCTAAAGCCGAAGGACTTCCATCCGCGGCAGGACGAGAACGACCACTTACCCGTGCTCAATGCCATCTTGCCGCGAGACGCAGCGTACTGGCCGGCTATGAAGGATGTTACTCATATAATGGTGTGGTGGGAGGAGGGCGACGGTATTACTGTCTACGCAGACGGGAAAAATACGGAGTTCTGGGAGTCGCACCCGTGGAGGTCTCTTGACTACGAGAACTTGTCTGCCGATGGGCTCTCCCCCGCACCGGCACTCTTCATAGAACATATCAACATACACTCATCCAGCTTCCCTTCATCCATCATGGGACCCCTTCTGGCCATCGTAGAAGAGCTAGGCGATCTCTTCCCTGCGTCTGCGAAGACCTTTGTCCTCCGTGGATACGCGGAAGAGATCTCTACGGAGACTTGGGCTCAAACCCTCGCCAGATTCCCTGTTATCGAGCACTTCGAACTCGTTGCGGAGGTAGATGCAATGTGCACCTTTCCTCTGGCGCTCAGGCCGACATCGAGCGGGATTCCTTGCCCTCGTCTGCGGGAGCTCGTGCTACGATACGAAGCAGGCGCAGAGCGGGACAATAGCAGCTGGCGGATGCTGGACGACCTTCGTGTGGTATTGCAGGAGCGCGTCGGCGGCGGCTCACGGCTGCAGTCTCTCATCCTTCAATTGGACCCTCCACCGGAAGTTGAGGTTTTCGAACTGTTCAGGCAGTCAACATTGTTAACGGCTACCGGTCGGTGGCCACCCGACTTCGAGGACATACAGAGGGAATTGGCACTTCTTGTCGGGTCATTGAAGATCTCGTATAGGGGACCATATGACGAGTGGATTACCGTCGTGTAGGTTGGGAGTGATTAATAATGGTATCAGTGGCATGTTTGTCCGTCACGACGAAGATATCGCTCAGGCGTGCGTGAATGTGGACTGTAATGAGCATACGATAATCGTTTGCATCACTACACAACACTCGTACCCCCTATATCGCGTTTCTGGTGCACCGTGAAGCTGTCAAGTAATTCGTGCGCGTGAGGTCTCTGGATCTGCGTTACTGTCATGCAAGTATTAACTCATGATGCATGATGATAGGAATACCTAGTATCTAAGTAGCACTGCGCCACACCGTTACTCTGCGCGTCACGGTGCGTGACGTGTCGCGTTCACTATCGCCACACTGTCACGGTGCACGCGTACTTACGACCGCCCTCTCGAGTCTCCATCTTCAAAGAGGTTTTTGTATAATTTGTATACAGCAAGTGAGTGACCCACTCACAGGAAGGTCCTCCGACAGCTTTGTATTAGTTCAGCGTGACCGTCCGCGTGAGTCATTCCTTCGATCGGTCCTCGTAATATCCCTTCAAGTTCTGATACATTAAATTATATCACAATGCACAGACAAGGTACAGACAAGAATCGCGCTCGACGCGCCTGCTGGCAATATACAGTCCCGCGTGTCTTGGACCTGGTGCACCTGACTACTAGACGCGACGCCGTGACGCGGCCGTTCTCAACGTAAGGCCGATTACCTGCCAGTGCTTCACGATCTAGACTAAAGCTTGTTGTCTACAGTGCTTTCTATAGTTGAAATGGCGAACAAACCAATCCCTGAATGTGCGCTGCTCGCTAGCGCACTGTCAGACAACGACCGTGCGCGGTTACGGGGGCGCTCTAGACAAGAATTACAGCACTGGGTCTCCGTCGAAAAACAAGCGCTACAGCGCCGTTTGTTGGACCTCGAATCTTTGCATAACTCCACCATCACTGTGAACACACTGCCAGACGAACTCTTCGTCGCTATCATTCGCCTTGCTATCGTGTGGGATCACAGCCCTTCGAAGTGGAACCGCAACCATATGAAGTGGAAGACTACGGTCATGGCTGTATGCCGTCATTGGAGAGACACGATCGTCCATACACCTCTCTTATGGACAGGCATTTACTTGACGGAGAATTTGCAGTTCTCGGACCTCTGCTTGACACGTTCAAGGGATGCAACCATCGATTGGCATGTGCTCGTGGTGTCTACACGACCGCGCACAATCGACTGGTTTTCTACAACCGGTTCTCTCCTCGCGTCACATCATACGCGGATCAGACGCATGAAGGTCCATTTCGATGCCCTCATGGTACCCGTTGCTCAACCACACTGGCAGTTGTCGACCGTCTCTTTGCCCGCGCTGGTTTCGATGGACTTGTCGGTCGTTGGTGGGTTTTCTTCACAATGGATACCTAGCTCCCTCCCGAGTCTCCGACGGCTCTCGCTCAAAGGTCTTACCATTGACGACCCCCAATCATCTTTGTCGCAGCTGACATCCTTGGAGCTATGCGACATCGGATTCCCGAAAAGAAGCCTCGCCTCACTTCTGGATGTGCTGAAGACATGTACCTTGTTACAGCATTTTGTATACGAGGATTCCGATGAGATGCCATTCGACACGCAGTCCGTCGCGGCAGACTATGCGATCCCGTTGCCACACACTTGCCACTTTTCTATCAAGGCAACCTCCGCAAATATGTCAAGTTTGCTCGCACATATCCTACTTGCCAAGCAAACTCGCGTCTCGCTATCCGTGATCAAATCCTACCCACTTCAGGACGAGAACGGCCACATGTCCGTGCTCAATACCTTCTTGCCGCGTGGCGCGCCGTTCTGGCCAGCTATGAAGGACGTAAATCACATAATGGTGTGGTGGGACGAGTATGATGGCCTCTCCACTAGTATTAGCGCAGATGTGGTGCTTACAGAGTTCTGGGAGGCGCAGTGGTGGAGGTCTCCTAGCTACACGGCCTGGGAAGCCATCGACGATCTTCCCGTCAAACCATTACTCTCCATAGAAAATGAACTGATGGAGTGGCCTGTCCCCCCGTCCACTGTCGGGCCCCTTCGGGCTATTCTCGAAGAACTTGGTGATTTCTTCCCGGAATCCGCGAAGACCTTGATTCTCTGTGGCTTTACCAGTTCAGAAGATATCGCCACGGAGACTTGGGCCCAAATCCTAGCTTCATTTCCCGCTCTCGAATACTTCGAGCTCGTCGCAGAGCAGAACGCAACGGGCCCGGGCAGCGCTAGCCTTGCTCTAGCGCTCAAGCCGACATCGACCGGGATTCCCTGCCCTCACCTTCGGGAGCTCGTCCTACGGTATAACGCATGTTTCGACCTTGGAGACAGTATTTGGCGGTCGCTGGACTATCTTCGTGCGGTATTGCAGGAGCGCGTTGACGAGGGTTCTTACCTGGAGACCCTCAGCCTCCAGTTGGACGTTCCACCTGGGCTCTTCGAACCGTCCACGAGGTCGACGGCTACCAGTCGGTGGCCACCCGAATTCGAGGAGATACAGAGGGAGTTGGCGCTTCTTGTCGGAACACTGGAGATCTCTTATATGTTACCACATGACAAGGACTGGACAACCATTGTGTCGGTAGGGCGTGTTGGACAACGGTAGCGGCCTGTGCCAGTGTACGCGTTGCGACTCGATGCTAATCATGCATAGAACCCAGACTGCATTAATCGCACGCTGATGACTAGTAGCAGTGTCGTAACAACACTCTGTATGCACTTGACTTGCGAGTCGGACTTGAGCTATCCGTCCCACGAGTTCACTACTGCCAAGCAGGATTCAGACATCCACACTTCGAAGGTGTAAGCCAATCATCTTCTCCGCTCCAATGTTCCTAGCTGACCAGGAGAACGCGCAGAACACAATCTCTGGGCTAGCGAGCGAGTGCTTCTTCAACGCAGACTGGTGCAGTTGGCCCGGCGGGCGTAGATCGGCGTCCGAGCAGGACAGCCCTGAACTTGAGCTTGAACACATGGGTACACCCTGCAGCTGGTACACTACGCCCGAAGGTACGCCCCCATTCGATCCGTTCCCACTGGTAATGTACGTTGACCGACCTATCTGTGTCCGCGCATGCAGCGCCGCAGCGTGCCCACATCCTCACTGTCCGTCCCTAAGTATGTACACCCAATGAGGTCCGTCGGCAGGCTCTACTCGGCTAATAAGAAACACTCGAGGCTGACAGACGAGGAGACCATGATACGCGCTGGGCCGAACGTCGCACTAGGGCAAGGACGCTTACCATCAATACGACGTACTGCGCAACGCTGTGTCGTGTGACTAACTCACTGGACAGAAGCATTGACAAGAATAACGGGTAACTTATGCATTGCAGGAGTGACGATTAACGACTGATACAGAATCTTCGGCGGGGACGCAACTATGATACAAGAGGTCACTGCGCACATGAAAAAAGGCGCACTCGCAAGAACGGAGTATCGTACTAAGCACGGAACGTATATGTATGTGGTGTAGCGTGTGTATGTGGTGTAGCGTATGTATGCGGTGTAGCGAAGTGTCTTTTCACGACACCCGCAGAGCATCCAACCAATCACACAGCTCGGTCTGACCTGCTCACCTCCCTCTCCTCGCTCCCTCCTCCAGGCCCTCGCCCACACCTCACCGCTCCACCCCGCTCTCATCCGGCGGCGCCCCCGAGATGTCCACATGCCCCTTCTCGTCCATCCGCGCCTCCGCACTCGACACCCGGATGCCCCTCTCGCGCATCGCCGCCTCCTCCGCCTCGCACAGTCCGAGCGGGTCGCGCGGCACCCAGATCGTCTGCTGCGGCTCCACGCTCGCCGGGTGGTAGAAGTCCTTCGGGCCCTCCTCCTCGTCGATGCCGGCCACGCTGAGCTGGCTCAGCCGGTGGTTCTCCCCGGCGTCGCGTGGCGCGAGCGAGTTCGGATCTGGGACCACGTCCGCGCCGTCCTCGACGCGCTCGAAGGTCTTGGAGCGCGCCTTGCCCGTGTCGCCCGAGCCCTGCGACCCGTTGCGCGCGCGCATCTCCTGGTCGTGGCGCTTCTCCGCCTGCGCGGCGTCCATGCTCGTCACGGACGCGTCGTCGCGCAGATCCTGTTCCGCCACGCGGCGGTTGTTGTCCACCTCCCGGTCCTCGTCCGCGAGCGTCAGCGGGAGCGCCTGGATCAGCGGGTCGTAAGAGTTGTCGAGGATGATATGGAAGAACGCCTGCGCATCGAACCAGTCAGCCATCACCCGTCACGTCCACGCGGATCCGACTGTGACGTACCGTGAAGATGATCAACACAATCATCAACGCGCCCTCCGGCACCGCGCTTGCCTTCCCGTTCCCATCCTGCGCAAGGAAGAACAGCGCCGCGAGACAGATCTCCTCGATGTACAGCCCCACGAACATGTGCTGGAGCGCCTTCGGGAAGAAGCGCCCCCCGCTCTCGGACGAGCGCGGCTGGCCGAGCTGCCACAGGAAGCGGTACTTCCACAACAAGTAGTACAGGAAGAACGTCAACATCGCGAGACCGTTGATAATCGGCGAGATTACGGAGTACGCGAAGGCTGCGGGGATGGCGGTGAGCATCGAGCAGGAGACGTGAAGGGATGGCGATGGGACGTACTGATGCACACGATGAGGGTCACCGTCGGGAAGGTCGCGCCCCACTGGACGGAGCGAAGCTTGTACTTGATGTTGTATATCGACCGAGGGGTGCTACCAGTGAGGTACAACTTCACGTAGTACATCGCCAGCGTCACGTAGGCAAGGAAGCCCGTCGCCGTTCCGGACAAACCCTGAAGGATGATGAAACTACGCGCGGGTCAGCGTGAGACGACCAAAGATACACTGAGTGTGTTACGTACGAGAGGAAAAACACGGATGCCTTAGGCAGATTCCTCGCGAGGGTAGCGGGAATGGAGCCCGTGTTCTCCACAAGCTGCGGCAACGCGGCGATGATGCCCGACGCCAAGGTCACGATCAAGAACGAGTGCTACAAGACACGCCACAAATGAGTACCACTCCATCAAACAATGAGCCACCAGCGAATACGCACGATGATCTGGAAGATGAAAAAGCGGTTCATGAGACTGAGCTCCACGGAGGTCCGCGTCGTCATGCCCTCCAACCTCGCGAAGATCCGCAGGACGACCGGGAGGAGCATCATCAGCACCGCGAGCAGGACGGGGGACAGGATACCGGAGATGATGCCGATGACCGGGGACGGCAGCTTGCAGAGCCACGCGAGCCATTTGTACGTCGTGCACAGCGACGCGACGTTCGACACGGCACCGACGAAGGCGACTAGAACCGTCCATCAGCAAAATACCCTCGCGCCATACAGGTTGAACCTCACCAGGGAACGACCACAGGATGATCAACCCAAGCGTCGCGGCCCAGCTGAGCGCCGTCCGCACTTTCGCCTCGTACGGGTTCATGTTCAGGTTGCTCCAGATGACATCGTCCGGGACGACGCCGACCTGCTTGTTCGCCATGCGGTACGGCGCGTGATGCGTCAGGCTCTGCGCGGCCAAGTGCGCCGCAATCTGCTGGTTGAAGAGCACGAACGCGGAGTTCAGCGGCGGATACTGCGTCTCGCCGTCCGCGGCCGGCTTGAGCGCGTCCTGCTTGGTCTCGTCGACGGCCGGGGGCACGTTGTGGCCCTTCGCCACCTCGCGCGCGAGCTCCCGCCGGTGTTTCCGGAGCTCCTCGGCGGTGACGGCGATCTCCTCGCGCGCCCAGTCGATGGAGTCGACCTGCTTCCCGATGAGGGGCAGGGAGGGCAGGAACGAGAGGAGGGGGAGACGGTGCGTGGGGCGCTTCTTGCGTGGAACGAGCTTGTCCGCGTAGGGATCGCCGCGCTCCGTGTCCGTGATGCTGGGGTCGGTCAGATGGCGGTCGTCCGAGGACGGGTCCCCAGCGAACGGCGGCGGGTTGCCCTTCTTGGCCGCCTTCTTCGCGACCTTCGTCTCCTTCTTGACGCGCTTGTTGCGCAGCTTGACGGCGCTGTTGATGAGACTCGTCTCGGCAGACTCGAGCATCTTGCACGCCTTGACTTGGCGCTCGTACAGGTCTGGCATGTCCTTGAGGTCTCTGTTGGACAGTCAGCCGCAACGCAAAGCAGCGTTGTTCGGATGTTTACACACCTGTTGAGCCAGACCTTCGCCACACCTCCAGGCAGATACGAGAAGAGGCCTTTCAGCGCTGCTTCCGTGAGATACCGTTGGGGCACACCGGCCACGAGCATGGTGTTCGCCTGAGCTGTGTCCGAATTGGATGGGTCGATAAGCCATCGCTGGCGAGTGTGGACGAAGTGTGCCATCTCAGAGCGGATGTTCCAAAGAATCCAGACTAATGTATGTTAGTACGGCTCGCGGATCGTTGAAGCGCACACGCACTTGTGAACACCCATGCGAGGATCAACGGAGCCCAGAGCCGTGCCTGGGCGTTGGACCCTACGTTTCCAAACTCGAATTGCGTGAGGCTGTCACTCGTGGCGGTGGATGTACCGACAGAGTAGACAGGCAGGAGGATGGCCCAGGAGATGAGCCAGATAGGGACCATGACGCGGACCATCATGCGGAGGAAGCGGACAAAAAGTACGCGTCGAGGCCGTTGGTGGTCTTGATGTCCACATAGTTGGCGCGGAAGACGACCCACGGCCATAGGAAGATGTTACGGGAGAGATCAGAAGCGCGTTTACTGCGAAAAAATGTCAGCGACGAATGTATACGAGAGAAGAAACGCACTCTTCTGGGGGATGTATGTGCGGGGCTGGTAGATGGCAGGGAAATATGGGCGTAGGAGGGTGAACGCAAGCAGTTCGCCGCCAAAAACTGCGGCGTTAAAGACAAGGGCAGTAGAGAATGTAGAGGTTGAGTAGGTAGAGGCACCAGATATGCCGGACGACCTGTGGACGAAGGATCAGCTGGCGATCAAAATCCGGAGCACGAAAACGACGCACATGGTGAGCTATGTCGTCTGGGCGGCGGGCGTCGTAAAGGGTCGTGACTGAGCTGTGGGGGACATGAGCGCGGGGCGATGGATATAACGGAAAAGAGGGGCTGACATCACCGGAAGAGTTTCCACAATGGTGGCTGGTAAGGAACGGATGCGGTCGGGGAAAGGAGACGACGTCCAGACAAAATCTGGCAAGGAGGAGAGACCCTGTCCGTCCTGCAACTGTCGGGCAGGCTCGATATCTCTCCATTCGCTTATCCGGAAAGTCCGCGCACCAAGGCACGACGTCACGCGTCATTTCGACTCCACCCCGCGTGGCGTCCTCCAGCTCTGCGCTCGCCCCGACGTCACCGCCGCCCCTGTCCCCGCGCCCTCTCGACGGCCGACGCTCCTCTCAGTCCTCCCCGCCGCCAAGGCCGCCGTCCCTCCAACGCACACACCCCATCCCACCAACAGCCAGTCTCATCCCGGGTCGGTGCGCCTTGCATTACACCTGTCTTCCGGACCGACAATTGTATCCGGTTCCTGGAAGGCTCATTTTGAACCCAGTCGAGTTCTCGACCGAGCTAAGTCGTCGGATGCCTACGCGAGATACGCTTGCCGCGGCAATCGCGCTGTGACGCACCGGTGACGCACTGGTGTTTGCTTCCCTGGCGCAACGCTGGCGGGACAGGAAGTGTGCAGTTCGACGGGGGGTCCGACGGACGGAGACAGGCCTTTTCTGGGCCTTATATACACGGCGGGACTGCCCCGAAGCCTCGATGCCGCACTGATGAGTTCGAGGTCACTGAAGCCGCCGGTATGTACCCTTCCATCTTGGGACATATTCGCTGTCAAGATCCGAGGGAGAAGCTCTTCGCCTGTCATGGCAAGCATGGATGCACGTCGGTGACGATCGACAGATGTCGGTCAACGACTCTTGGACCACTCTGTGGTCAGAGTGGATCTATGTGGACTCGGGAGCATGTGACAGTGACAGCGGTCGGGTCCGTTTTCGCAACATGCAGAAGCGCGCAGACCGCACGCTGCATGTTACATAGTAAACGCACTCAAGAACCGCGACCGATACTCAATATTCACATAGGTACGTGGAATAATAATTCCTCACCGCACACCCCAACGACCTATTGCACATAGAAGTGCGTCGTGGACTACGTAAGGCTAGTGCATTTAACGCCACACCAGTCAAATAGCCTAGGGCATACACTAGGATTGTCTGGCTTGCTCCTCCTACAAGAAGGCTGTTCACCGCGCCACACGACGCAAGGTCAGTATTCTCAGCAGGAGCATGCACCGATCCGGGCGAATGAATCGAACCTTGCGATCCCAGTATATTCTGTGCACCACTGGTTAGAGGCACCATTCTAACCTTCGGACTCAGATATCCGTCACCGCGTGCTAGACTTAGAGTCACATTGACTTGTGTATTAGCAGCGCGAAGGCGAATAGAACCACCTGGTATCTCGGTCGCCAACTCGGTCGAATGGAAATAGACCACGCTGCAGTGCCAGTGACGGCGGCACAGGTAGGACCGTCGAGCAGCCTTTATGTGCAGAGGTCATGCCACCTGGCCCTATATAGGGTATCTCTAGTCTGTCTCGACTCTCCAGATGCTCCTTGCGGGCGGAATCGGGAACACGCTTTTGTTGCTGAAAAGTCGACCCCTCAGTGCTCTCCGCTACACATATACGCTACCACAGCATACACAGTATATGTCATAAGCGTGGAGGCTGGTTCGGAGCGGGGCGAAACAACTACGCACTGTACGTTGAACATGCGGTGACTGCGACTCGGAGAGAGAACGGTTACCTGCGTACCTGACGTAGCACGAGCTTTCCGATATGCAAGAAGAAGTCGTTCTCGCAGAACCCACGGCGGGCCAGCATATATTAGTGCGTGTCGCCAACGCAAAGTACGTTGGATATTCTGAACGTCACCATCGTTCGAACGACACTTGCTGCCTTATTCGGAATGCGTCTTGGGCGCTTGTGGAGGCGTTCACAACATTGCCGAAGGCTCAGACACAATACGCATATTCCCTGTGTACTGCCCAGCGCGTACAATTGTTAGGCTCGACTTTGTAGGAGTCGCGATCGTGTAACGCGTACGACGCCAGGGTTACTCAACCAGTGTAGTGGGTTGTGTTCAAAATACGGACGTCGCGATTGAAGCGCTCGCGCGACGAAGTCACGACTTATCGCGCAAGATGCTTTTGACTCCTCGACCTCGTCTCGACCTCGTCTGCTCTCCCGGCCTCCGGGCGAAACATATCCTCAAGCATTGCTCACGCCGGTTCTCTCTGACCCGGAAGCCGCCTTTCCTTGGGCGGTGATCGCTCCGCAACTTTACGGCAGCCGTGACCGTCGGAACTTCCTTATCATCGACTCGAGTGACTCTAGTGCCGGCAATGTGGGTGAACCTCCTCATTGTTCATTGGACAGCCCAAACTGGACAGCGCTCTTACGACCAGCTATAGGTGCTCCCGGACCCGAAGAGCAAGCGGCCGCCCCCTCAGCGCGCCGTGCTGCGACAACGTGTAGGGACCTGCAGCCTGAGAAGTTGCAACTGAGCGCTGTCCATTCGCCTCCGGACCATTCTCGCCGGGCGACATCTCTTGGTCTGGGCGTACTTCACTACAAGATAGTGTTGCGTGATTTAGGCTTCGTGGCGACCTTTAATACGACGAGGAGCACGCCGCTTCTTTCACCTGCCTATCGTCATGAGTGCACAAACCAGTACGTGAAGCTTGCTTCTTGCTCGTTGTACGTCTAATGAACCAGCCACAGATGAAGCAAGCATATATGCATCGTGGGTGGCGGGCCCGGCGGGCTAGCGGCGCTGAAGATGGTCTTGGATACCCCGCAACACAAGGCAGGGCTCTGGCAAGCCACCGTCTTCGAGGAGCGCGAGAAGGTGGGCGGGGTCTGGTGAGCAAACATCCTTTTGCACCTTCAACACGATACGACCCGAGAGTACAGGGTCCCCGCTCCCCCGTGACGACCCGCCCGTGACGCCCTCTACGACTCTCTGACCACCAACCTCCCGCACCCCGTCATGTGCTACGAGTCCTTCCTCTTCCCGCCGTCCACGCCGCTCTTCCCGCCCGCCGCGACCGTCGAGAAGTACCTCTCCGACTACGCCGCGCACTTCGCGCTCACCCCGCACATCCGGCTGCAGACCCAAGTCCAGGCCGTCGACTGGCTTCCGGACGCGCAGAAGTGGAAGGTCCAGGTGGACGCGCACGGGCTCGTCGAGGAGCCGCTCTTCGACCTGCTCATCGTCGCGAACGGGCACTACCGCCTGCCGCGGTACCCCGCGACGCCCGGGCTCGACGCGTGGCGCGCCGCGGGCAAGGCGACGCACTCTGCGTGGTACCGCCGCCCGGAGCGCATCGGCGCCACCGTGCTCGTCGTCGGGGGCGGCCCGAGCGGGACGGACATCTCCGCGGAAATGCGCACGACCGCGCACGTCGTCATCCACTCCGTGGGCACGCCCCCGCCGCACAAGCCCCGCTCAAGATCGAGGACCGCGACGGCGGCCGCTTCAAGGTCCGCGGGCGCGTCGCGGCGTTCGGGGACGTGGAGGAGGGCCGGGTCGTCTTCAAGGACGGCTCGGAGGAGACGGGGATCGACCACTGCATAGTGGCGACGGGGTACCAGCACCACCTGCCGTTCCTCCCGCCGACGCTGCTCAGGTGGAGGTGCCCCCGTCCGTCCCGCCGCTCCCGCCGATCCTCCACAATTCGACGTACCACCTCTTCCCCGTCGCGCGCCATCTCTTCCCGCTGTGCCAGTCGTTCCCGCCTCGCGGCTTGCCTTCCTCGGCCTGCTCAAGGGCGTCGCGCCCCTGCCGCTGATGGAAGCCCAGATCCGGGCTACCCTCGCAGCCTTCGCAAACCCCGCGATCATCGACGCGGAAGCAGAGTCAGCGGCGATCGTCGAGCGGTACGAGCACCTCCGCGCGCGGTTCGGGCCCGAGGCGAGCGAGGCGCACATCGCCGCGGCGTGGCACGTGTTCGCGCCGCAGATGCAGTTCGACTACCGGGACGAGCTGCACGGGCTCGTCGGGTGCGAGGAGCGCGTCGCGAAGTGGGTGCGGGAGATCTACGACGCGCGGGACGTGCTCCGCGCGGAGTGGCGCGAGCTCGAGCGCGTCGGCGAGGCGGAGGAGTGGGTCAGGGGCGTCGGCGAGGGCGGCGTGGAAGAGTGGGTCGAGCTGATGCGCAGGGTGCTGAAGCGCGCGCAGGAGAGGCCGAAGAAGAGCGGGAGGACATGCAGGAGGCGAGGCTCGCGCGTGCGGAGGGCGAGGATGGCGGCGAGGTCCGGGTCGCACAACCGCTCGCGGAGGAGAGCGGCGAGAAGGAGGCGTCAAAATGCGTAGTGAATTAAACGAAAGTAGCGGAAGTATGCGGTATGTATCGTATTGATTTTGTATACAGTACGTCTAGCGAATGCAAAGTCCCATCCAATCACGAACGAACAAATCGACAGCAGAGCAGGCTTGGACACAAGTAAGGTGCGTCTTCGCCCGTGTCGCGCTCTGTTGACTCAACATTAGCGACCTCCGAAGACATCCACGTACGTAGCAAGCATACCTGTCTCAAACTTCAAGCTTCAATGGCATGCTGGTGTCCGCCTCGCCCAACAGGTGGGGGCTCAAGCCGATGGCAGCATATTCCCCCTTTTCGTATCTCTCCAGGAAGGCTTTCATTCTCTCGGTATGTTCGTCCAGACCTTGGTAGCCTGTTCCGTGGACAAGGCGGCGTCCCGGCACCCGTTCTGGCAACATGAATTTTGTCTGCGAGATCGTGGAACTGCTCGCTCAAGAAGAAGGTCGGACGAGGTTTGCTCTCTGCTGATATTTTGTCAGGAGCAGAGCATATATATTTCGGTGGCCATATACCTGTCTGATCCGCGTACTCCAGCTTCGGGACTGCCGGCGCGGAATGAGTCGCCGTTGTTTGTACTGGGCTTAAAGGCTCGGGCGAGCATGAGCTTCCGGGTGTGGGCAGTTGAGAGTTAATGACTGGCTTCGAGGGCTCCTGACATGATTACTCAATAAGTAGGAGTAATTTTATGACAGATTGGATGTAGCACCTGCTGCAGCTTGTCTTGCTGATGTGCAATCCAGGTCTCGATATCGTCGGCGTGGACGCCGAGTCGTTTCGCCCATATATCGACTTGGGATCTCGTGGCCCTGGGGTACTCTTTGACGAGGATTTGTAGCGCCGATATGATGCCTGAGCGCTGCATCAATGAGGGTACACTGATTGACAATGACAATCTTAGCTCTAGTCAATGATTGCATTGCGCATCGCAACGTACATATATCCTCCACCGTCGAAGGATTGACGCGATATGGGTGTTCCTTGTTAACGTCGACGGCCTGCCCGCCTTCGCGACGCCACCCTGGCTGACCCCGTCCCGTTTCCGGTGAAGAGCTAGCCTTTGGTTGAGGTTATCATATCTGTAATGCTCACAGCCTGGCAGAGCCACTATCTTCTGGAGTGTCTCCTTCTTCTGGCTTTGTGATGGATATGGGTTGACTTTGTACAGCTCTGTAGGCACCCGTGAGCAACGAACACAATACATACAACAATAGGAGGCTTCAATCACCATCAACGAGTCGATAGCCTTCTTCGGTGATCCTTTTCCCGCTCGGTCTGCGGGGTGCGATCTGTGTGGCTTGCCTCGCGATTGGATACGGCGTAGACGCCGACGACCCTGGCAAAGTTACCCAACTCGGAGAACTTTCGTCGACACTCATGTTAGGGGCGTGTCGTGTCGTTTCAGGCTGCCACTGGGAGCTCGGCCGCCCAGGTTGGGTTGGGGGGAAGAGTGATGAGAGCAACGAGGCACGGTTTTTCGTTATTTATTGGGCACGACACGCGGCTAGCGTCTTTTGAACGAAGCTCGTTCTCTGCCAGACCTTTATCCTACAAATCAGTTGCCGACTCCGGACTCGTTTGCCAATTCATTCGGGTTAGACTTAAACGGGGTAATTGGGTACTTGTTTAGCCAGTCGGTTCACGCTTCTTGGTTCTATTTGGAAACGCGACCCTGAACCGGCCCTAAATAAACATCCAATTTGGGCCCTGCAGCTGTGAGCCGAACCAAAGCCGAGCCCCTATGGTGCCAATCATCCACTCCGTCTCCAGAACGTGAATACCCGGCGAATACTACGAAAGATAGCAAGCCATACGGGCTACATATATGCAGACCCATTGCCTTTCACATGTGAGGAAAGGAGTGACAGCCATGAAATGAAATGTACTGGAAACAATGGCTATGGTCATGCATATCAGAAGGTCAATGCAGTAAGCAGCATGGCTGACTAGTCTGCTTATAGGCTCATCCTAGCTGTTCTTTAATTCAGACAGGGGTCGACTACCATGTGGCCGCGCCTTTTGTCTGGCCCAGGCTGTTCATTCCAATGTCCAAGCTTCCGATTCTCGCGAGCTTGGCTCGCGCAACCACTATGTAGTAAGTACTTATCCGGGGATCCGGGGCGCAGCAGCGGCGCATACTTATCACTTCCCTGACCCGCCTCCTCGTTCACCACTCTCGTACATGACTGTCACGACCGAACATACATCGATTGCCAGGGGCTTGGGGTGCGAGTTACTCTCGCAACTCCGACGACACTGCTATGTTAGTTTCGTGAGTATCGCCCCTATATGTTGCGTCTATCACGCAACACACGACCTAGTCAGGCTGGAACCCCGGATGGCAGTGATAGAAGACCTCGTGTCCTCGACATTGACCGAGTCATGGGCATCTGCCATTGGAAGAACGTTCTCTTGTGCTTCCCCTCTTCGACGCGAGTCGTGGCAGGCCTGTTCAACGCATCGATTTCCCATCGCAAGTCATTACAGCTGGCAATGCAATTGAGGCCTTGACTCGGACAGACAAGAGCCGCTGTACCCCCTCGCCACTCGGCGAACGTTGCGGTCTCGACAGTCTCAATGAGGATCCTCAGGCTATCCGAACGGTCAACCCCCGGCTCCCGGATATCCCTTCGTATCAGAGGTACGTGTGTCTGTCTCACGGAAATGTTGCGTTTAATGATGATCTATGGCATAGTCATCGGTGGTCTTCAACCGATGTGTGCGGGACGCTCTCTCCGATGACTCCTCGAGTGAACGGTCATGCTATAGAGGGTCCAGCCGCTCGCAGCAGGCGGGAAAATCTGTAAAGGTGCTGATCAGGGTATCTGTCGTACTCAGTAGCAAGCCTGTCGCAAGTACAGTTACAGGGTCAAGAAGGCATGCCACTACATCGCTCAACGAGTGGGAATACCATACAATGAAATCAAAATGTCCTGTGCTTAGAGTGAGTCGCCTCATACATAAATGTCGAACGTGGAATAGGCCGAAGCCTCGGAACAAAGCTCGTCCAGTCTCAAGTTATTTCTGTTCATATGTTCGCAACTCACTATTACATCTGGTCTAGATATCGGCGCAGTCGAAGCTCGTCGTGACGTTCGGGTCTCCAGATACGTACTTCGCCTCGGTCGGGTACGAGCACAGCGGGCGCTCGACTGCGGCGCTCTTCTCAGGTTCGTCGTCCATGAACTCGGTCGCGATTATACGCTCGGGGCAATCCCGTTCTCGATCCAGTTCATGATCGCGTAGACCACGTCGTGCTCCGCGTCCATGTACTCCGGCACACTGTAGGCGTCGCCCACCGCCTGGGCTGCGCCCGCGATATACCACCGCGCGTCGTTGACACCGCCGGCGTAGTGCTGCACGCCAGGGATGACGAAGACGCGGTAGAAGGCGGACACGGGCACGCCTGTGGTACGAGTATAAGAAGGCTGTTGAACGTTGAACCATGGCCCGTGATGTCGGAACTGCCAGTCTGCGCTCCTCTCGCGTGCAGTCACAATGCTAGCTGCGCATTGACGACCACTTTCAAGCTACGCACGGAGAGACCATTGGCACTTCATCTATTTAAATTTCTCGACACGATCAGCATAACGACCTTCGCTTCCAGATCACAGGCTATCTATCTCACCTGAGCTGGCATCCGCACGAGTATCATGGAGTGACTCTGTATGACTAGCGAGCCTGGAAGCACGACGACGAACAACTCGGGATGTAAGTGGCGCGGCCCCTACAGTTGACAGTAATCTTGCAGTAATAACGCTAAACCGCCTCAGGCTGCGCGCTATGTACCCACTCTGACTGCGCTACGGTTGCCCGATAAGTAGTCCGGGGCCGAGCATTTTGCGCGACGCGCCTCAGCCGCAGTGCATCGCTGTCTGCCGTCTGCTGCTCCTCCTCAACAACTCACTCAAACCTCACGCTACGGTCATATAAGTGCTCCCGCTGCACTACAAGCACCGGGGAGAGCAAGACAGACGTTCTAGTGAGTTCACATCGACTTCCAAAATTCACAAAAAAGGATGACGACCCCTGTGACAGGTGTGTGACGTGTCGCGTTTTGCCACACCCGCAGTGGGTTGTGAGACTGGTGACACCGTGCTCGTCTTTACGACCGTCCTCTCCTTCGTCAAAGAGGTCGCATACAGCAAGCAAGTAATCAGGAGCTGTCTCACGTGGTCTTCCCAACAACAAGGTTTTGTATTAGCTCGGCCTGACCATCCGCGTAAGTCATCCCTTCGACTTGTCCTCGTAGTATGCCTTCTGATTCAGTCGATCGTGATGTCAATTGTACAAAAGATACAACCAAGGATCGTGTTCGACGCGTCACTGGCAAAACACAGAATCGCGTGTCTTGGATCTGGTGCGCCTGACCACTAGACGCGGCCCACGCGCGACCGTTCTCAACAACGTACGGCCGGTCACCTACTTCACGATCTAGGCTAAAACTCGTTGCCTATGGGGTTTTCTATAGTTCAAATGGCGGATAAATCAATCCCCGAAGCTGCGCTGCTTGCTAGCGTACTGTCAGACGACGACCGTGCGCGATTACACGGGCGCTCTAGGCGGAGGTTCAACACTGGATCTACGTCGAAAGACAAGCATTACAGCGCCGTTTCTTGGACTTAGGTTCCTGCATGACTCCACCATCACTGTTACACGTTGCCAAACGAGATCTTTGTCCCCATCATCCGCCTTGCCGGCGGGGACTGCACTATGGCGTGGATACTCAAGGCCATGGGTGTGTGCCGTCATTGGAGACAGACGTTTATCCATACACCTCTCTTATGGACGGATATCCACCTGTCGAGGGATATGCAGTTCTCGGCGCTCTGTTTGACACGGTCCAGTGGTGCCACCATCAACTGGCATGTTTACGAAGATCGTGTGTGACCACCTCCTATGGACTGGTACTCTACGACTGGTTCTCTCCTTGCATTACATCATACAAGGATCAAACACATGTGCATCTATCTCGACAAAGCCATCGTGCCCCTTGTTCATCCGCACTGGCAGTTATCGACCGTCTCTTTGCCCGTGCTCGTTTCGATGGACTTGACGGCTGTCGCTGGGCTTTCTTCACAGTGGATACCCAGTTACCTCCCAAGTCTCCAACACCTTACGCTCCGTCGTCTTTCAGTTGCTTTTACCCATCTACCCCTGCCGCAACTGACATCCTTGGAGCTACACGACCTCGACTTCCGCTCAAGGGACCTCGCATCACTTCTGGATGTGCTGAAGACATGCACTTCCTTACAACGTTTCGTATTCGCGGATACCGAAGACATGCCATTCAACGTATCCTCCGTCGCGGCAGGGTACAGAGTGTCGCTGCCACACATTCGTCGCTCCTGTATAACCGCAGCCTCGGCAGATACATCAAGCTTGCTCGCACACGTCCTACTTGCCAAACAAACTCATCTCTTGCTATATCCGAACGACTTCCTGGAACCGCGGGACTGGAGCGACCGCATACCCGTGCTTCATACCTTCTTGCTGCGTGACACAGCGTACTGGCCGGCTATGAAGGACGTAACTCATATAATGGTCTGGTGGGATGAGTGCGATCTTACTGTCTGCGCAGATAGGGCAGATACGGAGTTCTGGGAGTCGCACCCGTGGAGGTCTCTTGACCTCATCAACATGAACTCGGTTGTCGATGAACTCTCCCCCCCCCCCCCACCGGCACTCGTCATAAAGCATATCAAGATATCCTGGCCCCACCCCATTGCGGGACCCCTTCTATCTGTCGTAAAAGAGCTAGGCGATTTCTTTCCTGCGTCTGCGAAGACATTGGTCCTCCGTGGAATCGCGGAAGATATCCCCAAGCAGATTTGGGCTGAAACTCTCGCTAAATTCCCTGCTATCGAGCACTTCGAGATCGTCGCGGAAGAAGACGCCATGTGCGCTTTTCCTCTGGCGCTCAGGCCGACATCGAGCGGATTCCTTGCCTTCGTCTGCGGGAGCTCGTGCTGCGATACAAAGTAGAGGTAAACCGGAGGAACAGTGACTGGCGAATGCTGGATGACCTTCGTGCGGTATTGCAGGAGCGCGTCGGCGGAGGCTCGCGGCTGCAGTCTCTCATCCTTCAAGTGGACCCTCCACCTGCAGTTTATGCATGGTTTATTACGCAGGCGACGGCTGCCGGTCTGTGGCCACCCGACTTCGAGGACATACAGAGGGAATTGGCACTTGTTGTCGGGTCATTGAAGATCTTGTGTATGGGACCAAATAAGAGTGGACAATCGTCGTGTAGGTATAGGGTGTTTTCAATGATATTGGTAGCAGCGCGTTCATCTGTGACGATGGAGATATTGATCATGCATGAACTTGGACTGCAACGAGCACACGATGATCACTCGCATCACTACACCACACTCATACCCCCTATATCGTCTTCCGGTGCATCCTTGAAGCTGTCAAGTAATTCGTGAGTCCTCTGGATCCGCGTTCCTGTGTTGCAAGTATTGAATCATATGATAGGAACGCCTATCTTTAACGGAATGTCTCATTGTGTTCGAAGCCGTGGTGGGTATAGTTACGGCTCATGGCCATCCAGCTATACTAAAGTGTGTGTATAGTTCAATCTTTCGGATCTACATGCGAGTTCGTCATGAAGTTGTTGAGACACTTGCTCCACAGTGGCACTGGCAGCGGTGCGCCCACTACTCTTCTCTGAACATACTCTAACTCCCACAGCGTGGCTACAAATTTGCGTACGAGGTCATACAGTCTGAACGGAGTCTGGTGCACAGCGTGACAACTAGATGCCAGGGCCAATCATCGTCAGTACTCATTTGGATTCGCATAGAGGCTGTGAGTGCTGACAGTGGCCCGGGAACAAACAAATACGAGGACAGCCGTCGCAGTGTACGTCTTACTTGCAGGTGCTCTTGCCGACTCGGCTGGTAGGCTGATTTAGACGAGTTTGCTTGTCCAGGGTCTACGAAGGACGCTTTGACCGAGGTCCGACACGCTTTGACCGACCTGCTTTGACTGACGCGCCTCGCCTTCAAAGCGCGCGTCGACGGGACGTCCGCCCCCTGACGCTAGGCTTTGTTTCTGGTCGCTATGTCCCCTATCTCTTAAGTATAAATACTCGTCCTGGATAGCTTTCTTCACCCGTCGTCTGTCTCTCATCTCGCGCGGACGTCGATAATTTCTCTCTCCTTCCCACGAGCCGAGCATCCCGCGGGCAATCCTCCCTCCTCGTGGCCCCAACGGCAGCTTCTAGCGCAGCCCTGCGTCAGTAGTATCGTGATCACGGTCTGTTCATACTGTCCTCAACAACGAACGGTTAGTCACTTAATCCACGATCTGCGATATTCTATTGCTCACGAATATCCAAGAGGCTGATGGCGGAATCCAACGACTCTCTGGAATTTCTACTACGGCACGGCGTCTTCAAGGAAGAGGCCCTGCGTTGGGCCTCCCTCGAAGGGCAAGCCGAGCGGAGCTGTTCGCCGAGTTTTGAACAGTTGTTCAACTCGATTCTCCCTGTGAACACGTTGCCAGACGAAATTTCATCGCCATCGTCTGCTTTGCTGCCTCATCCAACAGCGCCAGCCTGAGCGCCGTCGCTTGAGACGGATAACCCGGCTCATGGGCGTATGCCGTCATTGGAGAGACTCGATCATCCATACACACCTTTTGTGGACGGACATCGACTTGTCCAAGAATATGCAGTTCGCGAAGCTCTGTGTGGCCCGGTCGAACCCTGCCACCTTCAACTGGCGTATGACCGAAACTCAAGTAATGCCGGCCGATTGGTGCCCTGCCACTTGCGCCTTCCTTGAGGTACATCATACTCGGATCAAACACATGCAGATACACTTTCAATACCAGGCGTTCATCGGAGAGAAACACTGGCAACTGTCGATCGTCCCCTTGCCTGCGCTGGTTTCGATGGACCTGAAGATTTCACATAGGCGTTCTTCCCTATGGATTCCGACTCCCGAGCACCTCCCGAGTCTCCAACGGCTCTCACTCGAGGATCTTACGGTGGACAATATCCTTCCCCTGTCGCAGTTGACACACTTGAAGCTACGAAGGGTGGACGTCATCCCCAAGCTAAGCATAGCCTCATTCCTGGACATGCTGCAAGGATGCCCACTGTTGCAACATTTCATGTACGAACATGATACCAGGAAGCCTGAGGACGTCGACGGGGGGCTCGCCAACTCGCCCAACTCTCCTCCGGCGGACCTCAAACGCACGGTGTCTCTACCCTATATGCAACACTTCGATGTGTACGCATTCTCGTTCGATATCTTTTGCCTGCTCGCACACCTCTCATTTCCCAAGCAAGCACGCCTCACGCTGCGACCATGCGGCTCCGACCGCGATGAATACCCTAATGCACCCTGGCTGAGCACTGTCTTGCCGCGTGACACAGCGTATTGGCCGGCTCTTGGGGACATCACCCACGTAATGGTGTGGTGGGACATTCGCGACAGTCTTACTGCCTATGGGGATGTGGCACATACGGAATTCTGGGACTCGCAGCCGTGGATGTTTCCTGGCTTTCTCTTGGGCGTCGATGATATTCCCGTGGCGCCGTCACTCTATATTCAGATGCAATTGAAGACAGCATCGATTCGCCCCTTCTATCGGCCATCAAAGAGCTGGGCGATTTCTTCCCGCCATCTGTGAAGACGTTCGTCCTCCGCGGAGGAACACAAGAGATCGACACGGAGGTCTGGGCGAGGATGCTAGCGGCGTTCCCTGCTATCGAGCACCTCGAGCTCATCGCGGAAGAAGACGCCATGCCCGACTTTCCTGCGGCGCTCGAGCCGACATTCAGCGGAGACGTCCCCTGCCCAGGTCTGCGAGAGCTCGTCCTGCGTTATGAGCCAGGTGACGTATCCGACCACAGTCGGCTGCTGGATGCTCTTCATACAGCGCTCCAGCAGCGCCTTGCAAAGGGCTCGCGCTTGGCATCCTCAACCTTGAATGGGAGTGTAGAATGCTGATGAGTTGGGCCTTCACGGGATCAGTGGTCAGTCAGGTATTACCCGAGCTCCTGGAAAGAACCTTGGCCTTGTCAAGGCTTGTCGGTTCACTGAGGATCCTTGTGGCCTGCCAAACATTAGAGGTTGGAGACATGTGGGGTTGGCAGCTGTTGAACATGTCGGATAACGGTAGTAGGTACAGGAGTGGCAGCGCAGGAACGGCTACTTGACTCGTCCATAAGTAAGCAGGTGTCATGCCCATGTATAAGTACGTTTCCCTGATGTAATATAACACATTTGTTTGCGCTGTCAGCCCAGGCAAAGCGTAAGTAAGTACGTACGATATCTGCACACGGTCATCGGGCAGTAGTCTGTTGTGCGCCTGTCTTCTCAGACACCTTGTCGACCAATGGAGCGCGCGCTGCGGTCTCAGCAGGTATCACCAGCTTCTGACTGGCATCTCTTCGCTGCGAGCGGTTATCTCCTCGGAAGCCCAGGTAGTACACCGTGGATGAGTCGCCACCGACGGATTCACTCTGTGGTAGGCAGTGAGGCCGCACATACGCGAAGTGAGTGGTACTTGGCTCACGAAGAACAACGAGAGCGAATGCACGTTGGTAAAGGCAGCGCTCCGCAATGGATACTCCGTCACCCCGGTGTCGTCTTGGAGGAGGCTGATATTTAAGTGGGGCGTAATATCCTCGGCCGCAGCGAAGTCGACGATCGTGGCGTGGTTCACGTATATGCGTATACGTCGCGGAGCTACCTCACCCCTGCCTAACGGATTGGTCAAGCTGCCCCTCCTGAGGATCGTCCCGCTGATCAGGGTGGACTCACCCAGCTTCATGAGCACGGACTTGACACGCACGTTCTGGGTGAACGGCACATGTATGATGAACTAGAGGCCGCGCGTCAGTACACCGCAGACCCTTGGCGGGACGTATGTCGTCGCTCAGACCTGATCGTCGACTCCGGACTCGGCGTACCGGGAGGTGTCGTTGCGCTCGTCCCAGGGCTTGATGATCGCTTGCGCGTCCTCCGGGACGGTTAGGTTCAGCCCATGCACACTTCAAGCCCTGTTACAAGTTGTGGAAAGCACGGCGTGCGGAGGAGAGCTTACTTCAACTTGTCGATGGATCCGTACAGATTGGTCCCGTCCGTCTCTGCGGCGATGGACTCGAGAGTGTTGTCCGAGGACATGGCTTCGTTGTCTGGCGGAGACAATTGAAGACGAGAGGATGTATTCGTTCTGGACGAGTACGAAAGACAAGCAGTACGCAAGGTAGTAGACACGGTCTCTGATGTGAATGGATTCTGGTGCCCAATTGACCTCGAAGTGAGCAATGTAAGTAGGGGCGAGCGTCGGTGTGACACGGACAACACGGCGGGTAACAGACTGTCACGCCGCGTCCAGCACGAAGCGCGCTCGGTCTGCGTCACACCCTTTCTGCCTTCGCCGACGACCACTGCACACCCGGGTGCTCGACATCGTCGACCCCGATGAACGTCGCCAAAAATGCCCTCCGCGCTGCCTCCACAAGCCGGCTCGCCATGAGGCTCGCTGCGCGCCCACGACCGTCGACGGCCGTGCCCCGCCGCTACGCAACCGGCTCTTCATCTCGTTCCCCCACCTCGCTCGTCGAAAAGGACGAGGAGGGCGACGGCTTTCACATCCCAGACCGCATACATTCCGATGCCCCCGACCTCATGCAGCCCGACATTCTCCTGGACCTTGCAGAGAGCAAGACATTCGAGCCCAGTCGCCGCACGAAGTTCCAGAACACAATCACCATCCGCAACGACCAAAACATGTTCGAGATCCTCCGCCAGCAGCTCGGCGATGACGGTACGGGGGCGGACAAGCTTGGGGACAATCCCTACTTCGACGTGCCCATGGTCAACAACATGTCGTCGCTCTACATACATAACCTCCTCTCCCGGAACGTCAGGCAGCAGACTGGGAAAGGCAAGATCAGCCGCCAGCAGGTCATCACCGTGGTGGGCAACCAGAACGGCCTGGTGGGCGTCGGCATTGGGAAGTCTGACGGCTTCCCAGAGGCCTTTGCGATGGCGACCCGGTCGGCTCTGCGGAACATGGACTACGTCGAGCGGTTCGAGGACCGCACCGTCTGGACGGAGATGGAGCACAAGTTCGGCGCGACCCGTGTCATCATGCGTCCCCGCCCCGTCGGCTTCGGCCTGCGCTGCAACCCCAACATCTACCACATACTCAAGGCGGCGGGGATAAAGGACGTTAGTGCGAAGGTGTGGGGGAGCCGCAACCCGATGCAGGTCGCCCACACGGTGATGCAGATGCTATTGCCGGGATGCGAGCCTCTGGGGATGGGAATGGTATCGGGGGCTCGGGGAGAAGGCTGGCCAAGCGGGTTGGGATGCGGACGAAGGATGAGATTGAGCGGGAGAGGGGGAGGAAGCTTGTTCCATTGCGGTATCCATGATTGTACGTCGTGACACCTACAGCTGCTTAATCTGGGTTATGGTCTGCTCTTCTGCGCTATGCATAGGCGTGTTGATAGTGCAGAGTGACTCAACGGCTTCTGAATATCGGTGACCCTCCGTTTTCTGAACTTTGGAAGACGTCCCCACCCATTGGACTGCAACCCAACCATGCCTCCAAGTGCAGCGTGTCTGGTGCCCCCGAATTAACAAGGACAAGAGCACCCTTTCCCGCCAGTCGCCCGCTGACTAGGACTCCTCCCTATTATATGCGAAAGCGAATGCTCTGAGCTAAAAGTGTAACGATAGTCTCGACAATTTGTTGCGGCGGAATATTCCAGGTGCGTTCATGTTTACTACTGAGGAGGGACCACTCGCTACGTTCTATTGTCACCAAAGGAGGCGTCGCATATGGCATATGGCATACTGGTAAGTATGGGTGCATAGTACAACAAGTGTTCTACAGAAGCGTACACGGTTCAACCGAGATAAAGATAACCCGAATACAATGCAACTTAGCAATGTTGACGTCAATGATGGATGCCGAAGATGAGAGGACAGTGTGTATGCAATATGCTGTAGCGGAATGGGGATTGTGGGATGGAATGAGGGATGCGCGATGCGATGCGGGATATGCGTGTGCGGGAGATGACTGTGAAATATGAAGAATGCGTGAGCAATAATGATAGCGAGACAGTCATGAGTTCGTCAAGGTCGAAGTCAAGGGCACCGTCATGTCAGCACAGCTGAGAACAGTTTTCCGGGCGAGAACCACGCTCGCGCGGACCTCAGTCTTTTCCGCTGGCGCGCCCGCTGCGTCTCCATCCGCTCGCCCTTCTGCGCGTGCGCGTGCGTGTGCGTCTCCGTCGGCGGGAGACACAGGTACGGCTGCGGCGCGGGTCCACTCGACGTCGACTGCGAAAACGCCCAGTTCGTGCCCAGCGCGGCGGGCGCAGAGTCGGAGTGCATGGCACGCCCGTACGCGCGCGGCTCGACCGCGGTGGACCGCCCGATCGGCGAGGACGAGCGCCGGGGGAACGCGAGCTTGAGCGGACTCAGGAAGCTGAGCGTGGACATCGTGCGCTTGCGCTCGCGCGCGACGGGCGAGGGGGGCGAAGGTGGCGGACGAATGGGGAGAGGAGCAGGCGAAGTAGGCGCCGCCAGAAATGACGCCTGGGGAGTCGGCCCCGCGGGCGGAGGCTCGGAATGGAGAAAGGAAAAGGGCGAGTACCAGGCGCGGGCGTCGCGCGGCGAGGTTGGCGTCGGGGCGAAGTCGAGAAAGGAGTACGAGCCGGTCGTGTCGGGGGAGTTCTGCGGCGAGAAGGGGTGCTCCCAGGTGTAGGAGTAGCGGTCGATGGCGGTCGTCTCGCCGGATATGGACTCCAGCTCGCCCAGGCCGAGGGTGGGAGACTCTGCTCTGAGAGCAGACGTAGAGTTCTCGCCCTCGATCGTCGGGTAGGTGTAGGTCGACTTGGCGTCCACATCCGCGCAGCCGGTGATGGGGGTCTCGATGTCCATCGCCTGCGCCGACATGAGGTAGGACGTCTTGTCGGGGACGACAGCGGAGAGGTACGGCGAGTACATCCCGTACGCCTCCATCTGCGCCTCCAGAGCGGTGTGCATCGACGACGAGCGCGCGGAGATCATCATGACGCTGTCGTCGTAGTACGTCGGCCGACCGTTGTTCATGTCGACGTTCAAGCGCAGGGCAGGACGCCTGTTCGCGGGCTGGTTCCACCCGGCGCTTTCCGGACCCGGCGTCCTCGGGAGCGACGGTATTGACGGCGACGAAGAGACGACGGAGTACGTCGAGGGGTTGCTCGGCGTGTTGAGCGCGTCGAAGAGCTTGCTCTGGGCGAAGAGCGGCGACACCGGGGATGGCGACATCGAGCGGCTGTACGAATCGTGGCGCGCGCGAAGAGACTCGTCCGCCCAGGACGACCGGGTCTCGGATTGCGTCGCGAAGACCATCTCGGAGTCGGAGTCGGTCCAGGACGACACGAGCGCCTCGTCGTGCGGCCTCTGCTGTGGCTCGGGCTCCATCGCCTCCTCCTCCTCTTCCTCGGACTCGCTCTCGGACTCTGCCCGGATACCCGCCTCCCAGGACACCGCGCCATGCTATCCTCGAACAAGACGTCGGGAGAGTAGAAGTTCTCGACGCCCTTGATCGCACTGCGCATCTCGCGCAGCGTGATACGCCTGCGCCAGTCGACCTCGAGCGTTCGCACCAGGAGCATGTTGACCTCCTCTGAAATCGGGAGCACGGTGGGGAGGAAGTGAAGGGGGTCGCGGAGGTAAGCCTGGAACGTGCAGTCGTCGGCTGCGGCCGACTTCCACGGATTCCGCCCGGTGATGAGGTTGAGCAGAATGATACCGAGCGACCAGATGTCGTTGAAGAGGGGAGAGTACGTCCGCGTAGGTGCGAAGACGCCGCCCTGGCATTCTGGAGGGTATTCAGTATCAACGCCATGAAGCGCGATGGATCGCACACACCTGGGCTCATGTGGTAAACACTACCGGTGCGGAACTCGGTACTAACCGTCTCCGTCGTGGCAAGTCCGAAGTCTGTGATGGCCAGGCGCATGCCACCATCAAAACAGAGCACGTTCTCCGGCTTCAAGTCGCGGTGATAAATATGCAGGGAATGGCAGTACTCGACTGCGTCAAGCAGCTGCAGGAATACTTCCTTAATGAGCTCGTTATTGCCCAGATAACGACGATGGTGAAGGATCTGCGAGAACAGGTCGCCGTCCTCGCAATAGTCCATAACAATATAGGTGTACTCTGGGTCCTCGATGACGCGGTGGAGGGTAACGACGTTGGGGTGCGCAGAGGCGAGTTGGTGGAGGGTGATCTCGCGCAAGTGCAGCTGGCGTTGGCGAGAAGCGTTGCGCTTGGGCGAGTGAGGGAGGCACTTGACAGCGTAGGAGATGGGTTCTGAAGAGTACGCGTCTACGGCTCGGTAGACGACACCATAACCACCATAGCCAAGCACTTCGACGAGCTCGAGGGAGTCGTTGTCTATGAGCGTGCCGAGCGGTGGCGGTGATGGCGAGCTTGCAACCTCAGAGGAGACCATGGCGGCCGGCGTCGTAAGAGAGGGTGCGCGGGATAGATAGGCGGACCGCAGAGCACAGAGGGACCCAAGGACGGGGAGACATGGCACTTAGAGTGTCCGTATTTTATCTGGCGAGAACGTGACATACAGACGGAAAGGGCGTGTACACCATGAGGCTGGGGTGCCCTTCGTGGCGGCTCTTCACATAGGGACCGACAAGGATCCGAGTGGCTGTGGGATCCTATGGAATTTCTCAACACGCCTCCTCGGTCCAGATAAGGCGAGATGGTGCTCACATACATTCAGCCACCTGCTGCTCTATCTGTCTCGCCGTTAGGATGTTTTGAAACCCTACCGGTGTTAACGCCCGGGCGCTAAGGTAGTGCCTGTAGATGTTCACTTTACGGTTCGGAGTAAGTACGAAGATAATCTCCACCCGTACGCTCCATAGAGATACAAGATAAGACTGGGCCTTCAAAATGAAGGGTGGGGAGCGGAAGCATTGTCCGAAAGCTGTTGAACACGACTCAACGGCGCAGATCGCATAGATCTCGAGATTGATCCAGATCCGAAGGCGACCCTCGCAGCTCGCCACATCCCCGACATCCAAAAACATGTGAAACTACACGACATCCAGTGACCCCAGACCCGGATGCGAACTGCATAGCTTCAACAAAACGCGCACAGCTGAAGAAGACTTAGACATTTTGTGAGGCGGTTCAGAGGTCATGTTGGCAGCCGACGGAGATCATGCGCGGCTGGAAGTCTAGGCAGGGTGAGGAATCCTGTACGCCGCATGTATCACACTTGCATTCTTGCTGGCCTTACATTGTGCGCACACCCGGCCCGATAATCTGGATCGTCGTGCTTGCATTCGCAGCTCCGGGACCGACGCACTGGCGCATAGCTAAGAGGTGCACTTATCAATGTGCTGTAGTCCACTGGAAGGTGCGATAGACGTACAATGTGACCGGGCATTAAAGCCCTATTCTGAACCATTGAGGCGGCGTTACTCTTGCTCGTAAGACGAATTCATATTGGTGGAGCTACTGTGCAAAGACTTTGTCGTCAGCGACGTAGTGACGAAACAGGATATGGACGTACAGGGCCGCAGTGAGCAGGAGAGCCAGCAGACGTCACTGATCACTAATGCACCAGGGAATGAGCTATCGCCGGCAATAACACTCGTCAGCACACTTCCTACATCTCATACAAGCAAAGACGCACCCATTCCCAGCAGTCAATCAGTGATCCAGTTTCTGGGCGTTCGCACAGACCTAACGGCACCTTCCCCAAATTTACGTGTAAGCGACGCACTACCGGCATATCACAATGGGAGGCCTGCCTCCCAAGCATGGAACGGCTCTGATGGGCGTGCCCTTGACCAATGACGCCACCAACGGCAGTTAGAACCTCTGGGCTACGTGGCATTTCTGTGCCACGCAGTCATTTGACCAGTAAGACGCTGCGAGAAGTCAAGCAGTGCCACATTCTATTCGTTGAGGAGAAGGGAAGCGCTCCCTGCTACTCAGCTGTGACCGATGGCCCGCCAAACGTACCTCGCAATGTCCGTGTCAGGCAGTTTCAGAGACACAGCGAGGATCGAGCCGCGCAGCAACAGCAGCAGCCAGGCTCCGCCGCGTCGATGTCCCTGATCGCACTAGAGCGAAATGAACGGTGAAGAACGCATCCGGGATGCGTACACGCATGATAAGCCAGCAGAACGTACTACTGGGCGCCCGCCAGCCACTCTAGCCGTTCTCGAATCGTCCAAGGAACGGCGACTCAGAGTTAGAGTGTGCGTATCAGATTGCTTGGAGCGCACCTACAGGACGTGTATCAGAAGATCGCTGCTTCCACTTCCGGAGCATGGGGCCTGGGAGAGGACGCGCGAGACGCAGAGGGTGTGGGGGACACGCTGTTGGCAGCCCGCGGACGTCGCACGTGGACGCGCGTGTCCGGGAGCGTTGTCGTCTCGAAAAGCCCGATGGCCTATCCAGGCGTTCCTGACAGTTCCTTGTTTGCTTGAGGCTGCAACGACATCCTGAGACAGTCGCATGGTAAGCATAGGTCAGGGGCTTGGACGCGGGACGCGGACGAGCGAAGAAGACGTCAGCTCCAACAGATGGGCAAGGGGGCAAGAGGAATGATCTGCAAATTTCCACAGCCACTTAATCGTTTAGACAGGAAAACTTCCGTTGTAGCCACTTCCATGAAATGCCAGTCATTGCAATCAATTTCGGGGCTTGCACGTTCAGTAGCATCTTTTGATCGACAACTGCAACGAAGAAGGCGGTCAGCAAAGAGCCTTGGCAATTTGTATACATGAATCAACCGATTCCGTGACATACAGACTTTGAATGTGCGCACCGAACTTTGGGTCTGGATGTGGGGCCAGCTCGGGCATGAACAGCATGCGATCGCCAAGGGTACTCGCACTAACACATTCAAGGTCGCAGTTGTTCTCGGTTTAGGCGGACGTAAGGCTCGCGGTGGGTATGAGTGTGCATAATACTCAAGACTTCAGGTGTTCGTGGACGGCGAAAGTCGGACGCACATCATTAGCTGCTGTTCCCACACCAATGCCTAACTTTTGCCGTCACTACCCTACGAGTACCAAAGCTAGATGATTAATGAGCCGACGAGCCAGTAGCAGATTTACAGTCTCACTCACCAATCAGATCGAACGCGCACGATCAGCAGTAGACAAAATAGCACTGGCACGTCATGAAGCGACGACGTCGGGGCCCTTATTATATCTATTGAGCAAAACCCCGGTGCAGACCCTCAACGCCTCGATTTCCTCGTTTATCGGGTCTGCGCACGCAGCCCAACGAATCTTGCACTGCTCGTCGACGAGAAAGACGTAGCCGATACGGCTGTTCGTCATGCCCATATCATGGCGAACGTAACTATGGAAGAGGCGAGTGGTTAAATCGACAGAGAAAAAAGGAAGACCTGATACGCACTCCATATTTTGGTTGCTGACCAGGTAGGATTCCCAGAGCTCCTCGGGAATGCTTTTGCGGATGCCAGAGGTGAAGAGGGACACGAGGAGTGACTTGAGGAGATTCTCCTGGAGGTTGATCTGTATGTATCGATACATAGGGTGCGAGGAGTATTGCTCGTGCGTCGGCTTGATGTAATTAGCACTTGCAGCTAAAAGGGCGGTTCGAACGAGGATCGACGAACAATTCAGCAACAGCTCACTCACCTCGGAGACCCTCGTTGTGAGCATAGCTACGACCGACACCTTCCCCGTACAGAGACTCGTCGTATGTACGCCGGCCTTCGAGTGCAGGTTTGTCCCGACGATGTCAGGGAAGTAGAGGGCTTTCTAGCGGAGGCCGTCAGACGAATGTAGGGCTCTTGTGGCGCAGTACTCACATCTTCCCGTATCATAGTTTTGGGCGCAACCCAAGTCTTCCCGCCATGCCGTCGGGTCGCGTTGAGGTCGGTAAAATAGCCTTTCGTAGCCTCTCGCACTCTGAACAGCAGAGTAAGTCAAAATCACGCGCTGGCCCCAACGACTGCATCTCACAGTTCGTGACGCTTCTTCAGTCTTTTCTCTTGGTCTAACAGCTCCTCCCGTTTCTGCTCCCAAGACTGCGGTAGCGAGCTCGGTCTTTCCGGCACGCCTAGTGGTCGCTGCAGGAGCGGTATTGGGCTCTCTGGCTTCAGTTTCGCGACAGCCTCCACTCCCTGTCGTCCTCGTCAATCCGCGCTCCAAATCTGACGCTCAGTTCATACCTCCTTGCTTGCGATCTCCGGCAGCTCGGCCTGGTCTTTCCGACGCGGTGCCGTCTGAGAAACGAGGCGGCGATGTGTGACATCCCTAGCCCTGCAGGGGGAACTGCATGGTTTCCGTTGCGTCGAGGACAGCCACAGACGACGGCAGGCAGGTTGGAGGGGGGTCAGGGGATGCATGTCGCCGACGTCGAACGCGACCTCGGTTCTCGACGCGTGGGGGCAACGCGCTGGTCACGTGCCTCCGCCTTTCCGCGTCCTCGAGGCTCGAGCGCGTCGCGATTCACGACGTCCTCCAGACATCGAAGTGCGCACGAACGAGTACTCACACCCCTCAAGGCAGGTTTCAGAATCACAAGTCGATAGTGATCGGATGACCCTTCAACGCTACAAATACTTCTCGACAAGTCGGCCTTCACTGCCACTCAGAGGGCTAGTAACTTAGTGGTGACGGGACACGGAGTTTCAACTCCCCGAATCGCCAGCGGGGCACCTGGAGGCGACTTTGTCAACTGTCAGTCCCAGGGTTGAAGCTAAGAGTCGAAACGCGCAAAAAAAAAAGTGCTGGTGGTGAGTACGGTTACCCGCTAGTCTCGCGTCTGTCTCCTCCTTTCACCGCTGACTAGCTCGTTCGATTTCTACTGACTATGAAGGCTTACTATCGGACTCCTCAAAATCAGCATCATAACCTTGGTGTCGGCAAGGCCACTGAACGCGTGAGCAAAACTCATCGGCACCGGGAACGGCAAGCGCCCGCGGTCAGCGTGCTACGAAGGACGAGGAGTTGGAGGCGTATGGTGTGTCTGCACGTCTACGACAGTCTGAATAGGTTACGCTTGAGTTCAAATGGCTGTTATAGTGTTGGTGGTGCAGAAAATGACATAGTGAGTGAGTATATGTCATCGCCTATGATGTGTCCTCGACTGCTATGTAGCAGCCTGAGGAGCTCTCTTGTGAGTTGTTCTCGGTCTACGCTGGATGTCACCCATGCAAACCCTCGTAATCGCAGGACGGGCGAACGCGATTACACGCGCTCTAGTGCAGACGATGGTGATGAAGAGGCCAACGTGAAGGCATTTGAGAGCGTCTTCAGCTCCTCCCGTCTGTTTTGCCTTCACCTCTCCTTCCACCCTCGACGCCCCCGCCGTCAGCAAATGCGACCGCCTGAAGCGTCGCAGGCAATGTCACGGCAAGCTCGCTTCCCTACCAATAGCCTGGACCCGATGTTGGACTTGCTTGACTCTTCCTCCATGTTCGTTCCAGATGCTGCAACACCATCCGTTAGCACCGTACCCTTGCAGCCGGTAATCACAATGCCTCTCCTCCAATCATCAAGACCCGTAGTGCCTCCCATAGAATTGCCCAGCCTGGAGGCTGTGCAAGGGGTTTGATCTTCATCTTCGAGGCTCCCTCCGTCGCTGTTCCCTCCTCCATGGGCGCCCGCGCCTGCATCATTCGCATCTGCAGATGGCACGGTGAATCGGCCTGATACTCCCACACCAGCCTTGCCTCTGGCGGAAATGTACCCAGACACGCGCGCCGTATCGTGCAGTCGAACAAGAGTGTCGCTTGCAGACCCGCTTCGAGGGCACAGTCGTCGGCGTCTTTCATACCGCCGCCACCAGCCCGCTCGGAGCCTGGTGGCATCCTCCCTCCTCCCTCCCTCCGCTAAAGCGGCACCCCCAGCTCCGTTGAGGCAGACATCGGCACCACCATTGATCCCTGCGCCCGCCGCTTCGACACCGCGTCAATCACTCTCCAAGCCATCCGCACCCCCAAACCATCTGCTCTGCCGTTGGCTGACGACGACGACGAGAATTCCTCTGACTTCCTCTGGTCTGCAACGGTTCCCATGTCGCTGAAACCCCTCGTGAGGTCCATTGGGACGCTCCGGTGGCCGCGCACCTGCACTAGCCCATCTTCGGACAGGATCGTGATCCCGAGGATCGGCGTCGGGTACTCCTCCATAACTCCTCGTTGCTGGATGATAGCGACGGCTTTTCCGACTTTCAGGCATCGCCGGCTACCGGTCAGCCGCTGTCGTCCAAACCGTATAGCGACGATCCGTCCTCAGACTTCCGGTTATTCGCGTCATCGCAGCCGTCGTCACGGTCGACGCGTATTTACAACACGGCGGCGAAGTTTAGTGCGGCGTCGGACAGGACATTCCTTACATCCAAGAAAGATCCTGGTTTTGACTTCCTGGGCTTGTACTCTCAGTCTCTCCGCGCTCCCTCTCCTTCCCGGCCTATCTCCAAGCCGCCGCACATATCGACTACCTCGCCCTCTTCCTCGAAGCCGTCCGCGTCCACCCGCGCAGCGTAGCAGCCGCCACTTCATCAATAAGGCCGCATCACTCCTGCATGCGCTCAACCTTCTGGAGAAAGCAGCCGTGCGTCCAGGCCGATGGCCGGCTCCTCCCTCGCCTCTTCCACGAGCTATACCTAGACCGGGTGTCTTCGAGCTGAGCGTCCGTGGATCGATTGGACGATGAGCCACATGGTTCCCCAGAGCGACCAAAGGCTGAAAGTGTCACCAGGTATCACCGCATTGCATTCGTCACGGCTTTGATGGGATTCTTTTCCACCGGCTTCTACCGATAATCTGGGCAAAAAGGTCATTCTAATATTGCCTGCGCCGCCATTGTCTCAGTCTCAGTCGTTTCAACCCACCTCTTTCTGCTTTTTGCAGAGTACGCGATTGCCGCCGACTGTCATCCAATGGGTGAGAGCTCCAGCGGCGAACTCTCTCTCAGTGCAGAGCACGGCCAAGGCGGGTGGACTGTCCACGCAGGACTTGATGTCCTTTGAGTGGCTCTAGGTTGTACTGATTGCATCGCCACTTACATGTGTTGCATACGATATCAATCTTGCGAATTCGCGGATCGAACTTGAATGATGACGGACGATCTCACCAAATTCGTAGTCAAGTGGCAAGATGTGCGATTCAACAGATGTTAGAGTTGTGTTCCGCGGCTGGTGGGTACCTATTGTTCACGTCCACGCGGTATGGTGACCCGCTGTTTCTGACCATTTAGAGACGGTAGATCCCAAGCAGATACTGTCGTGAGGGGCTATTGCAGCAGTGCCTTCCACAAGATGTCTTCGATATATGTCAAAAACATCATGTGTCGTATAAACCAGCGGTCGCCAATTCCCGTACAGCTGCATGTTTCTCCAAGGCATCGTCAAAGGAGGGATATCATTGCGGTCGTGGTGCTGCGGTTCCTCCCAGATAGCCTCTGGACAGTCAACATGAAGTTTTGAAGCCTGAGTGTACGTCGGCGTTGACTCCAACAGCACACATGGGCAACCTTTGCTCTCGGGCACGGGGTAGTAGGTGAGTTACTATCTTCAAAAATGGCATGTGGACTCATCTTCTGCCAGTATAGCAGCCGGCTTCCCTCGAAACCATGTTTCAGAGACGGGACACGGTTCAACAGAGAACCCAACCCAACGCGTGCGCAGGGTCTGTATGGTGCTTGGTGCGAGGCAACCCCATGGGCTGTGGCCAATTCGAATCGTCCGAGGACCAAGGTCCAGCACGAGAAAAGACTCCGAGTCCTGCCATCAGGTTACCACAACGGTATGTTACCGAGTGTCCAAGCTCCCGGGCCCAGCGATATGGGTGGATGTGACACCACAACCCACCGCCCTCTGCGCGCGCGGAGCCTGGAGGTCTTGCAGAGGTCTGTCGATACTTCGTCTATTCCTGTTTCGGGCCCCAATAATCCCTTTACCACATCATCCCTTATCATGTCGAATGAACCAGCGTGCGCAAGCAGTCTTCTGGATGGCTCCGAACAAGAGTTTCGAAGTTCAAGTCGCCTGGACCGATCAGACCGTGCTTCGCATGGTACGTCGCTCCCAATGCATGAGCACACTACGCCCCGCGTGCCAACCTGTAACAGTGCGCCTGTGGTAGAATGGCGTATTCCGCTGAAGCCACACGACGCCGCCATGTGCAGCGCCGCCCAGCGCGTTCGTCACGGTGTACCCCGCGACCTGGTCAATGGAAACGAGCCATGTGGTTGGCAACGGGGACGTTGAATGGGCGATAGGACGCTCTCGTATTACGACAGCATCCTTGCAATGGAAACACCTCTTGAACCATATATAAGGGCGCAACGAGATGGTGGGTTCATACAACGCAGCTCCTCGACCGCAATGGCTCCCTCAATGTCGAAATCTATACTCTCCCTTTGGGCCGTTTTTCTCCTCTTCTCCCTTCAGGCTGTCCAGGCGGCCAACTCCTTTGCAGGGTCCAACCTGTACTACGCAGCAGGGCTGAACGCCGATGACACAACCACCCTGCTAACGTGAGTTTGTTCTTCTCGTTCCTGACGTCTTCGTAGCAATGATTAGTATTGACAATTCACTACCGATATAGGGGACTGCAAAGCGCCGGTATGAAGGTATTGCGAGTCTGGATTGGTGGTCAGTCTACCAGCCAGAAGGTACGCACTTTACGTTTTCGCAAGGCTTCTATGATATCTGACTATTCCGTCGTGAACAGGGCACTGACATCAACCCCTTCAACGATCTCGAACCCAACAGTCCTTGCAATGGAGACACTTCCTGCTACGACGATACGGTTCTTGAGCGACTGGACGACTTCATGGTTGCGGCCAACTCTCACGGCATCAAGGTGACCGGATGTCACTTCCGTGCCTGCAGCTGTGATACTGACTTCCGCATCGGCAGCTTCTGCTCACTATGCATAGCTGGAACGCTTTGTCCAGCAACGATGCCTACGGCAAAATGTACGGTAAACAGAAGTTCTACACGGATAGCGATGCACAAGCCTCCTTCGACACTCGCCTCGTGCATATCCTGAACCACGTACACAAGTCACTCGGAAAGCCTTGGAAAGAGTTGAGCGACTACATCTTTGCTTTCGAGGCCGAGAACGAAGCCATGATTGGGAATGTAAGTGCTCAGTGATGTTCGTGTATATCCACAATGTCTGACAATCGCTGCAGGGCGCGTCATTCGTTGGGGCTAACACTGCATGGTACGGTTCAAGATCATCGTGGTGATTGACGCGGAAGAGATGACCGTGCATATTCATTCAACAGGCAGTGCGACCGTGCCGGGACGATCAAGGGCCAACTCGGCAACAGCAGTGGGGTAGGTCCAGGACTGCTCCTCTTATCTCTCTAACTGCTTAGCTTCGAAACTGATGCACATGCTACAGATCCTCGTAACGACTGGGGGAGAGTCATTCTTGTCTGAGTCGGTCCAGTCTGCTTGGTTGTCTTGCGATGCTTTGGATGTGATCGCCATCCACACCTACGGTGCCGACGAACTCACCACCTCCGCATTGACCCCCTATGTCCAGCAAGCACAGTCTGCCGGCAAGAAGCTGATCTTGGAAGAATGGTGAGCACTGTCCGTCTTCCGCTGTACGCTGATCCACGAATCTTACTGAGACCGTACGACACAGGGGCGCATGCTACTTCGACACTTCCAATAATAACTGCCCTACCGGAGACGCCCTATCTACCGACACGCGGAACGGCAATATCTTGAACTGGGCCGAGCAAATCGACAACGCGGGGCTTCCTTGGATGTATTGGCAGGTCCTTCCCAATGCTGATCCTCATGTACGTTCTGTTTTCGGGCCTTTCTGCTATTCCTTTGTAGTTAACAAGTGACCCGCAGGGTGCATGGGACTACGAAGTCGGCTTGAACGACTCGTCCTGGAGTGCCCTCCAGCAGGCTGCTCAAGCGGCCGCGCAGGCCACGGCTGCTTTCGACTTCTCGGCTTACCTTCTGCCATGAAGTGCAGTGAGCCACGCAATCGAAGGTTGCGTCTTTTTGTGACTCTATGAACCATGCAACATGATCATCTCTTTGTCTCTCCCCTGTGTTAATCCGATGCTTGCCGACGCCAGTGTTTTTGTGCACGGCTGGAATTTCTACTGTACAGTACTATATAATACTTTCCGGTGAATTCGTTTGTACATTATTTGGTCGCTCTGTCATAACACTTGTCTCTGAATCGTCTTGGTTTATCTACTTGATCTGCATCGCCGGGGTATGCGCCAGTCATAGGTAAACTGATCCGCGACCCTGACATGTTGACCGCCTCCTCCTCACGTCATCATGCTGTATGATGATGATGATGCTTTTGGCGGCTATGTAACGCCTCGTAAGCAGAAAACTCTGTGGTCTTCTCAACCTTGAATCAAAAGCTTGAACTTGGCCCATCATACCCTTCTTCGCCCCGCCGTGTAGTCCATCATACATTGATGTACGTCTCAGGTCCACCGTTTCACGGTGCGGCACTACAGGGCATCCCTGCTTCGCTGCGCTCTTCGACAATCAGTGAGGCCACCGTGATAGCAATTTGTGATAGCGTTCGTTCTGTCGGCAACGGTGAAAAATACAGGACAGATAACGCGATCTTATACACAGTAGACGCGTGAATCACGTCAACTAACTTGAGAGGCATCAAGGTCGGTACGACTTTACACATAATCCAAGGACAGTGAAGCAGTACCATCAATGAATCGCTCCCCGTCCTCTGTAGCAATCTTGTCAGCCTCGTAGGATTACGATAGAGGCACTTCCTTCGCCAACGACTTACTCTTCTTTTTCGAGCGGTTGCTCCCACTATCGTCGTCCCTAGTGCCATCGCCAAAAGCTAACCCGGGCTATAAGGCCATACAAGACCCTTATAAGCGGCGGAATCGATGTAAGGCCTCGCAATAATTGTACATACCCTTGCACCCCAATATGTGGGTTGTTGACATTGCCAATAGGTACCGGCAATGTAAGATACCCAGGGCCGCGAGCCCCTTATAATCAAGTCACAATTTTGCAGCGCTTGCGCAGAAGCACGTTTGCGCTGTCTACGGCGAAGAGGTGGCTGGCTGGCATCATCATACATGTTACTCAGGATTGTCATCGACTCGACACAAATCTCGATATTTTATTACTCGTATACTAAAGCAGATCCGGTGAATTCGTTTGCACCTGTTTGGACCAGCGCTTCTGTCTACGTCTGTGGCTGAGTAAAAGTCGATGTGGCCGATGCGCCGTTATGCCTCGATGCGCCATTAGCCGTTACCAAGCTGCAGTAATCTATGTCTTTTTTCTGTGTTTTATGTAGACCATCACTACCAATTGACTGTAAGTCTGCGGAAGCGCGACGCATCCCGACTGCCTTCCAAAAACGAGAGTATCTCTTTTTGGTCAGCTACGGAGACTAACTGCCTTCCCGAATATTTACAGCAACTGGCTATTGCCTCATTGAGCTGCTTTGTAACACTACCGCCCTCCGACTCGGTTCCAATCAAGTCGTTGTCCCCGCCCGCTCAGCGCATGGCTACATGCAGTGTTGCACGACGCCCTTCCCCTCTCTGCGTCTGTACCTCCTGTGTCATGCATTATGTGCCTCTACCCCTGTCTTCGTTATTGTCTCCCAAAATGGTAAGGCTGCCTGTTGTCTTTGTGTCGATCAGATCTAACGTGTTATTGTTATGCGTTCCACTGTATTTCTGCCCGCTGCCTGCCCGCCGTTTTTGACGTGCTGTCCCGCAACTCCCGCGATGACCAACCTTCTTCTCTTCGGCTTTGTATCCCTCACCGACGGCCGTCGTTCATCACTTGAAGCGCTAACCGCCAACGCGGTACTTCGACGTTCCACAACTACTACGCCACCTTGATCGAATGCTCGAACGGCAGCGACATTCCGGCTGAGCTGCGCGTGTACAGCCCTCCAAACGACACTGTCTTAGCTGACAATACTATTGCTTACGTCATCGCGCGTGCCTACTGTCCTTCTGCCGGCATGGCTTTGCTTGATGCTATCCAGCTCACACCTTTCTACGGCGATCTATCTCTCGGGGACGAATATGATCAGAGCGTTCTGTCCTTCCCGCCCACCATCATCAGCATCGGAACGGTTGCGTCCGCGTATGATGTGCTTGCAGACGGCCAATCAAAGTCATTCCCTGTTATCGCCCATGAGCGCATGCGCGACGAAAGTAAAACGTCTACTATTCAGTAAGTGTAATTACAACACTGTCTTCGCGCTTTCATTAAATCTCCCACTTACTAGGTGCATATACGACGCTTCGCCGCGATGGGCTACCGTTCCTGCTCCTGCCCCAATTCTACCGTATCTTTCCACGGCCAATGCTCGCGCGTGCGTTCAGATGGCGTGTTGGGTGTGGACCTTGAGCTCATTTCTTTCAACTTCGGCCCCTCTCCTGTCGCTGTCGGAGGTGGAACTCTACCCGGAGGCAGTCGATCATCGACTGCTAACACTCCTTGAGCTCGCCCACATAGTTGATGCTATCGGTGACGGTGAAGGTCCAGAAGTCTCTCTGCACCTCTTGCAACATGTATCCGACGACCAGCAGCTGATTGACTTCGTCTTCCCGACACATGTACTCGCCAATCCAATCGCCTGTCTAAAACGTTCGATGCTTGCTCCCACCAATAGGCAGATCGACCGGTACAACAGCATTGTTCTCGACCACATTGATGAGACAAGCAGGACATACCTTGCGGCCGACTCTCTGAAGGAGGCAGACGACGCCGGCATCGACTCCCCCGACAGCATATTTGACTACGTCGCCCGCCAGAATCCCGCAGGTTTTCCTCCCCACTCGTTGACCGTGAAGGTTAACGCCGTCTAACGCTTGCTGCGCAATTTGTCCCTCGACCGTGGCTTGGTCAAGAACGTTCGCGTTGTTCTCATTGTGGTCGGCCCTCGTCTCGTCACAGTCCGCATTCTACGGGGTATTGCAGGTGTCAGTGTCATCGATGAACTTGAAGAAGACGTCCTCATACCTCGGATCACATTCTCTACCACCCTTTCCTCGGCCATACACTCCTCCGTCGTCAGTTTCCTCTTGCGCGGCCGCCGGCATATGCAATGACATTCAACAGCTACTTACCAAGGGCTAACTCTTGACACAGTGGGAGTAGACCTTACGAGACACGTGTTTTCACATGGACAGCTGCACACCGCCCTTTCGCGCATATGTCACCGTGACCACGCAAGAATTTTGCTCAAACACGACGAATCCACTACTATCAATGTCACCTATGACGAACTTCTACTATGATGGTTTATGACTTTAATTACATTGATGTTCACTCAACCGCCGGAGCGTAGCGATGGCGTCCCTTGTATACTTTATACTGCTGTACCATACTGTGATTCGCGGGGCGAGCAACCGCATGCGACATCACAATGCATTTGAGTCATTAACTATGCAGGTTTGTAAAGTTCACAATGAATCGTGTTCGATAGCTCACCATAGCATCATTGTTATGACGGATACCCATTGACAGAAATGACCAGGTGTATAAGGAGACCCGAGACTTAGACACCATCACAATGAATACCAGCAAGCATCTAATCATGTATTGCGGAGGTAGTACAGGTACACGACGACATTCTATACATTCTACATAGTTTCCTTTGCGAGACGCTGAGTCGCAATTCTAGCGACGGAGCCACCGGTTGACCGAGAGGTGTCGGAAGATGCACGGACCTTACCGAATATGGCCCTGCTCTCATGAGGTCAGGTTGAGCAAACTCTGCGCGAGAGAACCACGTACTCGGTCCACCAGTTAAGCAGCTCCTTCACCCTCTCTTCGGCTCGAGGACCAGGAGGGTGTTCGAAGTAATCGACAATGTTGTTGTAGAATGCTTCGTAATCGAAGTTAACGATATCTCGGCTCCACGATCCGATGTCATTCAATGCGAAATGAACCTGTATTGACATCAGTAACAGTATTCTTTTGCGCCCTCGGGTTATGGTCACTTCACCTGCACGCAAATGTATGCGATCGACCGGCCAGTAACCTCCTTCATATTCAGTATCTCCGCCACAGATGATCGGGTCCTGGGTGGTGGCTGCCACCGCGAGTATGCTGTCCTCCTCCTCTTCTGGAGTGGGCCTGCCGACAACAGACCGTCGTTCTCTGCGTTCGCGTCTTCGTCTTCGTCTTCGAGCCCCTCGGTGGCTGAGCTAGGTGATGTGAAGACACATTTGTATGCCTGCGAAAGTGACAGCTGATGATGTCGTCCAAATCGGCATACTACTGCATGTACTTACCATCAGGAGCAATAAACCACGGAAGAGGCTTTTCTCGAGGTCGTCGTGGTCGATGTTGCCGAGATCGAAGAGGAACCTTGGGTAATCAGCACTGCTGATGTGAAATGGAGGCTCCCGATTCTTGATCTTCCTGCGCGTCCTGATAATATCACTTTGGCATCGGTACTGTTGGTCCGGTAGATAGCATGAGGGATACGTACGGTTCGTCGTTCCAGTCCCAATCAACGGGACAAAGCAGTTCCGCAGTGGTATTGTTCTGCAAGCCACGAATGTGCTTCGACCTTGGATCTTGCAGGAGACGCTTTGCGCTCTCACTATCTGGGTAGAGTGTCGATAGCATAAAGATAACACGGGTCTTCAACGTCGACGTGTCGTCAGAGCGCGCTTTGTCGCCATTCAATTTCAGCTACAAATACAGAGAATTCAGCGACGATATCAGTGCTACGACACAGAATGCTGACGTACCGCCTTGAACATCACATTGATGTCTGTTGGTGAGACGTCAGCCCGATCCAGGTACTTGATGGATTCGGGTATCCGGTCCCGCAAAGCTTTGTATCCACGATACAGTCGATCAGCGGACTGTTCGCTATGTTGAGTGGTAAGTGGTTGTTGTTGACGATCATCAGATTCTTCGACTTACGAATCACTGGCTCCCTGACGCGAGGCAGTACTTCTTTCGTCGTCGGAATCTGTTAGCTCATCAGCGTCAAGGCGCTTGTCATACTCGTTGACGAGGCCTCTTGGTTCGTCGTAGAGCGAGATGAGGCGTCGATATGCTCGGCCGAGCGCAACAAACACTTTCTCGGGCCGCCTAAAACAGAACAACTTATAGTCAATACACTTGCACAGTGGCTTAGATGAGAGTAAGGACTTACTCGCCACCAGAAGGGTTATCCACACCAAGCAGCTCTTTCTCACGCATAGTCATCCTATGGCCGACGCGCAGTCTCGTGGAACACCATCGGGGTAGCCTACGGCGGCCGACGACTCGGCCAATAGGACGATGATCCATGAGCCGAGGTGCAACTTTTGTATGGTGGATCAGTAGTAATACGTGAATGCTGTAACAATTTGCGGGGTACTCGGATACCAATGTTTTGATGAAATGGGCGTCGGCCGCCGAGGCTAACGCGTCGGCTGGCCTATTGAAGGAGGACAGCCGCCTTGGACGGGCCCCGCCATCTTGCGTATTGGTGGGCGTCGCTATGAATATTACAGCGCGGTGAGGAATGGGCCGCTGGTAGGCTTCAGCTTGGCTGCGTCGGGTGCCGTCTTGTGTGCGTCGCCCGGACTACCGTGGAGATGGACTGGGATGCATCTGCTGGGCAGGCATAGATGTCAAGAAAATATCAAGCTGGTGTATACCAATCTTGCTCACCCCCGCAATGGTGGTCGAAGGGGGTCGTCATCTAACGCGGTGAGGCGTCGCCGTCTTGCCGGGTAGCGTCGTCTATCGCGGCGTTGAGCTCGAATGTCGGTTGGATCGGCTAGGTGGCCAGTGGGGTGGGCTTGATAAATAGAATGTTTGATTGAAGAACAAAAACGATGGGCATAAGTCCTACCCGCCCTCGCGGTGACTGTGGAAGGGAGTCATTGTATAACGCGGTGAGGCGTCACCGTCTTGGAGCACGGCCTTGTCTATCGCAGCGTTCAGTCCGATAACGCATACGTCGGCTGGACAAACAATGCAGTCGGCTGGATACGTTCGAAATCTTACTAGGTAATACGGAATAGTGTGTACAAGCTCGAGTTTTCCGCTCGGTCGAGGCAGAAGTGAATCGGTGGCTAACGCTGACGCGACCGAAAAGTACACAAAAGCCACACAAAAACCCAACCGTGAGGTCGAGCAGTGGTATGCGAGGCCTCTGCGTCTATGAGATGTACGGGGGACTGTACAGTGGTCTAGGTAAGAAGGAGGAGGACGGACAAGACTCCGAACGACGTGGGAGAGCTTCGAAGATGTCGAAGACTGTTCGAAGACGAGGGCTAAGCCTCGGAGGTAGGAGGGAGGGTTTCGACAGACGTGTCGAACGAACGGTGGCAAGAGAGGCGAGCGACGGCAGGAGAAGAAGTGTAGAGCCTCTCGGGGCAACTACGAGCTGGCGAACGTACTGGCGAACTGACTGACTGACTTCGAACGTACTGACTGACTGGCGAACTTGCTGACTTTCGAACGTACTGACTGGCTGACGAACCTCGCCGGCGCGAGGTGAGATTGAGAGGGTAGGGGGGTCTCTGAGATTCGAAGGGAACAAGTCCCAGAGTATATACAGGAAAATACGGTCCGAAGACCAAGAGAGCCAAGAGAAATACAAGAAATGATGAATGAAAGTGATAAGGAAAGTAGCCAATCGGAGAATGTCACAACGCTCGACCCGGACCTACTAACACATGAGAGCATCCAACTCGGCCTTCCGCAGGTTCCGCATAACGGGCGACCGCCCCCGAACGGCGAAGTCATAACCGGAGCCGGTGACAGTCCTCGAAGATATGAGACAGCGGCAGGAGTTCGCCTGACTTACACGAACATGCCGCACCTCGACCCAACTTCCGAAGCGTATGCTGCCCGCTACTACCGCCTCCTAGAGGTCCTCAAGACCGAGGGACTTGTCGAGCCGCGATACGATGCCAACAGTCCCGGAGAGTGGCTGGCTTGGGCTCACGGAGTCCGTTGGATGATCGTACGTGCCTCCGAACTTAGACTATCGTTCGAACCATCGAACCGACCTTCGAACAGCGATTCTTGTTCGAGTCCCGCAGCCGGGCCATCCTGCTGGCGAACGATACACTTCCTGCTCCTAGGTCGTTCCCCGAGATCGACGAGTTGATGCGTTACCTCGACGAGGTCTTTCACCGCGATGGCAACCAGGGAGACATCCTGGTTCGCCCTACCCTACGATCGCGTGGTCCGAGACCTTGGTACTGCTCGAACAAGTCAACCAGGCCGAGCGTCGTCCCCTCGCGAACCCGCAGTATCAGCGCGAGTCGTTGATCCTGTCCGACTTTCGCCAGCTGCCCGACAACCTCGAGTCCATGGGTCGAGCGATCCACAACATCGCAGTCGACCAGCGCCGCACGCACGGTACCCTCGTTGGGTTGCTCGAAAGCCTGCTCGAGCGCGTCAACACTGACCGTGGTTCCGACACCGGCCCGTCTGTTCGTAGGGGTAGGGGTGGTGGTCATGGGTGTGGAGGTCGAGGCCATAGATACGAGAGTTGCCGAGGTCGTCACTAGTTAGTTTGACGTAGCCATGTACTTGCCCCGGAGTCCTACCAATGTAGCGACGCTTCTAAACCGCTTGCCTCTGCCACTAAGGGTTCCGAACATTGACGCTTGAGCTTGAACATTGGACGGTTCCCTCGAACGGACGGATAGCGCGTCGACCGTTCTGACTTAGGGTATCGTTGTATCGACCGTAAATGGCGTTTTCGGTGGGTAGGTGAGCTAGGGGCTCATCATCTCCCCTTACTGAGATACTGACCGTCCTCGGTCGGCTCGAACACGCCGGCGCTTGATTTGCGTCCGCGATCATCGAGATGCTTCCGCGCCAGGCCGTCCGAAGTTCTTGTCCAATGGCGAGCACTCGAGAAGCGATTAGCGAACGGCAGGACGCGCCCCGATCACGTTGATCCGAAGAATTAATCCCATTGGACGGGAGGTGAGCGCTTCTTGACCGTTTGGGCTGGTTCTGATGGGGATGATCCCCATTGTTTCAGCGCCTCGAATGCGGTAGGTGGACCCACAAAGCTCGAGCACACATATAGCGGGGGGATCCCCGCCGAACTTCGCTTAATCCCCCGCTTCGCTCTTCCGCCTCCGTCTCTGTTCGCTCGCCCATGTCCACTTCGTCCGCTCCCGTGCCCGCTCCCGCCTTCTCGAAGTCCCTGCACCTGCCGACGCCTCCGCGTCGGACGACGACTGCACCGTGGATCCGAAGACCGGGTTCCCCGTTCCCCACGACCCCAAGAGCCCGATGTTCCCGCTCGCCAACTGGGTCGTGGCGAACCTCGTGCCCGAGAAGCCGGACGCGATTGAAGAGTGGCTCGAGGGTGCGTACGCGGCTACGGTGAGTCGTCATTATTTCTCGTCCTTCGTAGTGTAGTACCGACTGTTCGTGCTTGTAGAACCGTTTTACTCGCGTCT